TGTGAAGGGCTGAAGCAAGACTTGATTCAATCTAACTAGGCCAACATGCTGTTTACAAAAAGCTTAAGGAGGGGAAGTTTATCCTGCGCGTTCTCCACGTCAACATGCCAAGGTCTCGTGATACACGTGACCTATATCGGGCACTGGCCCGTGACAATACCCCCCTCCTAGTCTTAATCTCATCAGGGGCACGACGGCATGGGCTTCGGTGCCAATTTGCTGGCGAATCACCTCCGAAACGGTGCCGTGCTGCTCCTCAAAGGTATCTAAGGCGCTTCAATCCCGCACTGAATCTAGCGTTTCCCACGTTTGCTCAGCCCATCCTCTCCATTTCACCAGCGCTTCGTCACGATATCCTCGTCCGATCTTCCTCCGTCGTATAGCTAGGATCTGCTCGACTTCGTATTCCTCTTCTCCGTCAACTAGTAGTGGTGGTGGCTGCGAATCGTCTACTAGCTGAGATAGGAACGGGTCCGTTGCTACCGGACGAACTAGTTTAATATAGAACACTGGGTGTATGCTAGTAGGCACATTGAGTCGGACGGTAAACGGTGACGGAACGTCTACTACTCGGTATCGAGCATATAGCCAATCCAACTTCTTTAACGGTCGTCGTGTGCGTATGTTCCGAAGGTTTAGCCAAACCTAATCATCCTTTTTATAGACAGGCGCAGCCTGTCGACGTCGGTTCGCTTACTCCTCTTAAAGGGCCTATGCGGAAGCGATAGCGGCCTTGGCCCAATCGGTGGCTTCTCGTAGGCGATTCACGAACGTTTCGCCTACCTTTCGTGGTGGGGTCAGGGCGCCTTCTAGCTGCCCTGCTTCGTCAATGCCAATCGGGTCAACGTGGTAACCGTGGGTGAAGAAGAATGGCGAGATTCTAGTTAAAGCGGCATCGCGATTATTAATCGCCACGGCGACTATTGGTAGTAGATCCTTCTAGTTATCCTATAAGTACGTAGTGAACAAACGTAGAATTCGTTCGATCTCCTGATTGGTACGCTCTGTTACACCGTCGGTCTAGGGGTGAAATACCGTAGATAATCGGCGTTAAATCGATAGCCTTTCGTATACCCTTTCCCAGAAAGAACTCACGAATTAGGGGCCGCGGTCGCTTACAATCGCTAGTGGCACCCTATGATATATATAGAAGTGTGTGAAGAACACCTCTACTACATCTTCTGCCGTCGTATTCTTCATTCCGATCAGAATCACGCCCTTCGTTAACCGATCTGTTATCACCATGCAGTTCGTTACCCCCGTAGGTCTAGAGGGTGGTAGTCCGGTGATAAAGTCCACTGATATTTCGGCCCAGATTCGCTGAGGAATAGGTAGGGGTTTCAATAGCCTATGCTTTGTGTCTCGCTATACTAAGCTCCGTCTGTAGATTATATAATTCCGAAGGAAGCGTCGTACATCCTTCGCTGCTCCTAGCCAGAAGAACCGTCGAGACAGTATCGAATAGGTAGCGTCTCGCCTAGGATACGCCGTGACGTGTGAATCGTGGATCTTTTGTATGATCCCTATGCGTAGAACCTCGTTATCAGGAATCTAGATTCGTTATCTAAAATGAAGCACTCCTCGATCGTCTAAGTGGTACTCTGATAGGCTTGTCTTAATGTCTGTCTCGGCAGCGATTCGGCGCTCTCCCGTTAGCAAAGCGTGGGAGATTCGTTGGTAGATCGAGTTAGACGCCCTTACCCTTTTCTATTCTACCTAGAGTTCCTCTTCTTCGAAGAGGGGAATATCCCTTTTAAAGTCGATCGCTTCGTTTGATTGGTGGTCGGCTGGTTAAGGGTCTAACCGTCCTATTTTGATCTTGACCTTTTTGAGTAGGACTCGGAAGCGATTCGATAGCCTTTCGTCGGTGATACTCTGTGGCATATCCTGGCTCCGTCGTGATAGTGCGTCCGGCCTTACTGCAAGCTTACTAGGGCGATAGCGGAGGTCAAAATCGAACTCTGTTAAGAGATCCGCCTAGCGTATCTACCGTTCATTCAGATGTTGTGCTTTACTAAAGTATCGGAGGTTCTTATGGTCCGTCACGATAGTAAATCGAGGCACCATTTTCAGCTTAGGTCTCTATTCGCGTAGGGCACGTATAATCGCTAGAAGCTCCTTATCGTGGATCTCGTAGTTTGATTCTGCTGGAGATAGCTTCTGGGAGAGATAGGCGTATGGCCGTAGTTACCTATCAGGCCCGTATTGCGATAGGACCGCCCCAGTAGCCTAGCCAGAAGCGTCAGTTTCCACGACTGTTTAACGATCCTCCTCGAAATGAGCTAGGATCGGTGCGTTTATAAAGAGTTCCTTTAGTTCCACGAAGGCCTGTTAGTAATTATCGTCCTATTCGAAGATAGCGTCTTTCTTTATAAGCCGTGTTAAGGGTGCCGAAAGGTCGGCGAATCGGGGGATAAACGGCCGGTAGAAGTTCGCAAAACTAATAAAGCTTCGCACATCTCGTATAGACTTCGGTCTCTCCCATGCCCTAATAGCCTCTACCTTCTTTGGGTTAATATGGATCCCCTTCCCGGCTTCGACAATAAAGCCAAGGTATTTCACCGATTTCTGCTTAAACTCTGACTTCGCGATGTTATATTGTAGACCCGCGTCTATTAGTTTCTGTAGAACATCGCCGACCTTTCGGCGGTGATCCGCTAGCGTTCCGTTAGAGTAGATTATTATATCGTCGACGTATACCGACACAAAATCATCGAGGTACTCTCGTAGCGTCTAGTTGATATACCTCTAGAACGTTGCCGGTGCGCCAGTTAGCCCAAATAGAGTCACGTTCCACTCGTAGAGCCCGTATCGCGTCCGAAATGCTGTCTTCTATTCTTCTCTAGGGTGAATACGGATCTTATGAAAGGCCGCGATGATATCGAGCTTTGTGAACTAGCGGGCGTGGCCTATATTCCGTAACGTTTCTCGAATTAGCGGTAGAGGGTAGCGATCCTTCACTATCCGTTCGTTCAATCCTCGGTAATCGATATAGAATCGTACGCCTCCACCTAGCTTCCTTACTAGTAAGATTAGTGCTACTACGGGCGATTAGCTTATACGTATGAAGTTCTTCCTAAGTAGGTCCGTTAACGTCTTCCGTAGGTAAAGAAGTTCTTCCTTATTCATACCGTAGAGAGGACCATATAGTGGTGGCTCTTCGACGCCGTTTCGGTCGCGTTTTAAGGGGATCTTATGATCGACCCCTGGTCGGTGTGGTGGTAGCTGATCAGCAAGCTGCTAGCTGAAAGCCGCTATCCATCGCCAGTAGTGTTTTGGTAGCTTATCCTTTGGATCGATATGCTTCTTAGGACGGAGTGCTCTCTCGATGTCGTCTAGCGAGACCCTACCGATTCGTAAGCGATTCACACCCGATACGCTCTACATAAGTTGCTGGATAGATAGTGCCTCCGCTTAGGTAACACGTAGTGCCTTTACCCCAATAGGCCTAATAGTACGATCTACACGATTCTAACACCTCGTCCGCTCCCCAGACTTTGTGAAGATATCTAGGTATCCTTTCCTTACTAAGTATCGCCCTTTCACGTCGTGTAACTATGGGTCTCCGAGTATTATACTGTCGCTTTATGGTCCGATAATATAGGCGAACACACGGCCCTGTTGATGGCCGTAGATATCGAGGTCGAAGTAGGTGGCGTGGGTGATTCGGTACTGATTCGGCACGACTCCGTCGAGGATTCGTGGCTGTATCTTGATGCGCGGGAGGTCGAGTAACTAGACTAAGGACTCGTTTACTGTTGCATAATAGCGGCAGCCGCTGTCGATAAGAGCTTATATAAATTAAATTCTATTCACTCTAGCATCGACTATAAACGGCGGTGTCTCACGTTCCAGTAGCTTTTCGACCCCCTTTCGCTCCTGCTCGCGGCTGAGAACAGGAGCTACTCTTTTCCCGATCCATCCTCGGTAGTCACATCTTCGTCGCTAGAGGCTGTTGTAACGGAATCTTCGTCGCTTATAGGCTTCGATTTCTTCACTTTAACCATACGCTCCTTTCCCTTCTTACTCGAAGCGGACGCAATTCGTGCACTACCCGGCCGTTGTGCTGGTAGTAGCGCGTACGTCCCGATAAAGTGGCCGATCTTTCCATATCGTAGGCACTTCCCATCGGCCCGCCGCTACTCTAGTACGTCCTGGCTAACCTATTGAGCCTACCTCGGCGCTCCAGTCCTAGATCGGTGGTGTTTCGTGTGGGTTTCGGTTCGGTTTACCGATATAGTAGGCGTCTAATCCATTTCGTCGTCGTTCTGTCTAGGCGAACGCGGCCGACGCGGCCGTTCTGCCTTAGTGATATTAAGGGCATCTATATCGGAGCTTATCTCGTGTAGCCGAGAGATCAGGTCCGAAAAGGTGGCGGGAATGCCCCGATTTATCAACGAATTCGTCATTGTCTTATTAAGTGCTCCGAGGAGAATCTGTCGCTTAGCCTCGTTATACCATTCGAGAGCGTCGGTATCAGCGAATTCCTTTTCTAGCCGTGGTAGGAACCTAGAAAAGCTTATATCTTCCGGTTGCCGAATCTGGTGGAGTCGCCTAGCTTCGCGTGCTTTGACATTCGGGTCTCCATAGATATTCTCGAGGTAGTCGAGTAAGGCCTGTGGTTCGCCAGTTTCTCGGCGGAGTTTCACAAAGGTTCCGGTGTTCTTCTATTCAAGCTTCTCTAGTCTAGAGAAGATATATATAAATTGGTCCTTAGGAGAACCAATAGCTTCGCCGTCTACACTAAGCTTGTTCTCAATCGAAATTCGCTAGGTTGGCCAGTCGCTCGTGCTTCCACCGAATGGCTTTTGGTCCGGGAGGCGGGGCTTCGGTCGGTGAATAATCTCTGTTCGTGGAGGAATCGGCACCGGTTCGGTAGCCGATCGGGCTGGTGTCGCCTGTCCTTCGTTCATCGTGGTTGTCGTCGTGGCCAGTGAGGCTTGGCGCTCTAACATTGCTTCGAGACGACGCATCCGTTCTTCTTGTGCAGCTTCCTGTTGGTAGTGCCGCTCTCGTTCTTCGTTCTGCATAGCCTGGGTCTGTGCTAACTGCTGCAATAGCGTCTGCGCCTACCTAGGAGGGCTCGTCGATTCCTGGTGCTGCATAGCTGCCAGGGGTTATGTAGCGTGCCGGTAATGTGTCGGTCGCTTTTCGTCCAATGTTCTAATATGCCTAGGAATTGCGATCTCCTAAGGCTTTCCAATACGTCTCGAGCGCTAAGAGTTTTATGCGCGAGGATTCCGTTCCAATCGCTGTTCGTCACTGAATCACTAGAGATTCAGGGGGCTTTCCAATGAGTGCCTAGGTCGCTTTCCTAGGGCTTTTCCAATAACCAATGATACTTCTAAGTGTAGAAGGAAGCTTTTTGTATGTGAAGGGCTGAAGCAAGACTTGATTCAATCTAACTAGGCCAACATGCTGTTTACAAAAAGCTTAAGGAGGGGAAGTTTATCCTGCGCGTTCTCCACGTCAACATGCCAAGGTCTCGTGATACACGTGACCTATATCGGGCACTGGCCCGTGACAAAGAGCTTTTATAACTAACGTAGGCCAATCTTATCGGTAGTCTAGCCATTCGCAGAGACCTCGATTCGCCAATCTTTTAGTAGGTTATTAAACCAACTAGCGATAGCAACCTTAGCTTTAAAAATCACATATAGCAGAAGCGAATAGCCATCAGCGCTAATTACTTTAATCGTAGTAACCCATTCGCGATTTCCTAATTATAAAAGACGTAGCCGACCGCAGATTTCTGCCCGCGTAATAACCTTCTGCGTAGATATAAGGCCCATTACGAATCCTATCTCATTAAATTTATATGTATCCTCCGCTTAGATCCCGTTCTCATTATTTATACGTTATACGGTCGCGAACCAGGCTCGTAGGGCTTTCGGGTCCTCGTTTAATACGCTTTAGTAGTCGTATTTCCTCGAGTATCGCGAGCGAAGCTCTTCACACCGGTTAATAAAGGCTGTTAGCTAGTTCTTACTAACAGTAGGCGGGGGGTGGCTACCGCGTGCAGCCAGTAGGATATTAGCCATCTCTCGTACAGTAGCCTGCCTAGGCGCTGCTCCACGCCCATTAATAGAGATTATCCATTAGCAAAGCGAATACTCTTCCAATTCAGTCAGTTTATAGCCAGATAGGCGCTTATCGACGCGTGAAACCACCCCTTTAGCGAGGTCGGCCAACGTTATGTGAGGAATTTCATATAGCTTAGCTACCGCGCGAATAGATTGGATACGGCCTTCTTATAAATCAGATAGGGCCAATAGGATCTTGCCCTCTTAATTGGCTAATTTATGCCGAGATTCAGAGCTAATTGGTGGCATGGTGGCTAGTTGAAGTTGACAGGTAGGTAGAGAGACGCGATTTTAGATGGGGTGTACGGAACGGCTAGGGACTACGTTAGTTGTGAAGTTGATTAACTAATATCAGTTAGCTGTCAATATTAAATAGTCTCGGCATAGCAGGACGAGCCAGACGAGAAATGTGAAGAATATCTGAATTTAAATTCTCAGCTTAATAGTCAGCTAACTAGGGGCTTACAGGCCACCGGGTCACCGGGTGAAAAAGCCCCCAAAGTTGTTATCAAGACAAGAAAGAAGTTCTCCTTCGCGATGAGGACCCTCATGATGAGGAAAAAGGCGGAAACAGTATTACCCTAGCAGTTCCACCTTGTCACTTGCGCTAATATTGTTCACATCTCATAGGCTTTTTTTCTGGACAGTCTGCTCATGGGATCTCTGGCACAGAGGTGGATAAAAGCTCAGCTGTCTTCAACGGAGACGCTATTGTACAAAGAAGATTGGGCTAAGATTCTCCCTAACACATTCTTCGAGGAGGATAAGCCTACATTCTACGCAGCCTATGGTCAACTTATCAATACGATTCAACTTATTCGCCAAGATGCCCCTGGTTTGGAAAAGAATATCGATGACGAACTTGATGGTGCTAAACGGGCCATGGTACTGGCTGATGATGGGCGGCAATATAACGATTCCTCGTACATGATCCAGGCTTTGAACAACAAGCTTGCCGCAAACGATGTATCCTGGGTAGGTCGTTTTCCGTCCTGATTTGACCATTCAAATATACTTGGTCACCCAGTAGTGTGCTAATCTGGCTGAACAGGAGGTGAAAACGAAAACTGTCGAGGGCCCTGAGGGATACACTTGGGAACTAGTCAATATTGAGGCGACCCTCGCGGCTCACCCTGAAGCATCCGAGGACCTGAAGAGCGCAGTCCGTCAGCTTGGCTCGAATTGGGGAACTGCAGCCAGTGAAGACGTAGGGTCAAAAAAGCATGTCGAGGCTCTCCTCGCAAGTGCACTCTTCCAATCAACACTTCTGGGTGATAGTACCTGTGAGTTTGAGCTGTGATCCCCCTATTCAAATGTTCTCCGTATTCTTAGGGCTTGACAGTACTAGTACATTGGTATGACCATATATATGTACGTACTAGTACCACAGGGGGACTCCGGACAACATTTGAATGCTCTTTTCAAAATATCTGAATTTGCTTCTTGCATGTCTGCACTTGTCAATAGTACTAGTAGTATACTTTATTTTCTCCATGGCAAAATTGAATGTGCTTGAGCCGAGATGTCTTCAAGGGCACTTTTATCTACATACTAGCTCCAAATCTTCTACTGAATATAACAAAAAGCCAACATCTGGAACAATGAAAAATTACTATCACAATATATGTATATGTACATTGTGACATAGTTGTATTAACATGTATAGTAGGTGCTGGACAAGGAAATGCATCTGGAACACTGAGTTGAGCGTCATGATTTGAATAGACAAGAAGTTCCACCTGCTACTAAGCAATGACCTTGTTTCTAAGACGGCCTCTTGTCCGATAGGATGTCTTCGATCGTTCTAACAAATGTTCCTCACGAGCTCCAATCAGCCCTGCCCGTCCCCTATGCCCCCGTCCTCGCCCTCGTATTGATATTGGCCATGGAATCCGGGTAGTTCCGGGTGGTGGCCGGAAGCCCTCTTCTGCCTCCTCTGAATTGTTGCACATATCGGTGCACAGTCGAAACATTATCGCACCGCGCATGCGTGATAGTCTGTGTTCTGGTGTTGGTAATTTCCGTCTCAATATCCGATCAATCTCGATTGCTAATTTCTCTTGAAGGTCTTGAGAAGATTCTCTGTGTAAGTCCTGAGCAGCGGTAACGTGACCCTTTTTTTGTGTTTCCTCCGCTAGAGCAAAGAATTCATCGAGTCTCTTTTGATCTGAAATATCAACAAGTTGAACTGGCGCATCGCCTAAGAGTCCAAATAGACCTGATTTTAATCCATACTCAGAACTGGCGTGTATAACAATCTTTCTAGTAACGACCACCAAGTTTGGTATTGATTTGAGGAGACTTAGGTCGTATCCAGCAAGATCATTTATCATTAAAGAGCCACCCTGCGCGGAGTTTGCCGCATGCCAAGCAAGATACTCAACAGGGTTACCCTCACACTCGTAAACGACATCCCAATATATCCAGTTAAGATGCACAGTATCTCGGGATGGATCTATTAGACCGAAGTTCATCGTCTCGGATTCCCAAAAAGCTTCCTCGATCATTTCTTCATACGGGAGCGGGACGCGACTCTGCAAAGCAAGATCGCGAGACTCGCGACATACACGGGAGATGGCTGGCGGCCTGAGGTTCATTTGTGTGGTCATGCGATTTCCACAAATAATTGGAATAGCCCGAAGGCTTCTTTGGTAGAACTCATCCTCGTCTAGCTCGTGGACTCGATATGGCAGACATTCACGCCAAATCATGATTCGAATCTCTGCCGAAAATTCTGGAAAGCGCGGAAAGGCACCGGTGCCCGGTGAGTTCACCATTGTCATAATGTATATACCGGACTCGTTATTCACGTTTCCTGATAAGGATGGATGACTTTAGCGTATCGAATTGGAATACTAGCGTGGAAGGGATTTTTCCGGGTTCCAGCTCAGCGGTACCCAAAAAAAGTTCAGTGGTAACTTACCGCTGAGATCGGGCAGCTTAACTAGCGGTACCTAGAATTAGTCTGAACTTTTTAGGTAGGTTAACTACCGCTGAACTTTTTTTAGGTACCGCTGAGCTGAGTGCCCGGGGTTCCAGCCTGCTCATGTGGACCGCCGTTCTGATTACGTAAACATATCATAACCATCAAAAATTTCCCAGCGTTTGTTCTTGATTCAGATCATCTCTCAAATTATTCTAAACATGTCTCAGAATACACAAAATCCCGATGGGACCTCCCCAAATTCGTCGGCGCCGGCCGACTCCAAGATTGATCACGCCGCTTCGATTAGGTATTGGAGCAGTCTTCCTAGCACCACCAGCAATATGTTGGGGATGCTTGGCACGTATCCGTGGTATTCGCGCATCGAGTTGCAGGGCTCAAAGAACTTCTTGAACAAAGTCCGCCGCCTTATACCCGCGCTTCAATCCGATGGCAAATTTAACCTCGGAGTCGATTGCGGCGCCGGTGTTGGACGCGTCACCGAGGGCTTTCTGCGTCATGTTTGCACAGTGGTAGACGCGGTAGAACCGGTGCAAAAGTTCACCCAAGTCCTCGAAGAAGGCCAACTCAAGAAAGATGGCGTTATAGGAGACATCTATACCCTCGGTCTTGAGGATTGGTATCCGGAGAAGAAATACGACCTGATTTGGACTCAATGGTGTGTGGGTCATCTCACAGATTCGCAGCTGGTTCAATACGTGTCTCGATGTCGGAATTCTCTGACAGATGGCGGGATCATGGTGATCAAAGAGAATCTATCCACTCATCCTGGCGGTCAAGATATGTACGACGACGAAGACAGCAGCGTGACAAGGACGGACGCGAAATTCAAGCAGATCTTTGAGGAAGCTGGAATGGAGGTGATCAAGGCGGAGATCCAGACGGGATTTCCAAAACAGTTCAAACTCCTTCCTGTCAAGTCTTACGCGTTACGACCGAAAATCTGAGGATCCTGTCGAATCCACTGGGGCTTTCGATCGAATGCCCCTCGTCATTGTCGACCACCTTACTTGCCAAGACATCTGGCTCCGCAAACCCTGCTCTAAAATCACGATATACTTTGTTCGGCATGCTCAAGTTCATGGGTTCTATTGATGAGTTGAATGGGTTGAGTTCTATGGTTAATTATGCTCTGCCGGTCCTGAGAACCTATTTCGAGCTTTTTCGGTCCTCGTTATCCTTCAAAAAGACGTGAGCGGGCCACAATAAGCAATGGTTCTATGAGACCCGACACCGTGCGGGTAACTTTCCAATGGAAATAAGTCGGGAAATCTGCTCTAGTTCGAATTGCGTTCCGAAGCAAACGACATTCGACTCTCTTACTTGATTTGCGGATGGGTGGATTGCCTACCTTCGGGGTTTGCTCCAAGAAAGCCATTGATCACCCAGTGACTTAAAGCTAGGGAAGGCTATGCATGTGAAGCCCACTTCCGAATCTGAAACTCAGTAAACATTCCGAAGGGATCTATCAATCGTGTGGAGATGAACGCGTGGTGCCTTGCCACGACTATTTTTCTGGGCTTGGCGACTTTGGGGCTGTCATACTATTCAACCGCATGTTAGACCTGTAATACTTGTCCAAAGAGTGAGGAATGAGAAATTTTCTTGCGTCCAATTATTGTAACCTTTGCGAGGGGTTATTTGCCAGTAAATAGCAAGTTAGTTCCATGGTCTGCAACCATCTTCGTTTTTGGGACCCCGCAGATTTCCCGGCACTTCCTATGATTGAGTTAGAAAGTGCCGGATATTCCAATTGAAGCGTTTCTTAATTTCGAAGAGACAGCGCGCAATGAGGCATGAGACAAGGTCCACTTGCTAAATCGGCTCGGTATCCCTAGATTGCTAGCCCTTTGTTCTGGGCTCACCACCAAAACCGGGCGGGCTGGGAAATAAGGTTAGCTCATGCCCGCTGCCCGAACCCAAAGTGCCTTGCGTCATAACGCATACCCCTGTCGATGATCAACCCGCGGATCTACGACGATCCGCAAAATTGCGGCTTTTTGAAAACATCGTGAGATGCTTCGTCAGCGACGCAAATTGCAGAAGGTCTAGTATTTAATCTTTCATTGCCTGGAGTGATGATAGATTATTCGGCTAAGTCTCAGTACTTACTGAATCAGTACAACAATGGGTCGAGCGTGAGTTACCTGTTATCACAACAGCCTCAAGCGACAGGAACTAATCGGGCCGCAGAATTGATGGTTCAGCATTGAGCTGGGCCGAAGCCGAACAGGCTGCACCTGTAATCCGCAAATGGGCCACAGAGGTAATTGTTACCCCCATAGACCGAGGAAATTTACTGATATCGATAGCAACTACTCCGTCTCTGGCATCAACAGAGAAATCGAAACGACCCCGTCCCATTGTGGGGGGACGAAGTCAGTTTGAAAACCCAAAGTCTGGGAGAGACACATTCGCTGACACAAGAGCCCAGATCGAATACGCATTGGTTGACTTTGATCGCGAGAATTCGCGGGCCACACTATTGCTGGAGCAAGAGAGAGTGATTCGGCAATGGGAAGCGAGCCAGTGTTGCCCAAGCGATGGGTACAACCAACTCCTGAAACAAGGCTGAGCGACAAGATTGAATGCTGACAGGTGTTTGACAGAGCTACGTTACAATGGGAGTGGGCATCTTATGTTGTCGAAACCACCCCTGCAGCTCCATACAATGGCAAGGTAGGGGATCTCTTACAAGTTGAAGCAAATATGCGTCAAAGGTATTAATTATGGAAGCTTCTGATGTCAATATAAGTGCTAACAATCAGTGTTAGGAGACATGTAATCAATCGATACCTCTTGCCTCATCAGCAAGCCATGTCTCTCTGTGTTTTCCCTCGAGTGGGAGTCAAAGACACATGGACTACTCCCAGTACACCCAATCATCTTGTTTGTCCCCTGCCTCGATATCAATTGCTGGCGAAAAATGTTCAGGACCGCCCTCAAGGTCGAATGCGGACGTACTTTCCAGTCGCTCGGGATGAATTGACGTCAAATCCGTTCCACGATGACCCACCGACGGGGAAAGGAATTACTGAACATCTTTGTTTGGATGAGCTAGAGATCGGTACCGGGTGCTGCAGCATTCAAACAACCTTTCAAGCGGCCAACGAGACCGAAGCTCGATGGCTGTACGATCAACTCATTCCGCTGGGGCATGTCCTTCTTGCCATGACTGCTGCGACACCCATGTGGAAAGGATATCTAGTTGATACCGACATTCGATGGCAAAGGTTTGGAGACTTGGTTGATGATCGCCGACCCGAAGAAATGGACTATGTGGTAAGTGAAGTTCTTTTTCTGGCAAATACACGTCGTATGATACTGATTTTCTGGGAAGCCACCCCGTTGGACGTGGAATCGGACATATCTCTCACGCGACAAGCCTCCAATGCTAGGAGGTAAAGCCCCTCTTCAGCCTATGGACAAGACCATCAAGAACCGGCTACTTGAAGGGGGCATGGATGATGCACTTGCCGAGCATTTTGCATCAATCCTCACCCGCGATCCACTCCTACTAACTCGGGCAGATCTCGACAATCTCAATGAGTCAAACTCGAGATTGTTTGAACTTCTTCATGGCTGTGTGTGGCATCATGTTCGCTTCAAGCCTCCTCTCACTGATAGTGGACCCGGGTGGTGTGTTGAATTCCGACCGATGGAGGTGCAACTGACAGATTTCGAGAACGCGGCGTTCGCGATCTTCATGTACCTGCTATCTCGGGCGATCACCACCTTCCACTTGAATTTCTACCTACCTCTTGACATGGTCGGCGAGTCTTGGGAAACGGCCCAGAAGCGTAATGCTGCGATAGAAGGGCGTTTCTGGTTCCGGCGATCAGGGTGGTCTTCTGAATTCCATTCCAACGGTCAATCTGCCAAGTCTATGTGCAAAGATAAGACCCATCATCACCACGCGGAGAAAGAATACGGGCTCATGACTGTTGATGAGATCGTCAATGGTGAGGATAATCCTGAGGGGTTCCCCGGGCTTTTGGCCCTGGTGTGGCAATATCTTGACCACACGGAGGTTTCCACTGTCGAAAAATCTCAGCTCGCTCCATACTTGGATCTTATTGAGCGACGCGCGAATGGAACCAGTCCGACACCGGCATCGTGGATGCGTGAATTTGTTCACCAGCATGAAGGGTACAGCCGCAACAGCTATGTTAGTGAGCAGGTTTGCTATGATATGATGGAGGAGATCTCTGCTTTGAACAAAAGTTAGACTTGCGTCCAAGGCCAACCTTTCTACTGACAAGCATCCAGCTTGAAGTATAGCCCAAATGTCGAGAATCATATAATTTAGAACTAGAGCTTGTTATCCGCTCAGCCAAACATAACCTGGGTAAGGTTTAACCAAGTCTTCTTCCCAGTCTTCCTACCAAATTACTATCCCACTTAAAATGACTAAGAATAACCCTGGCTAGGCGTAATTTCTGAAAAGGGGGCACTCAATTTGCGGTTCTGGTAAACATTGCACAATTAAGAGACTTTTGAAGAGCTTTAGCGGGGTCTGGAATTACCTTCGCCTCTGTCGACCGGAATCATCCCTCATGATACGATCCAGCTACTTGACAGAGCACAGCACACCGCTGCGCAAAATATACGTCCGCCTATCACTCTCGGCTCCGCCGTAAATTCCAGTAATCAAAATCCGCCGCTTATACTGCAAGGAGCATGGTGAACGCCATTGATTATGTGAAAGTGGGAAAGCCAGTACTTGATAGATTTTTCTCATGGCCCTTAGCGCCTACTTTACTGAGGTGTTTAGAGAAAAATTCAAACCAATACGCAACTCCAACAGCGAATCCCAACTCAACATCGACAAACTCACTCAGATATACTGATATCGCGCCGGGTGTCGGCCAGATACAAAGCACATCTGACACGCATTGCAGGACAGGCCAGGGCCAAAGTCCCACTTGCAGGAACGACACAACGATAGCCAAATGACCACCAAGCTCGAGAACTTGACTTTCTCGCCAATATAGACCTGTTCTAAGGGCCGCGTTCACCGTAATCATCTAACTTATCCCTTTAGCTTAGCTTCGAAAAGATATTGCAAGTCCTAGCATCTGCGTGGGGCTTGCTAGGGTTCAATGCCCTGATGAAATCAGAAACTCATGGTTGATCAGCGACATACAAAACAAGATTTCCTTTCAAAAGACTGCATACAGTAGCTGGTACGGATTTTAAGAACCATTTTGTTGTTTGACCAGTTCCCAAATTGAGCAGAACAAACGTTTCTTCCATTTTCAGCGTAAGTCATTTGTCTACTTCGCATGATCCGCATAACTGCTCCTGGCTCGGAACTTCTCCCCATACTTCCACAATATAAACGGAATAGGGCACCCAACAACCAGTGCTAGCAATGCCAAAATGCTGTTTCCCCATCCATATCCCAAGGCTGAGTACATCTCTGGGCTGAAGAGGGGAAACCCGAACCCTGTCAATCCCCGCAAAATATACACTGCTCCATTTGCGCTCGCGGCATACACCGGGAAAGTATCCAAAAGATAAGCACTGACACACTGGAAAACAACAGTAGCACCCATCAGTGGCAGCGCAATACCAAGGTCAGGAATGATCCAGTGTGCCTTGTACTCCGCACTCCATCCAAACCACAAAAGGCCGATTGGTACGAGCAAGGATGCTGGGACCATCATTGGGAGGCGGAATTCAGGTTTGCCGACACCACGGTTCCTTGCCACTTGGTATCGATAGACCCGGTCGGTAAGGAATGCACAAACGGCTGCTCCAAATAGATAGCCAATGCAAGGCGCAATATAGTTGAGCGTGCCTATGCTGAGCTTCATATGGTATTGATCTTTCCATAGGTTGGAGAAACTGCAAAGAAGCAGATACACAATCCCATAGAGGTATCCATAATAACAAGCCAGGGCCTGTACAATGGGCTGAGTGCAGAGGAAGTATAGGGATCGAAAGAGTGTTCGTCGATAGCGCTGACCAAGAGTCTCATTTTCTTTCTCATATAGAGTCTTCCAGACTGGCTTGGCTCCGTCTTTTTCTCCAATGTATTCCTTCATTTTCTTTTCCTTCTTGCGCTGAAGGAGAACTGGAGCGTAACTCTCTCGTGCCATAATGGCGCATAAGACCAGGAATGCCCCTGATGCAATAGATGTTGCGTAGAATGCCCAACGCCAGGTGGAGTAGTCGGCGATGAAACCACCAACTATGGGACCTAGGCAAGATCCCAGCACCGGGCCCATGCTGACCAGAGCTACGGGGAGCCCTCGCTCTTCCTTCCGAAAGACATCTCCAATCATACTCGCTCCAACCTAGAGCAATATTAGCATTTAAAATGTTTACTTCAAAGAATGCACACTTACCGCTAATGAGGCACTCGCACCCGTTCCGCTCAGTAAACGAAATAGCAAAAGCTGCGGCATGCTTTTCGAGAAGCCAGCAGCAAGGTTGAAGGCAAAGTAGAATAAGTTTCCTGCCTGTAACACTGGCAATCGTCCATAAAGTTCACTCAAAGGACCAAGAAGGATAGGTCCAAGGCAGTACATGAGAAGGAACAAGGACAGTGCAAGCGGTCCGGCGACAGAGGATGTGACATTGAATTCGGCAGCAATAGCCCCTTCCGCGGGAGTCGTGATGGTTGAAGAAAGAGGCATTAAGAATAATGGAATAGCCACAGTGACCATGATAAGCCATCTCCGAGACTGTGGCCAGTCATGAGGGTGGTCCCCTTCGAAATCAACCATCATGATATTTTTCTCGGATGCCATGTCGACTGGTGATCGTCAGTCAAACTCAGAAGAAGAGCGATGGCGGTTATTCAATGTTCAAATGTGAGATAGCTGGCATCAAATAAAGCACTCAGATACTTGTGATCGACAGACAAGCGTCGATCGTTTTCAACCCTCCTTCTCCCTAGATCTTGAACTGTGGGTATCGAACGCGTACACCTCTCAAGCAACATTATTTTGATGCCATGATATATGTTTGATCGGCATGGATCCGGAAGATCATGAAATCTCGATGTTCCTGAATTATGGGTCTCAAGAAAAGCGGACCTGATATAACTAAAAATTGAGGGACGAGCGATATCTGGATCTGATGTCATTGTATGGGGCCCTTCGGACCCCTACTTCCTTCTGATACTCCACCTTAGAGCAATAGTCATTAATGCGGGGCTTTTGACGCGTCAAGGGATCAAGATCTTATGAAGCAAGTATCCCTTGAATTGGAATGACTTCATCAGGTAATGATCGCACCCGCGTTTCTCGCGATTCGGTTTCCTAGGGCAGGTTAGGATCGTCATTCCTTTGGTGAGCTTCGAGAACGCGAGGTATCAAACTTTCTGCGGAATGAGCTTGCGCACTCAAAATGGATACTATCAATTGGGGAGGTTTGGGGCAAGAATATGGGCCCAGTTCTCGTTGTTCAGTCGTTAAGTCAAGAGACAAACGGAGGTCGAGGCTTGATCGGGGAGTTTCTCGCAATCAGAAACCTGAGGCTCCATTTTCACTGCGGCACTTTCAAGCATCCATGCGATCTCTTAACAACGAGTCGCTCGTACAGAAAGATGAAATATTGGCTTTTTCTTAGGGGTTCACCGCTACAGGACATACGCCGAGCATCATATCGAGATCGGTTCACCGAAATGTAGCGAAAACCCCCGGTCGCGGAGAAATGCCGAATGAGTCACTAGCATCACTGGCGAGACTTCTCAACAATATAATCGAACGTTTTGCCCTCATTACCCCATAATTTTCCTGGAAACATCTTCGTACGTGAGCTTCTATCGCCTATCGTACCATCACCATGATCAAGGGCCAAGTCATCATTGTTGGGTGAGCGCGAAGACCGAGTTTATTCCTCAACGCAAACTAAACACCAGCCACATTTCTCTAGTGCCGGTGTTTTAGGCCTCAGCTGTGCCTTACAGCTGTCTCGATCTGGCTATACAGTCACAGTCATCGCTCGAGACCTTCCTGGTGATTCACATATCGATTATGCCTCTCCATGGGCTGGGGCCCACTTCCGCCCCTCCCCCGCAAAAACGCCAGTAGAGCAGCTCGAACAACGATTGATGCGGGACACGTACAGCGAGCTTGAGAGACTGGCAAAGGAGCATCCTGAGTCCGGCGTCAAGATTGTCCCGGCGATTGAATACTTTGACTCTGCTGAGGCGGACTCGTTCCTAGCCAAGGAGAATGGCTACATTGACTGGCCCGATTTTCGGATCCTAAAGTCGGAGGAATATCCTGCGGATCATGAGTCGATTCAATTGGGTGTCACCTACCGCAGCTGGGTCTTGAACTCTCCAGTATACTTGCAGTGGTGTCGGAAGCAGGCTGAAGAGCAGGGTGTTGGGTTCGTTCGTGCAACTGTAGCATCCATGGACGAAGCGGTCTCGATCTTCCAACAAGAAAAGAGAGGAAATGAGGGAAGTGACATCCGGGCCGTCATCAATGCGACAGGTCGTGGATTGAATGATCCCGACTCCTTTCCATCTCGTGGTCAGTTCATCATTGTGTCCAATCAATGCGACAAGACGATCAGCCACCATTGGGCAGATGGCTCATCGACTGTGATCATTCCCCGGCCTCTGGGAGGAGGTACAGTTATTGGTGGGACAAAGGAGCCTAATAATTGGTCAGTTCTTTTCATGTTCTCCATAACTTAACGAATATCTACACAGCTAACCAGCGTAGGTCTGAGGACATATCTGATACTGCCACTGAAACAATCCTTGCAAGGGTTGCAGGGATCTGTCCTGAGCTGATCGACCGGGAGAACCCTGTTACTGAGAATACTCAAGGATTTGACATTCGTCAGGTCTACATTGCTCGTCGACCCATGCGACGAGGCGGTTTGCGCCTGGAAAAGGAAAATATGAACCAGGGTATTCCTCTCATCCACTGCTACGGCGCTGGTGCGAGTGGTTTCAAAATAAGTTGGGGAGTGGCCAGACAGGTCGAGCTCCTGGTTGCTGATACTCAGCTTCTTGTGAATAATCCTTTAGAGACATCATGAGCGTGTTAGCAACATCTTCCATCATGCGGCTAGTCGTGCTCGGTCGAGGCTGCTTTGTCAAGTGGAACGGTCCTCAAGATATTTGAGTAGATCCAAATCTATGCATTCGCACTCAGAGTCTATATCTAAACTTCTATTAAACAACAAAGCTTTTGATCGGAGCACATCGACGCTCCCTCAGTCTAGTTTTGCTTCTTGGATTCGTTCTCGGGAAGCTTCCAGTGGAGAACACCATCCGAGTTGACATCGGAGACAACCTTGCAAGTGGTGAAGGTGTCAACCAACGACTTCAGGAAAAGGCCCTCGTCGAGGTGATACTGGTCTCCGAGGTAGGGGACAATCGCATTGGTGGCCTCCTCGGCGTGGTAGAAGGGGATCTTAGGGAACAGGTGGTGAACAACGTGGTAGTCGATAATCTCGTGGAAGAAGTGACGACCGATGAAGCCGAAGCGACGGTCAACGGTGGAGAGGGCACCCTTGACGAAGGTCCACGCGTCCGCATCGTAGTGCGGCACCTCGGGGTGAGTGTGGTGCAGGTAAGTAATGGCAACTAATATAGCATGTTAGACGTGAAATCATGGAGCCGCGGTAATAAGTCAATCCTTACCAAGCCAGTGGTGGACCCAGAAGTAGGGCACAACGTAGAGCAAAGCAATCTTCCAAGCTCCCATCTGGGTGGCCAGGTAGTAGAGCGTGCTGCCAACAATCAGGAGGCCAATGTCAGTGATGGCAATCAGGTGTGCCTGGGAGTCGGTGAAGAGAGAGCCGAGAGGGTCAAAGTGGCTGTTACGGAACGGCTTGGGGCTGTTTGCCTTCTCGGGCAGACTCTTGCTTCCAGCGCTGATATTGAACATCAGGTAGAATTGCCAACCAAGGATCTGGTGGCTCAGAAGAGCAACGGCGTTATAGAAAGGAGTCTCCTCAAACAGCTCCTTAAGCTTCTCGATCATGGTAGGCAGTCTGGTCTGGCGCTGCTCATCGGTGGGAGGAACGAAGACAGTGTCCTTCTCGATGTGGCAGTGATAGCGGTGGTGTCTCGCATGAGAGATCTTCCACGAGAAGTACGGCACCATAAGCAGGGAGTGGACGGCCCAGCCAACAACATCGTTCAGCATGGGGAACGCGGAGAAGGCACCATGTCCACACTCGTGGCCGAGAATCCAGATTCCAACGCCAACACAGCCCTGGAGGAAAGTATAGGCGGCCCAGGCACAGGCCCGCTGTGTGGCAGTCGGCAAGAGATCGATGTGAAGAGCTGCGTATACGAGCACGGAAGCGTAGATGAGGTCGCGGGCAAGGTAGGCGAGGGACCTGATCGCAGAGCGCTCAAAGCAATGAGCAGGGATCTTGCTTCTCAAGAAACCATAGGTGATATCCTCGGGCTTGAAAAGGTCAGCGCAATTGCAATTGACATGCTCGAAAAGCACCGAAACTCACCTTAGCTTCGGCCTTCAAGCGGTAGGTCACCGGCTCGACCGTCTGGATAGTTGATGATGCCATCTTTGGGTATCAAATGTTGCTTCAATCACGAAATCGAGTTGAGTCAACAAGAATAAATGCAAAAGGAAGCCTCGCCCCCTGTCAAAGAAAAATTATCTACGATAAACGCATGGTCCAATGATTGGTTCCTGAATTACCCTAATCATGGAGCCCTACACGAAGACATCTCTTGCCCCTTTCCAGACGGTGGCGCAGCAAATCCATGGATGGAGTCCAAGAATGCACCAATGTGATAGTATGTCTGATCACTTCCGAGACGCGTTCCAAAGACTCGCTTAGTTGTCCAACAGAACCGTTGAAAATCGTTGAGTTTCACGGGATTCGACGTGGAGAACATTGAAATTTCTAAGCTTGGCGCTAAATTCAATTTCTTTTCTCGGCCTCCGATTGGTCCCGGCATCGCTCAAAGTTTGAGCCTAATCGCTAGCTTCGATGGAGTCTGCCTCAGGAGCGTTGGAAATTTTTCTTCCCCTTTTTCTAGATGAAGTTAGTTGGTTGGTTCTTTTGCTGATCATGCTATTATTATTTTCTTATTTGCAGCGAGATACAGCTCACGACTCTGTGCTTTCAGAAGACTAAGGCATTGTCTACGTAGGGTTCAATTAGGGTTCGATCTTATCACTCAGCCCACAGCCATTATGTTGCCAATATTGTGTCAAAGGGGCGAGGAATCCTTCGATCGGGAAGTTTCAGTCAGACAACGGAGCAATTCGGACAGGGGGTTTCGTTGAGATTCTCATTAAAAGAGGAAAGAATCCACCGCGGAGAGCTCCCTGACAGACGGAGAAACTAGTCCGAATGGAGGTGTGGATCTAACCCCCGAACTCAACAATTGAAAAAGTATCAGAAAAATTGGAGCAAGACGATCAATGGCATGTGAAAGGGGTATCTCCGGTCTTGCCACTAGGGCCGAGGACGAGAGAGAATGAGAAATCAGACCATCAACTCGATTGTACGGATACAATTGCTTCGTTCTGGCGTGAATTGTGCAACTCGCGTCCGAAGCAGGGGCTATAATGTCGACCAATAACTAGCTCTCGTGTCTTTTCTCCGTGAACCAAAGTCTCCAATTTGACTCAATAAATGGCTCTGAGGACTCGAGGATGCAAGGCCTTGATACCTCATTGACCCAAATAGCCTAAAGACACACCTGCGTTTGCCGCCCTTGAGATATCAGATATTACAGCCACTTTGCTTAAGCTACCGCCTGGGCCCCGTGGCAAGAACTTCCGATGTCCTATGCCAACGTGTCAATTCCTTTTGCAATTTCAACTTGGATAAACAATCTGACATATCCACAACGTGATACCTTAGTGTCAGGCTATTGCGATTGCCCTTGCCGCTTTGACTTCTCAACAAACCCCGGCGCTGAGATCTAGAGACTCGAGCAGTGGGCAAGTCAAATTTCAATGGAACCTAATCTTCCTTAAGACAATCTTATCCATATAGCTGGGCTCTTTAAGCGGAGTGGTACATCGTGAGGAGGTAATTAAGGGTCTACGTAGAAATATATCGAGAAAGGAGGCGTAAAACATGAAAACATCCCCGTCAGCTTGGAATTTCGAACTTTTAAAACAATCAATGTCAGTTCTTCTCTCTAATTCTTTTCGTTCAAAGCCAGGGAGCAAGCCGTTGTGAGGTGAAGGTAATAGTCATCTTTCTCCAATCTTTCTCGCTCTTCGCCTTCGTGCTGTCTTCCTCTACGTGCGATTCTCCCTTGATTGTCAACCACCCGCACCCCAGCCCCGCGACGACCCAAACACATGCCGGGCCCAGGCCTACCTAGAATACCTGAGTCAAAGCCGTCTTGTATGCTTCCAGCGCTAGTTCCAGTTTCCGAGCAGAAGTCGGCCTCTTAGGGGGGGGTTGCCTCAGGCCGTAAGATGCTGGTCACATCTAGACGCGGCACAGATAATATCACAACTACCCCAAAGAATTGTGCAAAGATAAACATAACGATGGCCGGGGAGCGTCGGGAATCGGCTTGTAATGCCGTATAAGGCTGCTGAAAAAGAAGCCCACATCCAAGGCCGATTATGGCTTGATAACGGATGAGAGAGAGAGGAGGGGACGAAATGATAGTTACAGTGATGCCAACACCAATAAACATGAGTGTCACCATTGGCCATTGAAGGGAGATATTTAGCATCTAATCTTAGTCACGAGGATGCCTCCTAGAACGAGGGCGATCAGTAAGCGTAGGGTGCGAGAAAGGTCGAGTAAGCCGGAGTGTATAGTGCTAACTTGTCGCACAATTTGGTAATATTGTGGAAGCTAACAAAGCAAATCAGCTGGACGAAGATGTGGGCAACTGGCTTAAGGGAATAGCATCTTTCACATGACGTGGAAAAAGATACGGTCTCCGGCAGTGAAAATGATCTTCAAGACATTGAACGGCAGGATACGTGATCGTAGCAACCGAAGTGATAGCGTCGCCTGATCACCCATGTAGTATTGCTGAATTGCAAGTAACAGACACGGAGTCAATGTCACCGCGAGTAAGAGAACTACTTCTTTACTGCTCCAAGTATATTGATCACCACTTCACTGCAAGGCTAGAACGAGACGGATTATCAATGGCACGAAAGTCACAGTGCCGACGATGTCTAACTGGCGCAATTGACCCTAGGTCGAAACAGTATTGTATTGCCCCTTAGTTTTGGGAAGTTGCAGGCAAGTCAGAACGGTAAAAATCGGTAGCACGCCCAAGGGTATTCTAATTTAGAAACAGATGCGCCGGGGCGAATAAACAGCGATGGCACCTGCAAGTCAATCTGACTTGTGGTATTCTTCTTTGCCTCCTTGAAGGCAGGGCCCCAATCAGCGGCCTTTTGTCGCAGCAGTGTTCATAGGTCTTCTCAAGTATACCTCTCAAGAGGATATTGTGCCCTCTTATATAAAAACTCGGGAAAACCTCGCTCCGTAACTATACCACTGTTCAAATCAAGACAGCTTATAGTCAAAGTAGGAATCTAGACATTTTTCAAATTAAAATATACTGCAATACTGGACGGAATCATTCGACAAGCTCATAACGAATCGACTTTAGCAACTCCATGGACGGACGAACTACTCTAGGGGGGCTGGATTGCTGGCATAGATGCAATCACATGCACATCGCACGGTATTAGCAGGAGGGGCGTAAAACCCCCGTTTCTCGGACACGGCTCGGTCTTGCTAGTTCAGACCGATTGTTAAATCGCACCAACTAGTGCCGAATCATAGAGAGACAGGACCGAGGCGAAGGGCGGGGTGATACAATTCAAATTCACGTGTCAGTCCAACTCGCCCAACGGGAGCCTCGACATGGTCACAAAAAAACACTGCATTAATGCTTGAAACCCACAGCAAATATAGACTCGATGCAAAGTATGTATAATGCATTTCATCTCTAGTAAAGAAGACAACTCATGCCATTATGAACAAACTGCGCTGCGATGATATGGCTTCGCTCCTCATGCGCAAGTCCTCCAGTCCGTGCAATCAGTGCATCTTTCTTGTGAATCGAATGTGGCTTGGATTATAGAGGAACACAGGCAAAATCGTATAAAACTCCCTTTACACCTACGATGTGCATCCGTAATTACAAAGTTGCGATTAAAAGACCGCAGCGACTATGTCTCCGTCTCACCGCGACGAAGTGCCAACAGGGCCCGAACGTCGGTGACATACTGCAAAGCTTCCAGCACGGGTACCAAATGTAACAGACCGTTATCCGTGGGGTCATTGATCCAACCTTCGATAGGAATAGCGTTGTCTAGAAAATTATGTGGTTAGTCGAATGGACAGAGAGTAGCTGGCGCTGATTACACACCCTCGTGGAAAAGATAGCTCATCGGGCTGTTGTCCAAAATCATAACCTTGCTCAGGTCCGGTTCAACAGAGCTCAGATCCTTGATATATGCGCCGTTCCGAAACGTGCAGTGCTGTCTGTAGTAGCGTGCCTGAAAGTATTTGCGTTCCTGCTCGAGCCAGTCGATCACAGGGTCGGCGTACTCCTGTACGGATGCTGTAAAGATGACAAGTTTATACCACTTGGAGATCTTTCGCAAGAAGTCATCACAGTGTGGCCGCTTGTGGACATAGTACAGTATTGGGTGCTGCGGACCCAACGTGGCCTGCGGCCCTCCGGGAGTCAGAGCTGTGCTCACGGGCATGGAGAGTTTCACCTCAACCATATGCCCGCTGGACATGCGACCGCCCTTTGCGAGCGAGTGGATGAGCGTCTCATCGAGATCAAGCACCAAGGTTTTCTGCGGAAGTTTGGTATTGCGCGGTGCGGCTGTATATGAAGGCGGTCGCGGCGGGAGAAGCGGACGTGGAGGAGCTGGAGAATGGGGGTATTTTGTAATGCGATGAACAGAAGGAGAGGTAGGAGACTTCAAGCTATCCAAATTAACGGCGCCTTGAACTCGAGTTACACCCTCGGGCATCGGGTGCCCCAGATCCGCACTCTGAGTCCGTCGCTGTTGCCTCTGCTTTTTCAAGCTTTCCTCGTTATGCAGCTTAATTCGTATAGACCGGCGGGGTGTATTGTCGTCTTGGTTTGGGTCGGGGTCCTGGGCTTGGTTCTTGCTTGATCGAGTCTTACCGCGGGTCATGCCCTGAACGGGTCCGCGGTCGGTCTCTGATTCAGAAGTATTGGAATGAACGGATTCACGAGATGCTTGCGGCCTGGGCTTGCGAGTGGAGCCACTTCTTCGCCGCGTTTCTACCCGGGGAGCCCCCTTATCCGACCGGGTGCTTGTATCGGCAGACGTTCTCCAGATCTTCCTAACTGGGGCAAGAAGCGAATAGTGGCCGTCGCTATTTTGAAAGCACTGGGCCACGAAAATACCGGGGGCAGCGAGCGTGGATAGAATGAATTTGATCGTTTCGGCTATCGCGTCGAAGATCCGTTTGGTCATGAGCCGCCAAGTGCTCTTCGTTGCGAGAACATCATCTTGCTGAACGCCGTGAAGCAAAGTCGTCTTCTCATCAAATGGATAGTGCGTGTCCTCGTAGTCCTCGTCCGCCGCGTATGGAGCCGGGTGGTCGTAATCCTGCTTGGGGCTGGCACTTGACCGGAAGTTGTCCACGCTGTAGGACCGGTGCTTGCCGAAGTCAAAGTCACCCGGCGCCGCCGCGCGCCGTTTCTCGCTCTGTGATTGCGATCGTGGACGCGGAGAGCTGGAAGACTGCCCGATGACTCGCGAGGAGAGGATGTTCAGCGAGTTCATCTTCCAAGGAGGCCCACGGGAGACAGGGACGCTGGTGATCTATAATACAGGGTTTGGTCGTGAGCGAATCGTTTAAAAATTACTTGATGCGGTCCATCAGGGAAGTGATTCGTAGGGTCGTGGAGGGTCTCAATGGGAAGAGAGGGGCATCGTTGGGAGGTGTAAGCTGGGTTCACGACTCGTTCAACGGACCTCAATGCGCCAGTCTCACCCGTGCCTCGGAAGTATTTCCGCGCTCAACTCCAGACCGAATGTTGCCACGGAAGCAGGAGCCGGCTGCAGGGGACCAAATTGGACGAGGGAGATCGGATTGAAGAAATAAAGAGAGCAACGTCACGGGCGCGAAAAGGAGAAGGAAGCAGGACCGTGACGAGGGCCTAAAGTGTGGGGAAGCGGACAGCCGGCGAACGGCAGAAAATCGATTGCTTTGTTTCCCACTTTATCCTCACTGGAGTCTCGGTCGACCACCTGCGGCAGTTTTTTCTTTTCCTCTTTTCTTCTTCTCGAGGATCTCACAAAAGGCAGGCGCTCTTTCCTACTCTTGAGACTTTCCACCGCTGCCAGCTTAGAACCAAGCTAATCTCCTTACAGACTGCGCTGCGCTACCATATCAGACATCCCACTTCCTTATGCCGTCAACGTCGCTTGCCCTGACGCCGGGCTTGGGGTCTTTTCTCAAATCCCTCAAGACTCACCCAGTTGAGACCTCTATTGAGAATCTTATCTCGTGCGCTTTCTCCGTTTTTTTTTCCCACATAAAGCCGCCCCGCGGCAGACGAGTCCGTTGCTAACAGAGAGACTTCTCTCTTCAGATTGCTCAAACGACGACAGATCCGCCATTCGCGATCATGCGCTACAGCAACCGCCTACTTACTTCGTCATGTCGTCTCGGTGTGCAAGACATCCGACCCACTGAAGCTCATTGAGCGAGTGCAAACTGTGGGAAGGAGGCTCGTTGCGGCCCAGCCTCGTGAGATGGTAGTGGGCAACGTTGTGCGACGAGTGCTCGGGCTCATTCGCGACGAGGCAGAGGACGACCATGAAGCTGAGTTTGCCCTGAGTGAAGCTGGATCAGAGTCTCAGCCTCAAACTCCCCGGGCTTTTGACGGTCAGTCTTTCGATCTCCGTGACTCATACTGTACAATAGATCACTAATGATTTTGAATAGATCCGTCCCCGTCACTGCCCTTGGATAGAGATATGCTTTCTCTTCGTGCAGAGGGTGCAGAGCGCTCTTCGTCTCGCCCTACCCTTCATTCCATGTTCAGCCTCCTCTCCCATCCCGAAGCAGACTTTTCACCTATAAGCACCCCGGGTACACAATCTCCAAATGGACGGCTGCCCGGCCACGGTCCCGGAACCAAGGATGTCAAGGCCGAAGTGTTGGAAGGTATCGGTGAAATCATTGACGAACTGGGTCAGGTCGACGACCAGATTGCGTCCTATGCGTTGGAGCACATTCATTCTAATGAGGTTATCCTCACACATACTTCATCCACGACAGTGCAAAAGTTCCTTGTCAAGGCCGCTACTAAGCGCAAGTTCACCGTTATTCACGCCGAATCCTTCCCCAACAATCACGAGGCTACCCATGCCACTGTCAGCGGTACCCCCCTCGACGATGACGAGAACCTGAGTGCGGAGGCGTTCCAGAAGCCTCTGGTTGCTCTTGGCATCACTGTCATTCTCATCCCAGACTCTGCCGTCTTTGCTCTGATGTCTCGTGTCAACAAGGTCATCTTGGGCACACACTCCGTCCTCGCGAACGGCGGTCTCGTTGCTGCTGCAGGCACCCGGGTGATTGCCCGCGCTGCCAAGGTCCACCAAACTCCCGTCGTCGTTGTGAGCGGTGTCTATAAACTAAGCCCCGTCTATCCCTTCGATTTCGACTCTCTCATTGAGTACGGCGACGCCAGCAAGGTCCTCCCCTATGAGGACGGCGATCTCGTCGATCAAATTGACGTCCAGAACCCAATCTATGATTATGTCCCGGCCGAGCTGGTTGACCTTTACATCACCAACTTGTACGTTTTCCTTTTGAGTTGCCTTGATCTAAGCTATATGTGTGTGGCTAACCATTATATCTTCTCTATTGCAGGGGTGGTCATGCTCCGTCATACCTCTACCGTATTGTGTCCGACCACTACCGGAAGGAGGACATCAGCTTCTAAATGACAAGCTGTTGACGAAAAGTTCTTAGTTGGGCAGCTTTCTAGCGCTGCCAGTGGCATTCGTGGGCCACGTTGAAAACGATACCCGAGGAACGATGTGTGATGGTTGCAAGAACCTTGCTAGGATTTTCTATGTGGGGTTAAAGATAGAAAGTAAAGTATTCATGAGTCAATGCCAAATGACTTCTCCCGCGTATTCACAAGACGTGGAAAGTGGTAAAATCGTCCCAGCATTCTCGTCGGAAGTTCTCTTATTGCAACACATATCGTGGATAGGAGCGATAGAAAAGAGGTTGTGACTTATCTCAATAGTGTGGGGTCTAGAGAACGATATCCCAGATCTTGGGTAGATCTGAGCCAAGAGAATAACAAACGGACAGCCTTGTTGGGTTCACCGAAATAGATTGAGTGAGAATTCAATCTGGCCGGGTCAAACTACACCTGGCCCATGGGTTTCGAGCTACATAGTTTGCATCTACACGTCGAGACCAATATCAACGCAGGATACGAGTCGACGCAGACTACTCCGGAAGGAAGCAGGCCATAGCCCCCATATAAGAAAGGTCATAGCGCCATCTTTTTGGAATTGTATCTCAAATCGTGTTAATTCGCACACATGAATCAATCCAGACGAAAGCCCGCCCGGGTAGTTATTCCCAAAAAAAAGTTCTCATGAAATCGCGGCGCTGATGAAGACGGGCTTTCTGTCCGGCACCGACTCCCCACAAGACTCCATTCCCCTCCCCGTTCGTCCACCACATTTTGATTTTGATGGAGCTCTCCGTTTAAGAGCGGGGCTTCTCCTTCTTCTCCTTCCACAGAGCGGCGAGACCGACACCGGAGACCTTGACGACCTTGAAACGGACACCGGGAATATCACCCTTGGCCTTGCCCTTACGACCGAAACCGGCCAGGAGAACCTCGTCGTTCTCGTCGATGAAGTTCAAGCAACCGTCATTGGGGACTGTAGGAAAGAGGACGGGTTAGTGGATTGCTCTCGTTGGTTGCGATTGAATGCCAGATAGACCATGTTGGAAGCGCACAGTGCATTCAACTTGGACAGGCCTCGGTAGAAACATAGATTATATAAAGGTATCACCTACCGAAAGCAGCGACCTTCTTGCCGTTCTTGATGAGCTGGACCTTGACACACTTGCGGATAGCGGAGTTGGGCTGCTTGGCCTCAACACCGACCTTCTCGAGGACGATACCCTTGGCGTGGGAAGCACCACCGAAGGGAGAGGACTTGAAGGCAGTGCCGAGCAGGCGCTTCTTGAAGTGGAGATCGGCCCAGCGCTGCTCCTTGCGGTGCGCCTCGAGCTTGCGGGCGGCGTTGAGACCACGGGGCTTTCCTTTACCCATCTTGAATTATTCTTGTCTGAGGCGGTAGAAACGAATGTTAGTTTGCGGTCTGAAATAATTGTGATTTTAACGATGGCGAATAATTTCGTGGAGCGGGCTCGATAGATGAAGGGAGGTGGTGGTGATGATGATGGCTGGGGGTCTGGAATTTTCGTGCGTGCTGTCGGGATAGGTGATTTGAGAGTCGAAGTTTTGATGTCGAGTCGCCCAGAACCACCAGACAACACGAAGAAGGATTCCAGATGTTGCTTGTGCGAAGAGGATCACAGGGAATTGCTCAGGGGTCGAATACGTACCGACTGAGAATGGGTTTTGTCGAAAGGGTGAGGGTCGTGGGGTGTCGAAAAGTCGAAGGTTTCGGATTACCCTTGAACGCCGGCGCACTCGCTTGGATTGGGACTCTACCGCACCTGACTTTGTGCGCGTGCCCTAAGCGAGTCACGGGATCGGACAAACCCCCACCCGTCTTATGTCATCGACTTTGTTCTCTCCGATAAGATAACATCCTTATCGCCTATCGATTGGTGAGCTCCAACAGCCACTTTATCATTGCTTGTGTACTACTCCGAACTCCGGTCTACTTGCTTTCATCCGCCGAGGCAGCCTTCACTGTCATGGATTCCTCTAGGAAACCTCTCAGCTCTCAGCGGCTTCCGCCGCCCGCTCTATTTCAAGGCCCGCCTTCACATAATGCATCCAACATTTCCCTTTCCGTACCTCCTACTGGGCCGACACTCCCCGTCCCGTCGGGTAGCCAGCCTCCACCCCTCCAGCGCAACCGTTCCCATCGCGGCAAGGATGGCGGCTCTCCAGATAACCGCAGCTCGCTCTCCCCATTAATCTCGCGACGCCCATCCAAAAATGACGTGGATGGTTCCGACGCCATTTGGCAGGAAATGCAAAGCGCCCTTTCCGAGGTAGAACTCAGCGCTGTCACGAACGAGCATGTCTTTGGCGAAAAGCACGCCGAGGCCTTGGAGGACCTTCGCATGAAGCAATTGAAACTTGCTCAAGCCTGGGCTCGCAGTGAGGCAGACGAGGAAATCGTTGGCTCTAGCCAAAATACCGCGGATGGTGACAACTCTGCCGCAAGTGCAAAGCGTCGGGGGTCGGGGGAAGGCATTACTACGGATGCAACGAACAATACCCAAGCATCTGGCAGAGACCGTGTCTCTCATAGGACTCTTGACGAAGAAACTGAGAAGGATATCATTCTTGCGCGCAGGCGCCGTGAGGCCAATGATCGCTATTTTGATCGAGTCAACCAGGGTGTGTTGGACGTTGTCGCTAAGCTAGAGGAGGTCTCCCAGGCCATGCGCACAGTTGAACGAGAAAGCAAAGATATCTGGAGTGACTCGGAGAGTGTCACCACAGCCGCGCCCTCATCTGTAAATTCTGGTTGACAGGCATCGAAACCTCGAGGGTCTAATAGCCTCGGGGCTTTTGCACTTCCGCGATATATTACGCCTCCATGAACCCGCGCTGGACGCTTCACGACCTACTTTGCATGATACTATGTTACCGGTATATAGAACTATAGCCATAATTATGCATGATGTATATTACCAAATGAGAATTTCAGGAGCATGCGAAGCTCATTGAATGGGAATGTCAAAGGGTATCCTAACGCCGCGAACCATGCAAGACCAGCCATAAGGATGCATCATGAGAAGACATCCGATCCATGTAGCCCAGAGAAAACAAGATAAATCATGGATATCATCAATCCTTCTTCACCCATTGTGTAACATCCTTCCACCCCCGACATGCCGCCTCCTTTACACTCTCCCAGCGATTCCCATGCGCATTACGGGCAAAGTTCCCAACCTCCTGGTTCCACCTGTGCTTCAGAACATCTTTGATCGTGATCTGGTCTTCTTTCTGGGGTTTCCTTTCTTCAAGGGTTCGAGATTTATTTTCTGGGAAGAATCGGCGGTCATATGCGCCAGCAGAAGCGGCGAGCCAGTTTATTTGATCGACCTGCTCACGGATCTGTCGGCGCTGTTCAAGCCTCGTTGCGCGATGAACTGTAATGGTGATGTAGAGGACGGAGGTAGTAAGGGCAAAGCCACTGAACTATTTATTTTAAAGAGCAGTTAGCGCATCATTTCTAAGGTGCATGAAGTGCCAACGAGGACATACAAATCCAGAAACGAAGTTCATTGCGATCCCGGTCGAGCGGTCTCTCTCGGGATTGATTCGGAGAGTGTGTGTTAAATGAGTGAGGATATATTGACTCTGGGTATCTGGCTTGAAGCACCTTTGCTATTTGCAGTCAAAAGGAAGCCCAGAGCGAATGAGTGAGTTGTAAAGCAAACCTGCTGTCGTTGCGACAGGAAAAAGGGAAGTCGGACAAGGCGGTGGAAGCTCTCCGATTGGCCAAGCGCTCCCCGTCGAATCTTTTGATCCGAACTTCCTCCCTCGCGACCTCCGACTGGCACTTGCAATTCCTGGGGACAATTGAACCAGCCTGTCCGGTACACTAGGTTCTCAATTGCATACCTTTACTTTCGGCTCTCATACCTAACTTCAACCTTCCCCCATCTCACAGCCTCTCCCACCATGGCCGGCGGCAAAGGAAAATACCGACACCTGGGCCGCAAGTCCTCACACCGACAGGCCCTGCTCCGCAACCTGGTCACCTCACTGTTTGAGAATGAATCGATCACGACGACATGGGCCAAGGCCAAGGAGGCACAGCGGTTGGCGGATAAGCTGATTACTCTGGGCAAGAAGAACTCGGAGGCTAGTCGGAGACGGGCACTGGAGATTTTCTATGTACGCGATTATACCGGCGGATCCTCCCCTTTTCTTACAGCATCAAGGGCTTCAAATCGGCTATGTGGAGCGAATTGGACTTCCGATGGTTATTCGAATCTCATTCAGGCCAAGTGCTGACCATATCTGACTAGAAACCCCACGACATCCTCCCCAAGCTCTTCGGACCCCTCCGCGAACGCTACGCCGAACGACCGGGTGGCTACACCCGCGTGCTCCGCGTCGAGCCCAAGGAGAAATACGAATACTACTCTGTCCGCCGCAGCGACAAGAATGCCGTCCCCGAGCGCAAACCCGCCGACCAAGCGCCCAGTGCAATTCTCGAACTCGTCGACGGACCCAAGGACATGCGCTTCGCAATGACGGCACGTGCGATCGCGCGCCAACGTGAGGAGGGTCTCAATGAGCACGAGCTCACGGTTATGAATAAGAAGAAGGTCACCAAATTCCGGAAGGACGGTGTTGATGCGCTGGAGGCTGCCGTTCAGAAGTTGCAAATTCGTGACTCGGAGTCTGAGGGTGCTTCTGTTCTCGAGGGCGAGGAGTCGAAGTCTGTGCAGGAGGAGGCTCGACGGAGTGCGGCCCAGGCTGGTCGCTTGGCTAAGAAGCTTGGTGCCTAAGTTGAGGCAGTGAGCGAGAGCTAGTTGGTGGTCTGAGGGCCTTCGCTTGCATTTTCCCGAGTTGATGCACATTGAGGGGTCTATTCGTGGATTTGGCGGTCTTTGATTTTTATGCATGACCATTCATCTCCATTTTTCTTATCTGTTCTTATAGGAGTTTCTGCTGCTTTTGGTATCTTGTCTTCTATCCGTTGTGACCGCATCCATGTGACATAGCCTGTGTACAGTATAAAATATTTCGATACCTCTTTTCAACTAGTCCATCCACCGCGCTCTGTATATCTAATTGACCCTACTCTAAGAGTATCGGGTTTTGCAATATCTACTTCTATCATTATGTATCACTGGGAAGGAAGTGCTGTCTGTTCCTTCTCTCGATATTATTGCCTGTTCAACCCGAGATATATCTTGTCGCGGGAGCTCCCTCCACAATTACCATGCCCACCGAAACTCCCATGGGCAACCACACAAGAGATCTTCTGTCGGAAGCATGGAAAAACCCACTAATTACATTTCAATAACCTTCTGCTACTCACCTATCCATTGGCAGTAGCCTTGCATAGATACTTTGTTATTGTCATTGTTTGACGTAGATTGAAAGTCTAACTCTGCAAACCTGCACACGGTGGATGGAAAGCTGTTCAGATATGTAGATTCTTAGCTAAGAAAGAGCTAGGCTTCAAACGCCCGGATCGCCATGCAATTTGCTAACTGTACAAGCCCGCTTGGCCAACATACATCATAGTGTGAGTTGACGCCTCAGGACCAAACCAACTTCCACCAATACATGACTCAATGCATGAAGATAAGACGAAAGAGAACAGAGAAACACCCCGATTTGCGGGATCCAGTCATCGTCCACGGATCTAGTTCATCTTCGAAGCGGTGGTTCCTCCTGACACGACCAGAGGCCCGTTTTTGGCGGCACTAGGAATTCCATTACTCGCAACTGTTGGAGTAGGGAGGCTTGTGGATCCAGTGCGATGTTTTAAATCAAAGTCAGAGCGGACTTCGGAGGGAGGAGGTTTGGGAGGTAGGTGGGATGGCGTTCCCCATTTAGCAAGAGAGGTTTGTGAGCCTGTGCTTGGCGTGCGAGCTGCACTGGCAGCAGCGGAGTGATCGACGGAGTGATTGGGCATAGACTCTGGGAACCTAGGCCAACTGGGCTGTGCAGCAGAAGGTCTATTTCCGTACGGTTGCTGCAATGGATGCTGAACACCTTTGCCTGGGTGCCGTTGGGTCCCAGCGCCTCCCGGGACGAATGAGCGTGTCTGGGGGTTGAAATGGGACCTGGGAAAATTGCTTGCCATCGCCGAATTTCCAGCACTGTGAAGGCCAGATTTCATATGCTGCCCTGGGTACTGAGCATAAGAGTAGGTGGCCATGTTTGGGGGCATGGGCTGGGCCTGGTAGTTAGACCAAGGGGTCGGGTGTTGTTGGGGACGTTGATGGGGGGATTGCTGAAAGTTGCCCGGAAAAGCGCCCTGATTCCAACCAGGAGCCTGTTGGAATTGTGGCGAATGAGGGGTGGGGAAGTTATTCATAGCTGGCGAGGATTTGGTGGATGTCGGCTGGCCCATAATAGCAGGCTGATTCATCCCAGAGTACCCAGGGAATGGCGATTGCTGGGGTGCGTTCCCGCCTTGCCACGGGGCAGTAGAGCCCACTTGCGGCGACATTGCGGCTGAAAATTGCGGCACGTTATTCATACCTCCCTGCGCCGGATACATCGTGTTATTTTGACCAGCAGACATGTAGCCACCACTAGGCGGGGCTACACCCGGTCCAACCATGTATGGAACTTGATGGGCATATGAGCCATCGTTTGCAGACGTATTGTAAGCCGGGGAACCGTTGTTGGTAAACTGCATCCCGGGGTAATAGGGATTGAATTGGGAGCGAGCTTCAAAGCCGTCATCATGAGGAGTGCGCTGCTTCTGGTTCTTTTTGCGTCCGGTAGTCGAGCTCGAGCGGGACATGTTCGTGGTAGAGTCACCGCTAGCCTCTGACTTGGCAGTCTCGGGGAAATCACGAAAGATGCGCTCACGCACTTCTGCATATTTGGCTTCTCGTTCTTCCCGGGTCATAGCCATACGGTCCTTAGCAGACATTGAACCAGCCGAACCGGTAGGGTCTCCATCTTGTCCCGCATCATCGGTCTCTGACGCCGCCTTAGATGGAACAGATGAACTTGCTGCCACGCTGCCTTCGGCAGAGGGCCGTCCATCTGCCCGACGCATGATTTTCGTCGGCATAGGGTGAGATGGCTTTTCGTTTGAAGTTGGAAACAGCTCGGACAGGGGAGTGGGGCTAGGGCAGATTAGTCTATCTGAAGCCCATGAAGACTAAGTAATGAGACAAGAGGCTTACAGTCTGGAGAAAGGCGTCCGGTGGAGGCGCACTGAAGTCACGTTGTTGTCCACGAAATGGGTCAAATGGTAGTAATCTCCCAGTCTATGCGCGAGAAGTCGACCGTAGGAATTGTTGGGGGGCAGTTCCAAGGATTGTTCACTATGCCGTGGGGTTAGTGGTGAGGAAGCAACGACTGGACAGATGAGGGCGTTGATCGGTATTACCTGGAATATTCAATGAAAGCGCGGACCTTTTCCTCTATCGTGAGAACCATCAGTCGATCTTTAGGATTTTCCATAGCCGTAATTAGTTTTTCGTCTGGATGAAGAGGGAATGAATGGAGGCTCGGGGAATTTGCCGGGCTGTCAGGGTTGACCGGTACCACGAAGTTGTTCGCTACCGAGTCCGGAGGGATGATGACAGCACCCTGCGAATTGCCGTCGTTGAAGCCAGGGACGGGTGCAGGAAGAATCCCACGCGGGCGAAGAGCAATGTTATCGCGAAAATGGTCACGGAATACACGTCCACCGGCCTCCGATCCCGTCACTGAGTTTGGAGCACCTGAAGCAGCCCCGGACAGGGACTCTTCTTCATCAATGGCTTGCACGCTGGCACTGTCGTCGGGCCGAACTGAATCTTTCTCATCCATAGCGAAGGTTGTCACCGAAGCCAAGCTCTTGGAGTCGAAGTTGGTCATTTTGGTGGAAGAGGTAGAGAGATGAGTACGATCATCATCGAAGGAATTTTCACGCTTTAGAAGGCCATTCTCATGATCGTCGCTCGAAGATCCAGATCCTTGACGGTCCTTATGCGGACTAAGATCAATTTCTTGCACAACTCTTGCCAGATCGTTACCACTGGCACCAGCGAGAGGGATCTGTTCATTGATGGTATTGAGGTTGTGTAGTCCAGGCCCCAAAGCGCTGGAATCTAATGATTCAGAATAAACAGCGACATTTGCAGGTTGAGCGGAATCACTCTCGTTAGATGCCATGGGCAAGTGGGGGGTGGGGGGTGCAGGCATCGCAGCAATCTATCACAATATTAGCCCATGACTTGAAAACCAAAGACTGGCACGAGCAGCTCACCTTCGCAAAGGAGAAATGAGAATCTCCGGCTGAGTTGTTGTTCTGAGATGCCATATCTACGGCACCCGGCGAATATCGTCGGGGAGGGTGTTGCAACGAGGTTGGAAGGATTGCACGCGAGGTTCAGAGATAGAAGCCAAACCACGACAGCATTCAGTACGTCTCCGGAGTCGGACGAATCGAAAAAGAAGATTGAATCGCAAGGCAGTCACTGGAGAATCCCGGTTCACACAAGCCAAAAAAGAAAGACATATCTCGGTTGCAGGGCTTTCGCCATCGGGAAAAGCTGTGAGATGGCAACGTATTAGAAGGAATCCGACACGCAGTGGAAAGAAACTTGTCTTAAAGCCTTTACACAAGAGGTAGTTCTTCGGCGGGGAAATCGTTTGGGGAAGCGGGTCTCACAGGATGTCAAAGATGGTTCATAGTCAAACGCAAGATGAACCTCAAACTCGAGATAGGTGGCTGTTTCCGGGGAAGGGCGACAAAGGACCAAGCGTACAATGTCGCTCAGTAAGTTGATCTTGAGAATAACCAACACCAGAGCCCCAGAGAGCCAAATCGATTCCGTCGAGGAGAAGGAGCGTTGGGTGTCGGAGCTTTGATTATTCTTCCAACGCCTGAAGGTTCGTGGGTGCCATTCTGCCATGTCGGACCGCTTTCGCCGCGCGCCTACAATTTCCTTTTCATCAGAAAAGTCGCAGCAAACGAAGCACCTTGCTAATCGTTTAGGCCGACGTGGAGATACTGAAATTTGAATCTTCTCTTTTTTTGAATTCTATATCCTTGATTTGGACGGACCAACTCCCGACGGCGCCATGAACCGCTATCGAAATGCCCCGGGACTCCGATCCGGCCCTAGCAAAGCTTCTCCGACGACTTTATGCCAGAAATGCCTGAAACGAGATATGTATTTCCGGAAGAAATGCTGACCAGGATGATTGCTGACTCTTGTGCACGACATTATAGCTATGAATGCAAGGCAACGGCGCAGGAGCGTCCATATACGGCTCGGCCATCAAGAACCCAACAACTGCTGAACCCTCGGTTGATGCCCAAGCTCTCAGAGGACGTGCCTACTGATTTGGAGCGAACGTATGTTTAATTTCTAGTCTTCGAGTTTTCAATCACTTTTATATCGTTGCCACTGAATGGAGACTAAAAACGACGCTAGGACTGGTGTGGCAGACGAGATTCTTGCAAAACGCGAGGCGGAGCGTGGCCGGAAGAGAGACCATGATACGGATGATCTCGAAGACCGCTACGGTCAGTCTTCAAAGCGAGCAAGGTCTCTCTCAACAGATTCGGCAGATTCGATTTCAACAATCTCTACTAATCGATCTACGTCTGCATCGCCCGAGCGCCGCAGCAGACATGGCTCACATGCCAATGGTCGTCGCAGCTCAGTATCACCACCTACCGGAGAAACTCGTAAGAGGAGGTACAGCGATGCGTCGGATGGTTCGTCTGCAAAGTCCTACTCTTCGGGCGACAGGCAACGATCCAAATCCAGATCCCGGGAATGGACCGATGACAGGAACATTCGACGACGACGTCGGGAAAGCAGCCCAGAAGAACGTGGAAGAAACCGTGATTCAAAGAAACATGACTCTCGGAACACCGACCGACGCAGCCAGAGTGTGGACAAGAGTCGTATCGCAAAAGAGCGCCGTTCTATGACGCCAGACGCCACCTATGACCGTTCAGAAAAACGCACATATCGAGATCGAGAACCTCTACAAGGCCAACCGCAGGGCGGACGGTCGAGACAGGACCCCCGTTCGCGTGGAGGACCACCCCGAGAACGAAGCATGAGTCCCTACAGCAAACGGCTTGCGTTGACTCAATCTATGAATCTGGGTCGGTAGAACTGGAATACTAAGGAACAAGTCCTTCTCTCGCTCTTTTGCGGATCGAATATTACGGTGGATTGATTTTGGGCATGAGTGGTGCAAGTATGGTTCGTGGCGAGCGAGCATTGCCAACTTTCTGGTTTCATTGACCCCATTGGAACACCTTGTATTAATAGCATATCCATACTTCCCAATGTGCAAAACCTTTTCAACGCCACTTTTTCTGTCTGTAACAGTGCCACCGGTCCCAAATCAGACGCCCCGGACCATGAAGAAAAAAAAAACCAGCCTGACTTGGTAAACATAGCAGACGATCAAAAAGATTATCAAAAAGAAACGAAAAATGTACAGGAGCACGAGAGCCAAAACAGTGCCGGTAAGTCGGCCGTATAGGGTATCACTTCAAATCGTATCCTCATCGTTGTCGACTTCCTGCTCCCGCATATGAATCCCCTCCACTAGCGCATCACCCTCAATGCCAACATCCTCCCCTCCTTCACCGTTCGAAGTTGCACCCCGTTCCTTAGCCACGCGCTGTGCATTCTCTATCCGTTGTCGTACCAGGCGGGCAATAGCGTTCTCTGTCCGCACGTTGAGAATCTTGAGCTTTTCGTCCAGATCCCGCCGCAGGTCCCAATTAGGCTTCTTGGGTTGCAGCTTGAATAGATCGATAGGCTGATCGCCATCTTCATCCTTCTGAGCTTGTTCCTTCACAGCTTCAGCGATCTCGGCGGCTTGTGCCTCCACCGTCACTTTGCCCTCATGCGGAGCTTGCTCGAAGCCCAATTTTGGCCCGCGGGTCTCGGCATCGTAATTGCGGCCAGAGAGGAATTTTGTTGTCACATCTGAGGCGGACTTGTCTGCGTTTTCACTATCGGCACCGGCCTCTGTCGGTTCTTCAATTTCTGGTTGCTTGCGCTTAAGTGCGGCGAGCTTGGCCAGGCGGGCTTTGCGGTCGTTCGAGGCCGCGTCTAGCGAGGCGTGGTTGGAGGACATGGTGTGTAGGTGGTAGGAATGGAAAAAAGATAGGAGGAGAAAAGCCAAGCTGTCGTATCAGGAGCAACAGTCGCAAAGGCAATGCAAAAGAATGAACCCAAAGTCCTCTGCTCCGTTGAAAAATGTGGAGGCGCGCGATGATGTTGAAGCGATAACGACGAGTTACGCCACACTTCAGCCACAGCAAAATCGGGCGGTCTCCGCCTTTAAACTTTCGAGATTACCGCGTCGCCCACGGCAATCTACTCTCAACAACCTACGCCTCGGTCTTTGCACTTTCCAACTTTCGATGCAGGAGATTACGGGATCCTGAATGTTCTTTTGTCCACAACAGCTCGTCCGGGTTCGCCTCAAGGCGCTGCTGTCAGCGCCATGTAGGAGCCCCGGCTACTGGCATCGGAGCTCGTGGACCCCGAACACTCGATGCGCACTTCAATTTGCGCTGAATCATACTTCAACAATCCGACGGCATAATGGAGATGGACAAACAGTCGGAGAAGTCGTCACTGCATCCCCGGAAACTGAACCTAAACAAGATACAGAGGCAGACAATTCGAACCAGGTGGCCAAGATTCCCCGACTTCCTTACAATAAGAGAGCTGGCCTGCGGCGGGTCTCTAAAACGTCTGTCAAGAGTATCCTCTTCTCACATGGCCTCAGACCGTCATATGCAACGATAGTACAGCAGGGGCTCAACCATGAGATGCAGCGCGAGAAGAGAATCCTGAGCGACAAATCAGTCGCTATAGCGACAATCACACGAGGAAGGTCAATATACAACACCAGGGGAAGAAGGCTTCGAATGTGGCAGCGAGCATATGAAGAAATTTACAAAGCCAAGCATTACAAGCGCAACGTCAACGACGAAAGCATCATACCGGCACTGGACCAAACCGGGGAAGCTGTATTGGCAAGGATTCAAGAAGACTGCGATGGGGCCTTCAGGGAATTCTGGGAGGCGAGTGATCGAAATTTCAAAGCTAAGCATTGGCAAGCTCTGGCTCTCTGGCTGCTACGGAATGACGTGAAACTGTTCTTGAACTTTTTGATTGTCACAATGAAGGGCAAGGAGAGGCCAGATTTTACCATGGTCACGGATTGTCTGTTATACGTGGACAAATTTTACTACGAGGAATTGAAGGACTGGACAACCGGGCGTCGCGAACATGGTTACTCGTGGATGATCGAGTATTGCATGCGCCCGGCTACTTGGCCTATACTCGCGCCGCCGCAAAAAGGTATACGGCTTTACATTCGACGAGCTAGTGCTCATGGTGTTCGATTGGCCCTTCGTACGATGAAAGACAGGAAAATCCAGTGGAAACCGGAAACGCAGTTGTGTATTGTGAATCGGTTTACTCAGCTTGGAGATGCCGATATGGCATTAAACGCCTTGAAGCTCCTTCCAAAGCTCAATGACCCCAGCTTTACCATGAACTCTCAAGGAGTTCTCCGGCACTGCTGCAAATTATTAACCTTGGACACTGTCGAGGACGGCGAATCTGGGCGCAACTTCAGAATTCTCCCACAGCTCCTGGAGATGGGTGTGCGGCCTGACCGAGACATGATGAACGTGGTGCTCGCCAACGCCTACAAAACCGGAGACCACCAACTCGGCGCCGATATGCTCCAGTTCATGACGAGCCAGGACTACACTTTTGACTCCTACACATACGTCACACTTCTCACCAATGCCGTTGCACGGGGAGATCAGGCTCGTGTCCATGAGTTGATCCGCGAGGTGGATGCGCAAGACGAACTTCGCAACAACCCATACGTCGCCAACAAGATTTTCCACGCCCACTACGTCTTTACCGCCAAGAATATGGATATCAATGCTGACCCCTCCGGCGTTTTCTATTCGATGCTTGACATGTACAACAACCTTCACGACATCACGCCCCTAAAAGAGCTCTTCATCATCCCCCCTCATTACAAAGCACGGGAAGATGGCACCAACACGCCTCCCACCCCTATGGCACTGTACATTATGATTGCAACCTATTTCCGCTGTGGCTGTCGTGTCTCGACTGTGCAGCGCATGTACCAGCGATTCCAGGAGCTTGTCAGACAGGGCCATCCAAGCATTGCCCCATTGGCGGCGACAGATCACACCTACAATGAATTCCTCATTGCACTCCGCAAAAGCTCGCGTGCGATGCACTCTTGCGTTCGGCTCGTGGAGGATATGCTCCAGCCCCAGGGTAACATGGCCATTCAACACGCCAAGCCAAGTTCCCGTACCTGGGCGATTCTTTTGAGTGTGTTCCTCTGGCACAGGCGACCGGCCGCTGCGGAGAAGATCAAGGAGATGATGGCGAAACACCAGGTTCCCTATAACGACGTGACCTGGAATCTTGTCATCAATGGATACGCCAATGCGCAAAAGGTGCAGGAGACTGCTGCTGCCATGAAGGCCATGGAAGCTCAAGGGTTCGCTCTGGACTCCTACACCATGAAGTCTCTGCGGTATCTTCGTGACCCCGAGCGGCTCTGGGTGGCCGTGGATGAGCTTGATCATGCCGCCCTTGAAGCGGACTCCGTCCGGCCCTCAACGGCGCAGAGTCCTGCCGCCGTTGAAGACGCCCTGCGCGAGGAGTTGATTGAAATAGGTTTGCAGAAACTTGGAGACAAGAACAAGCCCAAGCCTTGAGATTGGATACCCTTTTAATTTTGTTTCACTTTCATGTCTTTATAGAGCACTTTGCATATATGGTCCTGTTGGGCCTGGGATTGGGAGCAAGCGTTGGTGTTGCCATTTGTATAAATTTTGGCGCTCATGTACTATACATAGAATCATTAAAAATGTTGAAATTGCCGTGTTTTGAAGGAATAGGTCACTGCTGTAGGCAGGTCGGTCGAGGACATCTATTTCCATCGGCACCCAGTCCTATCACCTTCGATGAGACTTGTCCGCCCCTCCTGCCCTTCTTCCTTCCGTCACCTTCTTGTCAAGCAAAGTGAGAGGGAGACGCTTAACCACCAAAGAAGATCGAGCACTGCGCGAGACATTCAACAATCAGTACCTCATTGCAAGTGTGAACGAGGCTGCGGGAACTTACAGCCATCAGGAAGCAGCATATGCTGACATATGGGCTCAGACGTTCTCCTACTCGAGCGCATTTCCAGAATATCCCGAATAGCCTATCACTACCGGTTAGTCATTTCGTTCCTTGCTCTTCCCATCGTGATCGCCTTGAAGAGTGGCCCTACCCATTCTGGTTCCGGTCCATGATACCCGGCATTATCGAGTGCGCATAAGTACTCGTGCAGATAATGAGCAGGATCACCAAGAGCAGTGATTGAAAGTTGAAGAGAGCGGACTAAGTTAGGTCTTGCAGTCAGCTATGATGTCGTGTTTCCGAGAGTACACAGTATGCCGACTGATATGGGGTATAGGACAGCCCGAGCCAGCTTCTTGCAAAATTCCTCTCAAACTGAGGACCAGTCAAACTTACCATCTTGAATCAAGATTCCAGCCCCTCGTCATGAAATCTGAAGAAGGCCACGAGCTGGACCGTGGGAAGACTGTCCACAGGCATGAGCTGTCGGCAGCAACTCAAGCCCGCATTCTGCCCACCATGTCCGCCAGACGCACGGACCACCTTGTTCTGCGGTTTCCCCAGCGCAGCCAGCAGCCATCGACGCCAACTCCTCTACCCAATTCAAACCCATCGTCCACTCCTTCTCGACAAGTACCGACACCTTCCTCGAAAGACTCGCTCTTATCAAACCCGGTCCATCTCCCTGCTGAAGTTAGCCCGCCGTGGCCGTGGAATCCAGCGGAAACACAGCTTATCCGCGCGGGCTATCAACCCGCCTTCAAACCTCCGGCACCAGCAGCATCTCCCCTTGAATCCGAAGCTCCCACCTCGAAAAAACGCGCACGCAAAACTAAGCCCGTCATGGCGGAACCCCGTGCCCGTGCCGCCCGACACAAGGGCCAGATGAACTTCTCATCCGAGCGTAAGCTTTGCCTTCCCAAGAAATCCCCCATATCAAGGAAAACCAATAGCTAACATCCCCTTCCAGTCCGCTTACTCCTGCTGGCCTACGGCGACCCAAGCCCACACCCATCTTTCCCCTCCGAGCCCCTCCCCGAAACAGTCCGCGTCCTCGACGAAATTGTCACAGACTTCATCCTAGAACTGTGCCACGGCGCCGCGCAAGTTGCGCACCACGCGCGCCGACAAAAAATCAAGGTTGATGATTTCCGGTTCGCGCTGCGCCGAGACCCGAATAAATTGGGTCGTGTGCAGGAGCTGCTGCGTATGGAGCGCGAGCTGAAAGAAGCGCGCAAGGCGTTCGATCAGAACGATGATCAGGTTGCTAAGGATGCGGGGAAGAAGGGCGCCGCGCCACCGGAAGATCTTGATGGTGCGGAGAGTGTGGCGGGTACGACTACCACGGGGAAGAAGAGTAAGGGCAAGGGGAAGAGAGCCGCTGCGCCGAGGAGAGAGTCGGATGCTACTGAGGAGTCGGTCCCGAAGAAAAGAAAGACTATCGGGTAAAGGTGCATTGCTGGATTTGCATTGGATGGACATACTTCATCATAGGCGTTTTGGGATTGATTGTGTTTCCTTCTTCGATTTGGAGTTCCGGTGGTCAAATATCTGGACAAAAAGGAAATACCCATGGATAACTTATCAATGACATTGAAATTCTTGACGAATTGGCTACGAACGAGTATCAATGATAAATGGCCTCAACCAGGTTTTGGCAAGTCCCCTCTTAATCTGATTCAAAACTAACTTCACATTCTGGCTAGCATTAAGGGAGAACGAGGATCGGGTTGAGGCTGCACGGTACTTACGAGGTACACAGGTTGTCTATTTCTACATTCCGGGCCATGTCATACCATCCAGTCGGTGCCTTACCGTGCACCCCGCTGCCTTTCACCAAGGAGGCTCATCCTCGAAACACACCCCTGGCTTTGTAGAGTACAAGCACTCATCCTTCTGGAAGCTCACGTGCGCATTGGATTTCATATAGGGCTGGAACTAGCCCATGCCTTGAACTCTTTTGTTCCTCACAAGTCAAAGGTACTATCTCCTGCAAAAAGAAGTGTTGGATGCCGGAACCCAACTACCATGTATAAGCTATCAACGTCAACGTTCATTACAAGGCTTCGCCTCCAAGCCTCCAAGCCCAGACTCAGGAACCACGTGAATTACACCAAGGGCATGCCTGACTCACGTGGTATATCTGAGAAAGAAATGGCACTACACGAAATATCACTCCATTCAGCAGCCCATGTCGGCAACGAGACGATGGTAAGCTTGCTCCTCGACGCAGGCGCCAAAACCAACCAGAAAGACGAATCTGGAAAGACACCGCTCGCACTAGCCGTCGCAGCGGGCCACAACGCCATCGTAACAATCCTCCTAGACAGCGGCGCCAATCTTGAATCTAGAGATTATCTCAGTCGCACACCACTGTTCTATGCCAGACACGCGACTATCCTCGAGCGTCTACTCGATGCAGGCGCCAACGTAGACGCACGAGATATCAACGGTAGAACACCGCTGTCAGTAGCCGCAGAGCAGGGCCACGAAAAGGCAGCCATACTCCTCCTTGATCACGGCGCAGATCCTCACTCCAAGGACAGACTGGCCTGGACACCCCTCTCGTGGGCCTTTGAACGAGACCACCACGCCATGGTAAGACTACTCATCCGCAACGGCGCCAATCCCGAACAACAAGATAGCTTCGGACGGACACTGCTTCAAGTAGCAGCGGAAACGAAACGCGAATCGATGGCAGACACTCTCATCAACCAAGGCGCTCGGCTCGAGGGTCGAGACCACGAAAATCGAACCCCGCTCCTATGGGCTGCGCACAATGAACACGAAGAAATGGCCAGGCTGTTGGTTAGCAGCGGCGCGAGCCTGGACGCTTGCGATGAAGGCGGACGTACGGCTTTACTAGTCGCCGCGGAAGCGAGACACGTTGCTATGGCGCGGGTACTCGTCGAGGCCGGCGCTAGTCTCGACATACGAGATGAATACGGGCGGACGCCGTTGTTATGGAGTGTGCAGTATGGCGAGCGCGAGTTCATACAATTGCTACTGGAGAAGGGGGCTTGCTTGGAGGTTGAAGATGGGAAGTATGGGCGGACAGCGCTTTCGTGGGCGGCGAGGAGGAATGGTGTATCCATTGCGAGACTTTTACTCGAGTACGGGGCTGATATTGAGGCGGAGGATCGTCGTGGTCAGACTCCTTTGTCGGTGGCTGCGAGGGCCGGGAATGAGGGTGTTGTTGGGCTTTTACTTGAGGAGGGAGCTTGTGTTGAGGCGGAGGATCATCATGGGCGGACGGCGGTGCAGTGGGCTTCGAAGGGTGGGTATAGAGCCGTGGTGAGGCTTCTTGGGGGATCGGTGGATTTTTAGAGCTGAGAATGATCGGTTGAAGATGGAGTGGCTAGGATGAGAATGGATAATGACTCGTGGGTTTCCATTAGAACATGACTTTTTTGATGGCTGGGAAGCATTCTATAGCCACGCGTAGGAAAGTTCATTGCATCGTTCACTCGCTCCTGGAAAGGTTTCAAAATCTAAGCAGTGCATCAAGTTCTCCAAAGAACATCCCTGCCCCGGCATGCCTTGGATGTATTGATATGGGTTCTTCCCAGGGTGTGGTAGCCTTCATTGAAGATAAAGCATCGGAGGATGGTACACTCTCATCCGTCTCTTGTGTCGTAATGTCTGATTCGTGAGGTTCGCGTTGGACATCGCCAGTTCGTGTATCAGGGTCGGATGGATAGCTGGTCGAGCAGTTCTCCGTCCGATCGGGGCCCTGCTCTCTCTCTACGGAGATATCCCTCTTTCGTCGATCATTCATGTGGAGCCCCTCTTGAGGCAGAAGTCGCAATGCTTCCGAGAACATCGAATATACCGCGCTCCACCGTGGTACTTCGTGGTCGATGCCCTGAGGCAAGGGCAGATCAAATCTCGGACGGGTTGGTAATTCCGAGGGAATTTCGGGCTTGTATTTCTGCACCGGTCTGGGAATCGACGAAACAATGTACAAAAGATTAGCAATCGTTTCCCTATTCGATATAGTCGTGGAAACTAGAGAGGGAAACAATACCGGACCGGTCGCTCTCTGGGTAAACAGCGTTGACCCTCCCTGAAGCAGTACGTGCATTGATGATGACTCGGACTCGTAACGCATCGCTTCTTTCTCGCATAACAAGCTTGACACGCTTGAAAGGCAGAATTCCTCGAAGGAGTGTAATTCTTGGTCGACTTGTGTACCCCGTGGGGCATTCTGAGCTTTCGAAGTTCTTTGTGAGTCGCCTCCATCTTGTCGTCTGGGCTCTGTAGCTGGATTGGAGAAAGGAAAGGAAATCCAAAAGATCAATCTGATGATGATTTCCGGGGAATCCCCTTAGTTATCTCCCCCCCCCAAAATCCAAATCTTAAGGTTTATCTATTAGCGGGCGTAGCGCGTCTTTTCGAAGAAAGAAAGGACCCCCGTCTAGCCCCGTAAAAGTTTAGTGGCCCGATCGTGTCAATTTGCAGTAACAGCTTCCGCGGGTACTCGTGGGGTCCCGCACCGACTTCTTCATATAGTTACCGCAATCTTCCGACGGGGGAAACTCACCGAGGCCCTTCCCCGGACTCGGCATGATTATTAACAGAGTCCAACGGAGTACGGAGTCTACGGATTCCACGGATCCCACGGAGTCCGGAGTTGAAACTTAGATTCTATCTTTGTGCAAGCGTGAAGCGGTGGTGTGGGTAGATGGGGACCTGGAGTTTGTTGTATCTTGCTCGGACGCCACACTTCTTGTGTGGAACCTGTGAACCCCGCCAGGGTCGACAATGTGTGAAAATTCCGCTGGGACTAACGTATGGGGACTATAATACACACATGAAATGCATTCTTCGCTCGGAAGGCGTCTTTGCTTTTTAGATTTACTGGCTGGAACAAGAACCTAAACTGAATATTATTATGGGATCAGATAGTTTCTTGCCGAATCGAACACTAAATCTGGTCAAATTTCCACTTCTGACCCTGACTGCATCTCGAGGCGAGCACTCTAAACATGGGTCTGCCTCTAGGATTGACCCAGGCGCATCGATCTCAGCCGTACGGCCTTTTATCCCACCCGCTTGCCACGGACCGGGTCATCACATTGCGTTTCCCATTCAGAAGGATGCTCTTTGCTCACGACATTCGGTCCGGATCCGTGGTTGCGGGCCGAATCACGGATCCGGACCGAAAAGGGACTTTGACCATACAGACTCTCAAATAATCTAACACACATTGAAAGACAAGAAAGCCGCGAAGCTGATAGAGAATAAGTAGAAGAGGTGAATAGTTCACATAGAGATAGCTGGAGAGGGCTGAGTCTGAAGGCCATCAATATCGCGTAGAGCGGCTCCTTTGGTTCGATTCCAGACTGTGCAGCGTTAAATACGTTATATTCACGATAAATATGGCGTAATTCAGTAGTGCATCGTTGTGATCCTATGATCAAAATAATGGAATCCTGTCCCCTAGAGACACACTTCCCAAGAAGACACCTCGAAGACAACGACGAGAGGTGGTGACAGACAAATAGTCGGGCCGTCTGGCGCTACGCCTCGTAATCCCCGTAAGCTTGACTATCGGGGAAAGACGGGGCTCTGGCATCTTTCTGCTTCCATGCAGTAACGCTAATGCAGGGATATGGCTCCGTTGGATTATCGACGGATGGTGAGCACGGCCTCCCTTCGCGGGTGAAGAGTGAAGAGTGATGCACCGCCCGCTAGTCGAAAGCTTGAGCAGAATGGAACTTATTGAGTTTGAATTCGTTGGGAATGTCAATGTCGTAGTTCGGTTTCTCCATGCTACCAAGGCAGGAAACGTCGTTTAAACAGAGTTATACGCCTGCTGCTCCGAGAGACGATGGACCCATGAGGTCCCTTATAGTATTACGGGCCAGACCCGGGCAAACTAGCTACGCAAGCCAAAAGACGATATATGACAAGACCTATTAGAACATAGCAAGGAGTTCTGTCATGCTAGGGACCGATATGAGTAGAGCACATCACTGAGGAAGGACAAGCCCTAACAAGACCCCTAGGTTGTCCTAAAAGACTATCATCTACTGATCCCACCGGTTGACATCATACCCTACAACGACCAAGACAGCTCAGACTCTAGCATTTTTATGTCCATTTCATCATAACTAAACGCCGCGCCCAGGTAAGATGCGACTTCGTGAAACCGGGTCTAAGCAGCCCGGAAAATCCTGCCTCTCGACATGTCTTCTGCAGCAGGCTGAATCTGCTTTTCGCGCAGTACTCCACCATCTCACACCCTCCCAACGACCGATTTATATCTGAGCTATAAAGCCAGATCGACTCCGATACGCCACAGTGCTTTTTTTAGGATTCAGACCGGGACTGTTCTAGGATATCAAACAGCTGGCGAAAACAATGACAGAAATGCGGAGAGGAGAAAGAGAGGGTAGATGAGGGTGCGTGCTCGAGCTTTTATCTGTCCTGTCTGGCAAGAGGGGGAAGACGATAGGGAGGAGGCATAGCAAAGGAGATAAGAAAGGGAGAAGGGGAGTAAAATGGCAGACAGAGACAAACAAGAAAACGAACCCAATAAGTGTCGAAAATAATGAAGGAAAAAAAAAACGAGACATAAAGAAACATCAGCGGGTAGTATTGCGGCTCCACGGGAAAAGTTGGTCACATCATGCATCGTTTTTCCGTCGTAATGTCCCTTTATGCGCGGGCCTCCTCGGGGGCAGCGCGCTCCTGGCGCTGCTGGCGACCACCCTTTCCACCGCGCTGGTTGCGCTGGTTGCCCTCGCCAGAGGTGGCGGTGGCCTCGCCGCCACCCAGAGTAAGTTGAGCGGTTGCTAGCCGGTTGGACAGCTCCATCTGTGTGCGGACGGTGTTGGCCAAGTAAGAGACGACCAGGACGTCCTGGATGTGGTTGTTGCTGCGAGAAGTTAGCCAAAAGGCAATTCAAATAACATCGGAGGTATATGGAATGAAACGTACAAATCCCGCTCGATATCCGCGGGCTCGACCTTGGGGGCAAGAGCCAGAGCGTTCAGCAGGAACTGACCCATAGCGGTGGAGGCCGGGGCCTCCTCATCAATGACCGACTCCACATATCGCGACACGCGGTCAATCATAGCCAGAACCTCCTCGATCGCGCGCTCGAGCGCCTCAACGTCGGACATCACGGTGGTAGAGCGCTCCTCGGCATCCTTGGCATTGGCAATGGCCTCGAGACCGCTCTTATCAGCCTCGCCATATCGCAGCTCGTAGGGAACGGGAATGAAGGCGGCGCTGTCGGCAGCCCGCTCAGCGGTGACACCGACGGGAGCGGAGATGTAGGCCCGGGTCTCGAGGTCCTTGCCGGCCTCGGTGGACACGGTCAAGTGAACGGCGGGGTGAGGCCAGGTGCCGTCACCCTGACCGCTGTAGAAGTTCTGGATCAAGGCGGAGAAAGTGTTGAGCTCGGAAGCAGTGGCATACCAACCGACGAGAACCTCGCGCGGGTTGGCCTTCAGGTGCAGGGCGAGCATCTGCTTGTGGTATTCCATATCGACCTCGACCTGGTCCTCGGCCTCAGAGTGGCCCACGGCGAACGCGGAGCGCACCTCAACTTCACCTCCATCCTCTGATCGTGTTCCCAGCAGGGTACCGATGACACGTTCCTGATCGGCGTTGCGGCGCAGCGAGTGGTCGAGAATCGAGAAGATAGCCTATATCGAAGCAAGAAGGGAAAGTTAGAGAGACCACCTTTGAGTGCTATATATATGATCGCCCTTTGATCGTACCTGCGGCTGGATGACCACGTTAAGAGGGGCAGTGGTCGGAGCGGTCCCCACAGAGACGGGGCCCAGAGGACGGGCGAGGTGCAGGAAGGAGTCTTCGGCCATGGTGAAATTGGGGGAAAGGAGGGGGAGGAGAGAGGAGGTTTAGGGATTGGAGGTGATGAGAGGCTAAGACTCTCCAAAGCAGACTCGACTTCTTCGGAGGGACAATTTTTCCAGCGAAGAAAGTGGAGTGCCCGCGCTGAGGCCGATTCTCCCTTTGTGTGTGGGAATTTTCGCGCTAAGATAAGATAAGCCACGCCCGACTTTTGGCTTGGAACCCGCTGCAAAAAAAAAGAAACTCCGCAAGTTTCACCTCAATTATTCACTGCAACAATGCCTCCTGCACGAGGGCGAGGACGAGGACGAGGTGGCCGGGCAATGAGAGGCAGGAGGGGTCGTACGACGGGCAGAAGAAATGATTTTGCTGCGTCGCGACTACGGGAAGTGGAGTTAGTGCATCCGTGGAGAGCTGCGCAATGGGGAATGGATAGCTAATCATGATACAGTTCGGATGAGTCCTCGGGTGAAGATGCGCCCAACGATCATGGAATGGAGGATGTGGACGTGGGAGACGATACTTTGATGGATTATGCTTCGTCTAGCAGCGACGAAGAGGAGAATGCCGGTCGCCCGTACAACGAACTACTCGAGCTGCTGCACGCCAACTCCGACTCGAACGGCCCAGCTCGGAAGAAGAGAAAGCTGGCGAGTGATAAGGATGCGGAGGAGGCCCCCAGAACTATAGTTGAGGAAGAGGACGAACAGGCCGACGATGCGTTACAAGACCAAGCTCCTTCCGACGATGAGGAAGAGGCGCAAGAAGCCGACGACGACGATGAAGTTCTCGGACCGTTCGAGAAGCACTTCAATGTTGTCGCGGGAGATGAACTTTCAAACAAGATCCAATCTATCGAGTCTAATAAGTGGACATCGGTCAAGAAGGAGGTAGACGGGTTGCGAGTGGTGCAATCCGTTCCTGAAGTGGGAGATTCCAAGGCGTCACTACTTCCGGCCATGAAGAGCACGGCCAACTTGAAGGTAAACTTTGTTCTTTTCTATCACGAAATTGAGTCCATCAACTAATTATAATTAAATCCAGCTCAAAAATAAGTTGAAGCCTCGCGCAGCGGAGCTTCTTCCTACCATCAACGGCCCTGCCCAGCAGGTCGCGCCATATGTGTTCGACTATCAAGACATTCTCTACGGCGCACGTACCGCATCTATCGCTGAAGACATGCGCGATATCATGGCCCTTCACGCTGTCAACCACATCATCAAGACCCGAGACCAGGTGCTCAAGAACAACGCCCGCCTAGCAAAGGATCCAGACACCGATGTTGAGTGCCGTGATCAGGGCTTCACTCGTCCCAAGGTTCTATACATTCTTCCGACTCGCCAGGCATGTGTGCGTGCCGTCAATGCGATTACTCGTTTCTACCAAGTTGAGCAGCAGGAGAACAAGAAGCGATTCACCGATACCTTCTCCGGCCCCCAGGATGCGGGATGGGAGAACAAACCCGAGGACTTCCGTGACCTGTTTGGTGGCAATGACGATGATATGTTCCGACTAGGACTGAAGTTTACACGCAAGACTGTCAAATACTTTGCGCAGTTTTACAGCTCCGACATTATCCTTTGCAGTCCACTTGGTCTACGGACAATCATGGACCAGTCTGAGTAAGAGTTACTCTTCCAACCTGACCGAGCACAGCTTACCATCTCTTCACAGTGAGAAAAAGCGAGACCATGACTTCCTCTCCTCCATTGAAGTCGTTCTTGTGGACCATGCCGATGCCCTCCTCATGCAAGTCTGGGACAACGTCCCCTACATCTTCAAGCACCTCAACCTCCAGCCCAAAGAAGCGCACGGGTGCGACTTCAGCCGTGTGCGCAATTGGTACCTCGATAACCACGCGCGTTACATGCGACAAACCATTGTGTTGACCTCTCACATCACTCCCGAGATAAACTCGCTATTCTCAACACAGATGCAAAATGTCTCCGGCCGCATCAAATTCACACCAACCTACGCTGGCGCCATCACCGAGCTTCCGCTTCCTGTCTCAGTCAAACAGACTTTCTCACGCATTGACAGTCTTTCTCCCGCGAAAGACCCCGACGCCCGGTTCAAGCATTTCACAACGACGATCCTTTCTACGCTGGTCAAGAACATTGCCAACGGCCGTAGCAAGGGAGGCGCCGGTACAATCATCTTCATTCCCTCGTATCTGGACTTTGTTCGCGTACGCAACCACTTTGCTCAATCTGCGCAGACGACGAACGTCTCTTTCGGCGCGATTTCCGAGTACACCGAAGCACGGGAAGTTAGCCGGGCTCGCAGTTACTTCATGAACGGCCGCTACTCGGTGCTGTTGTATACCGAGCGCGCGCATCATTTCCGCCGATATCAGATTCGGGGTGTTCGCCGGGTGATTATGTACGGTCTGCCCGAGAACCCAACGTTCTATGGGGAAATTGTAGGATTCTTGGGGCTTGATCCTGCCGCTGTAGTTGAAGCCGCTGAGGGTGGTGTTCGGGCGCTGTTCTCCAAGTGGGATGCGCTTAAGCTGGAGCGTGTTGTTGGAACTTCGCGGGTCGGAAACATGTTGCGGGAGAAGGGAGGTGATACCTTTACTTTTGTGTAAAACCGCTATTGGAGCAGATTTCCATGTCTATACTCAACTGTCCCATCAAAATTTCCGTCATGGGGACTTGCAACTTACAATGAGGACCTCCCGATTCTAATTTCCGTTGTACCAAGGCCGTGCTATATGATAACGGCTCTGACAATAAAAGTCGTTCTTGCCATATTCTCTGTGGATGTGCACTCAATACATCATGACATTTACCATGAAGAGAACATTCATATACCTCCTTCAAAGCTATGGGTAGTCACAGATTTAATGGGTTTGCATATATGTTCAAATGGGGTGTGAACCTCCAGATTAAGCTCCAGGTCTAGTCACCCCTTTCTTGGCAATGAGTTTCGGTCTTCAATTATCATTCGCTGCTATAACCTCCTGAGTTGAACTGACTTCTCCTAAAGTATCGATGCTCTCCTGTGGGTCTGGGAAATTCCGGTCATTGGTGTAACCGAACGAGGCTGGCATCAGAGCAAAACCCCTCCTAATTCTTCTTATAGCCCCTTAAGATCGTCATGCACCGGGCATGCGCTTCCAGACCACCTTTTGCTATACTCTTTGCAAGCCGGGCCCCGGCATTTGACGTCTTCTATGGTCAGAGAAAGCATTTATCGTCATGTCTGAACTAAATCTGCACATATGGCGCCTCGTTTTCCTTGCAGTAAGACTTGACGAACTCATCCCTCGATTTTTACTAAATCTTTTGACTGACAATTTTTCTAGATTGATACCCGTGATGACTTGAAGAATATTTGTTTAATCTCAAAAGCTTTCAATGCATTATCTATACCTATCCTTTACAGATCAATCGTCCTGCGTGCTCCAACACCTCCCAAGAAGTTGAAGGGAGAAATGGATAGATTTGACTATGATAAAGAATGCACGCTCATGGAAGAAAATCAGGAACTGTCACCTTTTAGCCTTACCGGGCGTCTTCTTGATGATGCCAACGAGAAACTGCGAAAATACGTACGCGAGGTGGTCTTAGAAAGATCGAGAGTCTCGAGTCCCGACCACTTGCGCCAGTTCTTTGAGAAGCATGGAGAACCAGATACCGTTATGGCCAAATTGGTGGAGATATTGCCGAATCTTCAAAATCTTGTGTAAGGATTTCCGTTCTGTATTTCAGTTGCTCGGCGCTGATTTGCTCCCGTTCTTTAAGCCTCCATGAGAGCGTTCCATTATCAGAGCCTCTTCAAGATGCGTTAAGCAATCACAAGAACGCACCGTCGGTCCATTTGCTCAATGAGAGAGGTTTCACTCTGCTTACGCGGAAAATGCCTTTTGTACAAAGTCTGAGCACCAGCTTTCGAGTTCATTCTTTCTCTCGCAAGCCTCAACTGCCACCATCACTGGATCTGAATAGATGCTTCAAGATCTTCCCGAACTTGACGAGCCTATCAATCGAGGCTAACAGGGAACACGCTGGCCCTATGCGAGGTCCTTTTTCGGTTACGGCCAGGATTGAGCCACTCGAATTAGCCGACAAGGAGACCTTTCCTCCGCTTGAGAATCTTTCTCTGAGTGGCTACTTTCCAATGGAGCAGGAATGGAGGCACTGGAAGGAGAAATTTTTGTGGTCTAATCTAAAATCGTTGTCCTTCGGAGAGATACATACTGATGACTATTTTGGGCCGATTATAGGCCATGTGCACAACTTAATTTCGTTTTCAATATCGGCCTGGTGCGGTCCCCCATCTGATACTCATCCTGATTTGGATCGCTTTCTGGCTTCTTTTGACACATTGGAATGCTTGACCATCAAAGGGTACTTTGTGTCCATACATACAGTGACTCGACATTCAAACCTCCAAAGATTCACTCAACATACGGTTGAGAGTTCAGTGAGAGAACGACCGATCCTAGAGGCGAGAGATATAAGCTACCTTGGTCAACAATGCCCTCAACTTCAATTCTTGGAAATTGATATTTGTGGGAAGGATGAATGGGTGCGTTCTCTAAGCTTTATAATCCCATTACGAAACTAATTCAGACTCCTTGCACAGCCGGGCGATATTATCCAAGCCCTAGCTACGGGGTTCAATAACCTTGACCAACTTCGACTACATATCGGACTAGACATCTTTCAAAGAACCAACTGGACACCCTGGGGCAAGTTGGACCCAGTTCTCAATTATTTTACCGCCTACGAGTTTGGCCAGGCTTTCTTCCGTCAAAGAAAGCTCTCGGGCGCACCAAAGCTTGTCACCCTCAACACGGGCGAGTATCTACGCCGTTACCCACGGTTAGCTGAACCATTCTGTTTTGAGGAAAAACGAGCATTTCGCCGATTTCAAATCTTGCCTCCTCAAACGCCAGGCGATGGCCTTGGAATCAGGGAACTAGGGGATTTCGAAGACGACAGGTCCTGATTATGTCGATGCCTCCAAAGGCCGTACGTGGAACATCAGGAACATTGTCAATTTGTGATTTACAATGGGCTTTGGGTGTAGCGAGGCAATGAGACTGTGTAAGTCCGACTTTCATATTTCGGATAACACGGTGTAATGACAGGTACAGCCTTTGAAGAACCATACCTATTCGAATCTACTCTGTAAATACTTCAAGAATTATTATCTATCTGGTAGGAATGGCCCTCTCGCAATCGCAGTCAAAGGGTTCGGTCCACGTTCTTAGTATCTAATGCCCCAGCTTTGCCCTTTACCTATAGACGGTTTCCTGGACGGTTTCCTGGACAATCTCCCCTATCATCTTTTAAAATACAATCAAGAACCGATTATAAGAGGACCACAAGAGCAGCTTTGTAATCCTAATTCCCTGATTATCTTATGCACGCAGCCGGGGCTTCGTAATTGTAAAGTAGTGTAATCCGAATAAGCCATATTGTGATGCATTATACTAGGAAGCGAGGCTGCAGAGAGTGTTATCTCGGGGCGTATGATGAGCCTGCGGTAAGCAGTAACCATTAAAGATACTCTTGCACTAATTAACGTAACGATCGGAAGAAGAAGCCGTAAATTGTCTTCGAAGAAATCTAGGATTATGGACATTTGCCCACTATAGTCCGACGTAGATCGAGCGCCCTTTGCGGCGTAGGAGGGCCGATAGATAAGAAAGAGAGCCACTCAAAGCAACACTAATTTCCATCAATATACACCAACTGCGAGAAGCTCAAACTCCCGATTGCTACTCTCTAAACTAGGATCGCTATCATCCTATCATCATCCTCCCTCCCTCCCTCCGCTCCTTCACCCTTTCAACCCACATTAAAATCGAGATATCCTTCACCGGCGAAGCCGCCAAGACTAACAATCTGGAAAGCGGACTTTACTGGTCAAGTCTCAGGTGGGCAGTGGCATCGGCCGCACCGGTGAATAGATGAGAATATATTGCCGGACAAACCAGTACTTCTTGACCTAGTCACCCCATAGGACTTTTCCCTTTCCGTCGCTGTTTCCCTGCCCACTCGGAGCTATGTACTAATAGACCACAAGGAATAACGAAGACACAAGTAAATATAAGAGCGAGGCCGTCTACTTGATGCATCCAGAGCGTCATAAGGGCCCTATCTCTATTTTAGCTAATCTGGTGTGGCCCAAGTTTCTCAGAGGAAGGAAACCTTTCAAATTAAAGGCAGGGATGTGTAATAGCAATAGCCAAAATCCAGCGCTTATCTTGAACTATGTCCTTTTATCTGTACGTTATTTTAATGCTGAAAAATGACAGCTTTAGCCCATCACGACCTTCATGCACAACCCACGCAGGGTTCTATGCAGGTTTCAACCTGAGACCTCTCCAGGCCCCGGACTTCTGCAAGTATAGTTCGCTTTCAGTCTCAGCCAGGTTTAATTAGGAGCTCGGCAATTAGTGTATATTAATTGCCGGTTATGTTCGAACTGCAAAGCCATTAATCGCCCTTTTGAGATCTGCAAAACTGATCGAGTAGCATATCTTCTCCAAGAACAATGTCTCGAGTATCTAGTCGAATTTGTCGAAAATACACATGTCAAGCTCAGCTGAATAGCAAATCTTTGTCAACTCAGATTCCAAAATGAAATTTTTTTTTACATATGCAATTTCAATCTCAGACGTGCGGTAAAATGCGACAAGCCCTAGCACGCTTAGTGGTTTCAGTATATTTTGAAACTTCTTGGCCTTGGCATGGGTTAGATACCCCACTTCTATACTTGATGGCACGACCCTGGGATCAGCCGTCTTGATTTACCTAGTATTCTGGATCTATTCGGGCTATCTGAAATGTCCTGGACAGGCATATAAATACTCTTGTTCAGCGATTCCCAACTTTGTAATACTTGTCAACACCATCACATTCTTTCCTTCCTTTCGATTCAAGTCCTGCTGGCAGGGTTTTCTCTCGTTCTTTCTTAACTACATTCACCCTCTTTTTCCCATATTCAAGATGAAGAACTTTGCAAATCTTCTCGGAGTGGCCGCTGTGCTGGCCCATTCCGCTTCGGCGCACTACATCTTCAGCAAGCTCGTGTTGAACAACGAAGTTTCCGAAGACTGGCAGTACATTCGTCAAACTACGCGTGCGACGAACTACATGCCTACCAAGTTCACCAACACTTTTGACAACCTGACTCCCAATGATGACGATTTCCGGTGCAATCTGGGCTCGTTCAGCAACGCTGCGAAGACTGAGGTTGCTAATGTCGCTGCGGGTGACACTATCGGGATGAAGCTATTTTACGACGCCACTATCCAGCACCCGGGACCTGGTCAAGTCTGTACGTTATCGTAAATTCGTTGCGAAAAAAAGCTCTAGCATTGAAGGAACCAGACTAATTTCTCTTAGTCATGTCCAAGGCACCTACCGGCAATGTCAAAGAGTACGAAGGTGATGGAGAATGGTTCAAGATCTGGGAAAAGACTCTCTGTAATGAGAGTGGTGGTCTTACTACGGATGCTTGGTGTACCTGGGGCATGTCGCAGCTGGAATTCCAAATCCCCGAGAACACCCCGCCGGGCGAATATCTCGTTCGTGCCGAGCATGTTGGTCTTCACGGTGCGCAGGCCAACGAGGCCGAGTTCTTCTACAGGTAGGAGCTTCACCCTTATTCCGCATGCAAGAATAACCTAACGAGGATATGCAGCTGTGCTCAAATCAAGGTCAGCGGCTCTGGTACTGGCTCTCCGAGTACCACCTACAAGATCCCAGGTATCTACAATGACAACATGACTCTGTTCAACGGGTTGAATCTTTGGGTAGATACAGCCCAGGAAATTGAAGCGGATATCGCGCAGACTCCGATTGGTGAAGAAGTTTGGACGGGGAGTGATAGTGGCAGCTCCTCCTCTTCCGGCTCCTCTATTTCCAGCTCCCCGTCGGCTACTGCGTCAGCTTCACTCGTGCCATCCGTTAAAGCATCAGCTTGTTCTGCCTCGACTGTCACGGTTACTGTGTACCCTTCGTCCGTCTCATCTCCTACAGCTTATGCTTGAGAGAAATAGAGATGCGGCTGTTGTGCTGGAGAAACTCGGCGAAATTCCGTCATTGGTTGGTGCACTATTGAACTACATTCATCGTTGTTCGATAGTTCGAAACCTTTTGCGTCTTGAACATACAGTACTAGGGTTCTGAGGGCGCTTGCCTGTCGAGAAGCTGTCAGCAATATGGGGGTATCTACTTTGGTTAAACCTACCAGCCTTGTCGAGTTTGAGGTGTACATGATGTATTTAGGGAATCATTTATGTTCATTTGTATACAGAATTCTATCGTGACCCTTGATATAATCATAATTGATATCGATGTTGCCTCTTATTGAATTAGGTCTCGCTTATGCACAGACAGCCGTTTAGCCGCTCGGCCTCAGCCTACGCCTTGTAGCCTAGTGCGTAGATGAGCATGATGTACGATCTACTGTTGGCATACTACCTCATTCTGAACAAGCCAAGCCAAGCCTAGCCTTAGCCACACTCCAAATAGTACCTCTGATTTAGTTATGATCCACCCCATGTCTATCACATAATACTTATAGAGTTACTAACAACTTACTAGAGCTGGCTTCCCCAGACAGTTTAGCGGTAGGCTCCACTCCACGCCACTCCACTTTTCCCGATGTCATGCGCAATCCCAGCTGCGATCATTTTTTTTCATCTGGTGTGAACTCCTCTCTTCTCTTCCACTTGCTCTCTCAACATCTCCCCGTTCTCCTAACCGAAACCGGAACCCTCTTCTTCTTTCAATCATACATGTCTCGTATATAAGAACACCTCGCATATAGACCCTGTGGCACGACCACAACCTCCAACCATCCACTCACCATGTCACCACAATCCCTGCCCGAGTCTCCACCTTTGCTCCCCGAAATCGCCAATAAACAATCCCCGATACATCCTCACACCGATTCCTCCATTGATCCCGACCACCCAGATGCCCCCCTGCCGATCGACCAGTCCTACCATGATGATCCGGACCAGAGATCCGAGTATCTGGTCCGGTACGAGCCTCGACCCATCGATGATGAAGACGGTGATCGGGAGGGAGACGATCTCGCGGCGGAGATGGCTCGGCCTCGGACGGCGTGGCGGGCCAAGCTGAGGGTGTTCTGGTTGAGGAATATGGGGATGTTTCTGGTTCTGCTGGCGCAGATGTTTGGGGCTAGTATGAATGTCATGACGCAGATTTTGGAGATTCATAGTTCGATGCATCCGTTTCAGGTATGTGCCTGGCAACGATATAGATCTTTGCTCTCAGATAACGAGGGCGAATGCGACTGCAAATGCTAACTCTGCCCTCTGATTTCAGGTGCTCTTCGCTCGCATGTCCATTACGGCCGTCGCCAGTTACCTATACATGTGGTACGCCAAAACACCCGCTCCCTTTGGCACCCGTCCCGTCCGCAAATTGCTCCTCCTCCGAGCAACGTTCGGGTTCCTGGGTGTCTATGCGCTCTACTATTCCGTTCGATACCTCCCTCTCTCCGAGGCAACGGTGATCACGTTCCTCGCTCCGATTCTCACCTGCTACGCCTGTTCCCTGCTCATCCCCGGGGAGACATTTTCTCGGCGCCAGCAACTAGCCGCCATCGTCTCGCTAGTCGGTGTAGTTCTCATCGCGAGACCGTTCTCGAGCCGTGACGGTGCAGGCACGGGCGATAACGCGGGGACCACGGCTGAAGATGAGAGTCCTGATGACGCAGATGCATTCCACCACGTTCTCGCGACGGTGGTTGCGTTCCTGGGTGTGCTCGGCGCCTCGGGCGCGTACACTACTATCCGAATGATCGGACGACGCGCCCACCCGCTCGTCTCGGTGACTTATTTCTCCAGCGTGACGACGGCCATCTCGTTATTTGCCATGGTCGCAGTCCCCGGGGTGCCATTCCGCCTGCCCTCGACGGTCACGGAATGGACACTGTTGACCGGGCTGGGGGTGTGCGGATTCTTGCTGCAGTTCTTGCTCACGGCGGGGCTGAGTTACGTTCCGCCGGCGAGTGTGCGCGTGGCCGGGGTCAAGGCGAGTCAAGGCTCCAAGGCGACGAATATGGTATACATGCAGATGCTGTTTGCCTTGTTCTATGACAAGGTTGTTTGGGGCAGTACGTTGTCGCCGGTGAGCTGGGCGGGGTCCGTGCTGATCCTGGCATGTGCGGTTTATGTCGCGGTTGCGCAGGAGGAGCGGAAGGAGGAGAAGAAGCCCAAAGCGGAGGGAGAGGATGAAGATGATCGGCGATTCAAGGATCGTGATGACGAGGAGGCACTGGGCGTGGCTGCACGGGAGGAAGAGTAATATGGGATCATCTCTGCATGGAGGAGGGGAGGAGAGAGACGATGCAGGATCGTCGGGGAGGGGAGGAGAGTGCATTGAGTTTTGGGCGTTTGGGGGGCATTTTGCTAGAGGATGCATCATTGCACATGGACTTGCGCTGCGTAGAGGACATGCTACTGTACAGTACCTACTCTTTCGGGATATATTATGACTATGAGGGACATGATAACGAGAACGAAGCAATGACGAGACTGCCCTGTGAACAGCACTGATGAAATGGATTCAATAACTCCTAGTCAACCACTACATTTTCCAGCCACTAATACGTCGAACGCAAGTACCTTTCTTACTGTACGCCATACTATCGGAGCACACTGCTCCATCTTCCCCAATCACCGCATGCAATCCCTAATAAATCCCCTTTCGTCCCTCGACGTCATAACGTTGCACCATCCCGCACCTCCCCGGGATCGCCCGTGGCTTGTCATTGGTGAAGCCATTCGAGATTGTCCCTGTGGATCGCGAATGTCAGCCAGCCTACCCGAAATGAGTGGTAAGGTACCGGAAATAAGATCAGATCATTGTACCTGTACCGAGGACTGACTCTATGTGGATACATAGTCTTTGATAATGTAATCGTCTCGTTCTGCGACGAGGTGGAGCTGTGGGAACGGGAGAGTCCATAAAGAGTCCACCGGCCCCGGTTTTTCAGGTGGTTGATGCCCCGGATTTCTTCTTTTGTCTTTATCTTAAGATTGAATTTTACCTTTTCGAGTGATCTTGATTGTTTGATCTTAAAGTCCTTTGGTTGGCGGAATTGAAAGCCATAGATCCCAGTCACTGCCAGATCAGGCCTTATCCAATACTCGTTCAAGGACTAGACTTGAGTACTCCATTGAGTATACACTACAACACTATTGCTCCCTTCCCGCAACGCCACCCGAACTATACCACTCCATCCAACTCAATCTCTACCATCCTTGTTCTCCCACCATCATGCGCCACTTCGACGCCTGGGTCGTTCGGGATCCCTACTCGATCTGGCATTACTATACCACCGGCCAACGCTGGAAAGATACCGTCCGCGACCTCATCCACGACCGCCAGATCTGCGCACCCTCCAATCCCAACCCGCAATCCACTCCGATCGATCTATACCCACCATCATCCCCTCCATCACCACCCTCATCCACAGCCTTCTCGCCCACGACAATCCCCCAAACAAGCCCCCTCCTCACACGCCTCCCCCCCGAAATCCGCGCCATAATCTGGTCCTACGTCTTCGGCTCGGACACCCTGCACCTCGTAACTATCAAAAATAAAGTCCGCCACGTCCGCTGCACCGCCTCATCATCATCACCTTCTTCTCTAACAAACCACCGCACCTGCTGCCCAACAACCCGGGCTCGCTGGCGTCTCGCCCCCTCTCCCTCAACCTCAACCTCAACCCCGACTTCTACTAGCACAACCTGCCCAACAACCCTCCTCTACCCGCACACCCACCCTTCCCTCCCAACCACCCTCTCATCCTCGTCCCCCTCCCTACTACGCACCTGCCGCTCCATCTACACCGAAACCCGCACCACCCTCTACAAAGCCTCCACTTTCGACGTCGACGATCTCTACACCTTTATCGCATTCACCCAATCCCTCCCGCCACACGCCCTCCTCTCAATAACCCGCCTCACCATCCAATGGACCCCGATCTGGACGCCCCTCTCCGGCGCAGACCACAAACACTCCATCTACGCACATACCCACAGCGACGCCCTGTGGCTCCAATTCTGGGCCCGCGTCGCCTCGCTGCCCGCCCTGCGCGAGGTCCGGCTTAGTATCGATCTGGGCTCGTTTACGGGGACGACCACGGGTAGCGGGGATGTCGTGCTTGGTGGGAGTGGAGTGCGGATTCCGATGGAGGTGGGCGAGGCGTGGACGGTGCCGTTGTGTGCGGTTAGAGGGCTGAGCAGGTTTGAGATGGCTGTCACGGCGAGGTGTGATGGGGTGGCGAGGAGGGTTTTGGAGGGGGATTTGTGTAGGGATGCGGCTGTTTTGAGGGATTGGTTGGAGGGGGTTATGTGTGGTGGTAGGGAGGTGGAGTTGAGTGAGATTTTGGGGGAGAGGGGTCTGGGAGGGGTGGAGGGGGCGAAGTTGAGGGTTTTGGAGGAGTGGATTCGGAAGGGGAGGGGTGGGGAGCAGGGGGAGAGTATGGGGAAGAGGTCTGGGCAGAGGTTGGCTATTATGGCGGCTTGAGACTAGGGGGGGATATATATGGGGGAGGGCATGATTATTATTATTTAGTGTTTATTGTTTGATACCCTGTGCTGCTTGTTCTGTGACTTATGGTTTTTGTCTGGTTGGTTTTGCATTTCTACGACCTCGTTGCTAGAGATAGAATGTGAGTGGAAGATTAGAGAGAGGTTCCTAGAGTGATACGCAAGACTTGACTCTATATCTGATGCTCTTCAACTTTATAGCTTCATCCCTTATACCTACTCAAGTGCCTATTCTTAGCTCAACATACCAGAGCAATCTATTAATGTTCAAAAAGGAAACCCCTTGAAACGACAACTGTATCCGTTGCCATAGCCCTAACCAGGTTTGCAAGAACCCATCATATCATCAAGTCTGACCTGACCAAATCCAATCCCTTTCTTAGTCATCCCATCAGCATTGATAGTGAATTTCTCCCCCTGTGCGCAAGAACGAACTAAACGAATCTGTGATAAGCCTCCTTGTTCGTCTTGAATTATCATCACCAGCTCCATACATTGAGTAATAAGAACAAGATTGAAGCGAACACAAAGTCAGCGGTTCACCTATCCCCAAAAATGCACCGCGAGGCCCGCAAGGTACTGGACAAGGAAGAAGGCAATGACACCAAGAAGTAGGGATTCAATTTTGCGGAGTATTAGGGGGCATCCATTTCGTTTTCAGAGTCCCAACCATATGTATTTTCACCGAGAGTCCTCAAATGCCGAAATCAAAAAAGCGAGGGTCCCGTCGTGGGAGGGGCAGGGGATATTAACATAATCCCATTGACAGCGATACCAACGGAATAAAAAAAAAGAGGTACAGCAGTAAACAGCTGAATAAAGAAAAACACCGAGCGCCGAGACAAAAGAAAGAAAATGGACCAAAGGGGGCCTGTAATTCTGGGCAACCGTAGAGAGGCAAAGGGGGCAAAAGTGGAAAGATAAAACGTCACAGTTGACGTCGCAGAGACCAAGGGTTAAGACGATAAGACAAGCCAAGAAGTATAAAACATGAACGGAATGCCAAGGTAACTAGGTGAAGGGGTGGGAACGTCGAGGTGCGAGTGCAGGTGTGATGCAATTTTTTGTCCATTTCACAAAATGAACCAGAGCCGAGTCCAGGTTGACCTTTTCAATGTCGATTTCATTTCTTCTTCTTCGTTTCGACCCGTCCAAGATCTCAATCAGACCAGATCAACATGATATCAACACGAAGCAGATACGAGTTACGAGTGCATCAGTGACTGGCATCTATGGCGCAGTCACACCCTTGCGGCCACGGGTCTCGTTCTCCTCGTATCCGTTTTGCTCGGAATCGTCCTCGTCCGTGGGTGAGTGGGGGTGACTAGGAGGTTCTGTGAGAGAGAGGCGGCTACGAGCCATCTGCAGACATTAAGAAAAAATAATTAGCGATGTACTTGCGAAAGCTTCTTTCCTTGACGGTAAGATGTCCGTCCAAAGAGGAATCACTTACCCATGCACGCACTCCACCAATCAATCCCAAGCTATAACCGGTCGCAAAGTCCTCATTACGACCCACACCAGGACTATCAGGCCGGTTCAGCGCCTCGACGCGCGACAGGTGGCTCTTGCTACCACCCGTCGGGCTCGCCAGCGGCCCACGGGCACTGACATAGTCCACACTGTTGCGAGCAGTGGGCGCGGGACTACCGGGCCGACTGTTCTGCCAGATCTGACGGAGCTCACGGCCGAGTTCCTGGCCGGTCATGGTCCAGTTGCTGCGAATGTTGTCGCGGATCTCGGCGACGTGGCGTTTAATTTCGAGTTCGTTCTTCTTCAACCAGGACACGTTGAGTTCTTGGCGCGAGGCTCCGCGCTTGAATTGTCGAGAGATGTACTGGTCGTAGTCACGGACGATGCTGTACAGTGAGAACACAGGATTAGTTGATATTCACGTTGAAAAGGCAATTGGTCATGCTGGGAGCTGTTGGTACTCTCCACTTACCGAGTGATGATGCCGGTGGTGCTGACACCCTCTGTCCGCTGGGTGACCAAGAACTTGCCCTGTGCCTTGATAGGCTCGTAGATATCATCGCCCTCGTCGGCCTGGTACGGCAGGTCGTCGTGCGCGACATAGTCGATCTGATGCTCGGACAAAAACTCCGGGGTAACAATCCATGGGCAATTAGGAATAACCTCGTCCACCCACTTGCAATGCCGAATGGTCTCTGCGCGCTCGGCACCACTGAGCACGGTCAGACCCTTACGTTGATGTGTCTCTTCATCGCCAGTAACACCGACAATCAGGTACACTTCGGGGAAAGCCTTTTTGGCCTGCTCGAGCTGTCTCATGTGGCTATATAAATGACCGGAGTGAGTAATTTCGGTCATTTCCACATCTCCAAGATCCTCAATCTGCAATTTCCAATTGAATGTACGTACCCGAGATGGAACAAATCAAACACACCGTCCGCATACACCCGGACCGCCCGCCCTTCAGGTGGTGGGTTCGTCTTATATCCAACGGGATCTTGTAACCCCCCACGCTGTGGCGGCAGCATCGCCGCGCGACGCTGCTCCTCCTCGGCATCGGGCAAATTAATATGTAACCCGGGACGACTTCTAGGCCGACTCTCGATATCACTGCTAGCAATGGTCGTCTCTGATGGCTCGCCGGGGTCCTCTTTGTGGATGGTAGTGCCGTTGGGAACTTCAGTACCGGTCGCGTTGGCATCGGAGCTCTTGCGGGCACGCTTGGAGGGCGGAACGGCCTCTTCGGTAGTGCGAGATTGCTTCTTATGTCTGGCAATGGCGGCAGTGGCGGGACCGGCTGATTCTTCTCCTTCCTCGCCGGACGCGTCGCGCGAGGATGGTTGAAGCTCGGTGGCCGGGGCGATTTGTGGTGCTGGCAGATGCGAGGCGCTGCGCTTGCGCTTGCTGGGCGGGGAGGATGGGGATGCCATTGTAGATGTGAGAAGGAGTTGGTGAATGACACGGCAAAATAATCTCGGAGCCGGGAAGGAAAGAGTGTTTTGTTAAAGGGCTCCCCTGGAAGGGCGGGTTTGAGCTGAAACGGAGAGAGAGTCCTCCGCGGTCGCCCGGTTTAGGGGCCCGCGTAATTTTCGGGCTGTGGAGACTCTAATTGGGACGTGCTGAGTTGGGCGTACACTGACGTATCAGGCTTTCGGCAAGGCTGGGCAAGGACGTTTCCCTGATATCATGGATTAGTCTAAGGAAGATGATCTCGTACTCGTACATCGATTGCTATCGTTAATAGCACCGTTCTCCCGTATCCTAGTACTGCCGTGGTACATGGGAGGGATCTCCGGCATCTCGACTCAACTCCATCAAACAATGGCTCGCTACCCTAATTCAAATAGTACACCACCTCGCCAAATCCGGTTTCATTGTTGAGTGTCTCGTTAGGGGGATTATCACTCGAGATAGACCGACAATAATAGACTCCAGACATCAGAACTCCATTGCGAAAACAGGTTGGATATCTGTCTACAAGAATAAGAGGTACCTTGGGTGCGAAAAAGCAAATGCCGACTATCGCAAATACCGTGGAATAATACGCCATGGGTGTGTTGCAGCGCCATTCGATCCATATGTTCATGGAAATCTATCGCTCTCAGCTCGGCCTGGGTTTCGGTCTGGCTCGTAGGTGGAACTCTACCGGGTTGATCGTATCCAGGATACCGATATAACCATCATCAGGTTTCCCGTGCCATAACAAGAACCAATGATCAAAGACCGAATAAGGAGACCCAGGTGATAGTGCAGGAATCAAGGGAGAAACGTGGAAGTTGTAATGGTTCGTCAATAGCGGGGCATTTTCTGCGGTATCTCGTGGGGGGCATAAAAAAAAGAAGACAAAGCTCGTGAAGGGCCCAGTTGGCTCCCGGCGAATTGGGCCTTTATCATACTTCCTAGAACATCCACCTTGATGCCATCAATCCTCAGATACCACTCCCCCAAAACTATTCTCTTCCCGTCAATCTACCCCTCTCGTCTTGGATGGCTCCTTCGTTTGCGAAAATCCCACTCCGACTCGAACACGTATTCCATCTCAAGCTTCAAGGTGAGCCCGGTAAGGGCTCAAGGGAGAAGCTCCGAAGATAGCTAAATAGAAGAAAAGAAAGAAGAAGGAAAGGGGAGGGACGATAACGAGGGCATGAATGGTAACATCAAGCGTAGCGTCGAAGCAGGGTGTGTAGAGGCAAAAAGGAGCAGAAGACAGGCAAGGAGGCGGGAGACAGAATCAAAGGGGGAAAAAAGCATAGGAAAGAAAAGACCAAGCCACAAATAGATGAGGGGGATTCGGCGGGAGAGGGGGAGGAGAGAAGTGCGCGTGTGTAGATTCCAGGGCAGATCACGAACTATGCAGAAGTAGCTTTCTCCTTGTCATCCGTAGAGGCTGGGGATTCGGATATTTGAGTCGCCCCACTGGCCTCGCCCTGCTTGCCTTGAGGTCCGGGGGTACCCTCACGCTCATTCCGAGAACCGGTCGGGTGCACCTGGTTGGCCAGGTCCTGCTCCTCCGTCTGATTGAACAGCTCCTCCTCGTTCTGGTCCGAGATGATCTCGGTACCGTCGCCCAAGAGAATGATCCGACCCTGACGAACGCTAAACGCCCGCGAACGCTCCATCTCTAACTCATAGTCATCGGGCTGGTCCTCGAATTGGTTCCGGATTCCAGGGCCGCGGAACTCGGCTGCTCGCACACTTGACCGTCAGCACGACGAAGGGCTTCCTTCGGGTTCCTCGTGAGACTTGCCGTACTCGGGAGGAGCACAAGGCCCGTCTCCGTTCGCAACTCGCTCTGCAATCTTGTTGTACCATTCCTCCTTGGTCTGGCCGTTGAGCAGACCGATAACGGTCATGGTCATGTTGTCACAGCCAACACCACCAGTCTCGCTGTTGGATGCCAGGCAGTTGTCCATCATGTTCTCACAGATCCGGTAGAGATCCTGCTTGGCGGCAATTCCTCTCCGCACAAACTCCACAACTGCTTGGGAGGACTGGCAATCCCAAATACCTGGGTAATTGTGAGCACTCGAGATTCCTCAAGGGATGATGGAACTAAACATACCGTCACAGGCAATAACCAGGAATTCATCGTCATCGGTCAGCTCGTGAACGGTCACGTCGGGGTAGGCAGTCACGATCTGTTGCTCGGGGGAAAGCTCGGGGCTCTTCTTAAATTCAAAGTCACCGATGGCGCGGGACAGGGCGAGGTTGCCGTTCACGCGGCCGAAGTCGACGAAGCCACCCGCGGCACTAATACGGGCCTTCTCGCCTGCAGTGGGGAGTTAGCGTACCATCCTCATGGGATGAAAAAGGCAGGGTCCGTTTCCTCGCATAATCATGCTGGCTACAGCTGGGAGACGAAAGAAGAATGGGGAAATGGTGTCACAAACCTTCGTTCTGCGGCTTGTGATCAAAAGAGAGCGGCTTTGCGCGACCCTTGACACCTAGTACTGATCGAGAGTCACCGGCATTGGCCTGATAGTCAATTAGTTTCGCTCCCATTTCTCTCGCGATGCTTTTGCTTCCAACGTACCACCCAGATTTTGTGCTTAGAGATGATTGCTGTGGAGGCGGTGCAACCGGACACTTCCTCTTCGTATTTCGGGTCTGGAGCGACGTGAACGGTTAGGATGGTTGTTTTCCAAGAATTTGTTGGTCCTTGCTCCAAAGCGTGGAAAGGTGGTTCCCTTCTCCTCCCAAGAACAGATGAACGACGAACCTTCCAAAATAGCCCGATCGGTAGCCAAAAATCCATCCTTCAGGGCCTGCTCGATGTCTCCCTTGGCAAATGATTCCTGCTTGGAGACGATCTTGTGGAGGTTCTCCCCAGTGAACAGCGCTACCTTATCTCCACCGTGGCCATCATATACACCGAAGAAGGCCAGACGCTGGGCCGGATCGGTCGGTTTCTCATCGGTAGGTCCCGTGTAATTCGCGTGAAGGTCGAGGATGGCGGCGTGGGCATCTTCCATGCTGATACGCCAGCCCTGCATGGCAGAGACACCATAAATACAGCACTCATCTCCACCCTCGGACGAGGTCTAGACAATCGAAAACACGACAGGTCAGTAATGGGGTTTTTTTTCTCTCTCTTAAGCTAGACATGTTCAACTCGGGACTCGAAGGCTTTTGAAGGAAGGTAAGTGCTGGTTTGTGAATGTCACCGAGGCCGGAATAGCCTCCTTTCCACCCGAGTTGCTCCTCGACCCCTCCAGGGTCAGCAAGGAACCCCGCATGGCCGATCGTGACGACTGAAAAAGGCGACGACCGATCAAATGGCATAAAGTCAATGCTCTTGAAAATGAGCATCCACTCCAGGTAGTGGAAACCCCCCAGTCGGGGCGACAGGGTGGTTGGCCGCGGCCGAGTGAAAAGGGACATCACCGAGCGACTGGCGTCACATCACAGTGTGGGGAGGGGCAAAATGGGCGGAACAAAATGGGAATATGAACGACTCACCTTCTCGACCACCGGCTCCGACAAGGTCTGACCCATGATTACACGGATTGAATAAAGGATTTGAGGGGAGAAGAGGGGAGTGGGAGGTCAAGCACCAGACAAAATGGTAGAAGGAGAGGGAGAGAAAGGAAGGTCAGGTGAGGTGCGCAGGTCTTTCAGCGCGTCTCTCTCGTCTGTCCTTTGGGTCCTGCGATAAGTCGCCAGCCAAAGTGGGGAATCAATGACGATCTAAGTTAGGGCTCGTCAACGAGACGGGGCAGGATTCAAGTTGAAGAGATGGATTTATCAAGAGTAAAGTTGAGGAGAGAAATTGAACACAAAATAAGAAATCAGGTTCTCGTGGTCCAGTGGGATTACAATTTTTGTCTGGCAAAATCGGGTTTGGCCAGGCAGAGATTTCTCGTAATCGCATTACTTTTGTTACCTTACGTGCTCTATCGCAGTCACCTGACTCCGGATGAGGTGAGCATTCAGCTCCGCCTGATCTGATCTGATCTCTACTAGAGGGTAGCGCAACATAGTACTCTAGTAATTGACTGGCTGTTCTGTTATCCCTGCAATTTCTTGTATTCTTCTATATTCCCCACGATACAGCTAGTGCTGACATCCTTCTCCTGAGATTCTGTGCAAGACAGCCTCATCCCAGGCTGCAAGCTCGCTGCCTGCGATCGTCACGCAAGGGCCCCAAACCCCCTCCAAGGCTAGGACGGCTAACACTGGAAATGGTAATGGTCCGTACGGGGAGAGCCATTCCCCGCTTGGCTCGGTCGGTGAAGGATCTTCCAAGGGGGTTCCAGGCTTTCTCGTGCTTTTGTTTGATGATTTCTCCATACTTCATTCCCGTCACGCTGTCAAATGTCAACTGCCGACAACTGACAACTGACAACTGGTCGGCAGCACGTGCCACTGTCTGGCCCGGGCAGGACGAGCACAGATGCTCAAACAGAGTGTCGAAGAGTATGTCGTTGGTTAGCTGTTTTGAATTATTGAAGCTAGAGAGTGGTAGAAGAGCGAATCTTATTAAATAGGTAGTATCTGCATAATCGTATAGATCTAATAGGAGCGAAATCCGCATGTTGTCTTTCGTCTTATCAGATGCCAATATATATCTACACTATCTAATTACCCGAATTCACTCTACCGCAATGTATATATTGTACACAACAACTAGCATGACTGGCATGACCGAGCAACCACCTCGGCTGAAGTCACCAACAGAAATAATATGAGACTATCACTCTCTAGGACCAAGTATCACTCACAGCTCCGTGCGCTAGAGGCGCAGGATCTAGACTCGAACCTTGGTAGCCGAACAAAGTCATGGGCGGCGCAGGAAAATGTCATCAAGACGAGATAGCCATTATGAGAGTCAGGGAACCTGGAGAAGGAAGTCGTTAAAAAAAGGAGTTGGTAATATCGAACAAAGAGATCAAGCTATCTCTTTGTACAGTATCACGCACACACCAAGCTTGTCGGGCACTCGGTGGAGCCGCAAGCTCAAGCCTTCCAGTCCGATAAACCCCACACAACAAAGCACTCCCGAACCTCTCAACGTCCAACCTCACCACGAGTACGTCCAACAACCGTACAACAATTCTCCAATCCACACAGAAACATTGATTTAAAATACATCCATGCCACCACCCCCATCCACAAACACACTCACCATGCCCCCTCAACTCGACCCCGTCGACAAGCGCCAAGCCGCCCGCGAAGTCATCGACATCCTCCAAGAGATCTCCGACCTGCTGGTATGTACCTAGTCCCCGATCCCCGCACCTGCCTCACCCAAGAAAGCCTACCTTCAAACGACTAACTCATCCATACAGAATACAAATCTCGACCGTACAGAACTGTCATTGTGCGTGTCGCTGATTGAGAATGGGGTGAATCCCGATGCGCTTGCGGTACGCGTCTAACCCTCCAACCCCGGTTATTCAAGGCGCGCTAAGACGCGAGCTTGACTAATTTTTTTTGGTTGCTGATTGCCATTCCAGACTGTCATTAAGGATTTGCGTAAAGAGGCTGCGAGTAATAAGCGGGTGTCCAATGCTCCTCCTGCCACGATGGAGTAATCGAGTTCGCTAGGCGGTCGAGGGCTCTACTATAGAGTGTTCTCTTGCTGGACGTGAGATGATGCATTTTTTTTTGGGGATATGGCGTTACAAGATTGTACGGGCTTATTGGATAGATACCCTTTTTGCTGCTTGCTTTGTGCAGCAAGTTTTTTAATTTTATTGCCCTTTTCGAAGATGAGAATTGGAGACTTCATTGGTATAGTCAGGCATGTGTTTTACGTAGATTGAGTTGAAGCATAGTACTATGCGGATGCTGGAGTATATGGAAATTAAGCAGGACAGGCTGGAATTGTGAGTGTAACTCGAGGGGGAATTTCTGGGCACGAAAAGCGACTATTACAGATACAGTAAAGACATCGTGAAAGAGAACAACAAGGAATAGTTCGTCCACCTGATTCACTTGGACGAATCTCCCGGCTTCTTGTCATCCGTGGATGCCCCAAGCTCGCCGGACATCGCCTCAGCGGTCGCCTTCTTGAGCTGCTCGCTCTCAGGGACGGTGGTCTGCTCTTTGGTCTTGATGTCCTTCTCGTCATCGCTGTCACCGAGACTGAATGGGTCGTTCTCGGCTACTGGGGAGGGCTCGACTGTGGCCAAGGGCTGCCATTTGCTGGACTTGCCGCTGGCTGGAGCATTGCGCTTGTTCGGAGTGGCGTCGTAGAGGTTGTCGATCTCTGTGGGAGGGCCGTCTTGGAAGGAAACCCTCCTACCTGACGAGGGCGATGCAGTCTTCTTGAGGCCGGTGCTGCCAGGACGAGGAGGGCGTGGGGGAGGGACTGGTATCTGCAATCAGTGGTGATCAGAAATCGCCAAATTCAAAACACTCACCTTCGCCATCCCTCAGCTCAAGCGCCGAGAAATCATCACTCAGCACTTGGGGGTCTGCATCATAACGCTCACGATCCCCACTACGGCGGCCCAGCTCGCCGCTTCGCCGTGGGCGGCCATACGCTGAGGTCTGCTGCTCATAGCGCTGGCTGGAGTGTGCACGTTCCTCCTCCTCTTCCTCATCCCCATTCAATTGCTTCTTCAGATTTCCGAACCACGAGTTTACCTTTGTCTGTGTCTCCAAGAATCCCTTCTTAAAGTTCTCGCGGATTACCGGTAGATCATCTGCAGATCGCCCCGCGGTCAGCACCAGCGTTCCTCAAGACTGCCTCTTTGTATTACCTTCGAAGAAATTGTATTCCTTGTCTTCCGAATCCTCACTCCCCCGGGGCTGGCGATACCGAGGGTCATTCTCCCATCCTGGGGCTGGACCCCTGCGTCCACCAGGGGCATTGTAGTGCTCAGCCAATTGGCGCGCATATTGCTCATCGGCTTCGAGTTGTCGCTGTGTGGTAGAGGTTGCGGACTGAGTGGGACGAGGAGGTTTGGGGGGTGGAACCATATCCTCCTGAGCGGTGGGATCGGTCATGCCTGAAAGCTGGGAGTTAGCACAATGACCACGGAAGTTATTTCGAGGGCTCGTTACGAACCCAACAAGGCGTTGAATGCGCGCTCGACATTCCAATTGCTAGCATTCAAGACAGCCTTGACTACTGCAAGCTCAACTGTTGGGAATGCCTCCTTCAGTGTATTCACCGACTGTTCTCGGGGGCTCAAGGGCCGCGGCGGCTTCGGCGGGGCAGCCGGGGGTGTGTCGGTGGCAGTTTGCTGAGCCTGCTGTGCCGAGGGTGCATTATTACCACTTGAAATGATGCCAGACTCTTGCGGTTCATCGTCAAAATCTAGAGGTCGTGCAGTAGTGGGCGACTCAGCGCGAGGGCTGTTCGGCGCAACTGCAGCCGAGGGCTTGCTAGGAGTTGACTGTGATAGTGAGCCTCCGCTTCAGAGCTGCAGGCTAGGGCCTTTACATACAGTCTTGTCCTCCTCCGACATGTTGGGTATATCTGAGAGAGATGAAGAAAATAACGAGGACACCCGCAGATGATATCGGAAAAATGGTGTTGCCTGTAGAAAGAAAGGGAAGAGGCGAAGCAGGCAGACCACAATTGGGGAAGCTCCAAACAAGTGACGTGGGGGTGCACGTGATGTGCGGGTAACTTTTATAGAGCCATCCTGCATCGCGGTTGAACATTGCAGAGCCTCCTCGATTGGGTCAACAATGAGATAACAGCATAGGGTCACATGTTCCACAATGATACTGCTACACTATCTAGAAATATTGTCCCCATGAGTTAGGGAGATTCATATCAAGCAGAGCCAAGTTATACCCTTTCATCTCAACACATTCTTTTTCCGTTTCCAAAGATGGCTTCTGAGCTGGAACTCTCAAGTGGCTTTATCCCTGCACTGTACAAGCCAGCGACTCTATTACCAATTGCAAGACACAAGCAGAGTCTGCTCTACCTGGTGGAGACGTATCAGGTCACCATTGTTGTGGGCCAGACGGGAAGTGGGAAAACCACACAGCTCCCACAATATCTCGACCAGGCTGGTTGGTGCGAAAATGGCAAGTCCATTGCTGTAACACAGGTATGTCATCTATAATGTACACTCAAAGAATCAGCCACTGACTGGAACCCTACAGCCCCGGCGAGTGGCTGCCACCACGGTTGCAACTCGAGTCGCAGAAGAGATGCGATGCAAGATTGGTGAAGAAGTGGGATATTCCATCCGCTTCGAAGATGTGACATCTGCTGCGACCAGGATCAAATTTCTTACCGATGGAATGCTTCTCAGAGAGGCGTTGGTAGATCCTCTGCTATCACGGTATTCTGTGATTATGGTCGATGAAGCCCACGAGCGGTCTCTCAGCACCGACGTGCTTCTGGGAATTCTCAAGAAAATCATGAAGAAACGCCCCGAGCTTCGTATAATTGTCAGCAGTGCAACTTTACAGGCGGAAGATTTCCTCAGCTTCTTTGCTGGCGATGAATACAAGCCAGATGCCGATCCAGCTGATATTGGCGGTGGTATCGGGAGAATCATCAGCTTGGAGGGCAGGATGTATCCTGTTGACACGCTATACCTTGAAAATCCCGCAGAAGACTATGTTGAGCGGGCAGTTAAGACTGTTTTTGATATCCACACCCAGGAAGCAGAGGGTGATGTGCTTCTCTTCTTGACTGGCCGCGAGGAGATTGACCGTGCAATCCAGTTGATATCCGAGCGGGCTGCATATCTAAATCCGAAGGCCCCTTCGTTATTGACGCTGCCACTCTATGCTGGTCTTACTACGGATCAGCAGATGTACGTTTTTGAGCCAGCACCGGAGAACACGAGAAAGGTCATTGTGTCGACGAATATTGCAGAAGCATCAGTCACGATCGATGGCATTGTCTATGTCATCGACTGTGGCTTTGCCAAGCTAAGAGCTTATAACCCAAGCACGGGTATCGAAACCTTAACAGCTGTACCTATATCAAAGGCATCGGCCACACAACGCGCTGGACGTGCTGGCCGAACGAAACCTGGCAAATGCTTCCGTCTTTACACTCAACAGACATACGAGCAACTGCCCGAGGCTACCATACCAGAGATTCAACGGTCAAATCTGGCTCCGATCGTTATGCAGCTCAAAGCACTTGGTATTGATAACATCGTTCGCTTCGACTTCTTGACATCCCCACCGGCAGAGCTCGTGATCCGTGCCTTTGAGCTGTTGTATTCTCTCGGGGCGGTTGACGATTATGCCAAACTTACAAAACCCATGGGCATGCGAATGGCTGAGCTTGCCGTTGATCCGATGATGGCAAAGGTCCTTCTTGCTGCACCTTCATTCAAGTGCTTGAGTGAGATTCTCACTATCGCGGCTATGGTGAGCCTCCAAGGAACCGTTTGGGTACAGCATGAAGGCGATAAGAAGACCGCAGAGACTCACCGGCGGAAATTCGCCGTCGAGGAAGGTGACCATCTTACCTACCTCAATGTGTATCAAGCATTTGTCACCAAGGGCAAGAAAGATTCGAAGTGGTGTCGTGATCACCTTTTGAACTTTCGAGCCCTCCTGCGTGCTGTCAGTATTCGCGGTCAGCTAAAACGGTACCTAGAGCGCTTTGGTATCCAGGTTGACGAGAGTCTCTCGACTCGTCATAGTGCTGGAACCAGCACATCCCCGGAGCAGATCCAGCGATGTCTCACAACGGGCTATTTTGCTCATGCGGCAAAGATGCAGCCCGACGGCACTTTCAAGACTGTTAGTGGAGGGCTGACTTTACATGCTCACCCTAGCTCTTTGATGTTTGTAAGTGCTCTTCATTTACTATCTTCGCTGAATACGCGATTAACATATTGGCCAACAGAATCGGAAAGCGGACTGGGTGATTTTCCATGAGATCATGCAAACCGGCAACAAGACCTACATCAGGGACGTCACCAAGATCGAGAAGAGCTATCTGCTAGAATATGCTCCGGAATATTACAGGATCAAATGATAAGCGGGGTCGTTTCAGATACAGAGATACCATTGAATAGACTATCATGTATGACTGTTTACTTTGATAATGGCCTTCCTCACTGCTGTCAAAGGGAGGCTTTTTGTTGATCTTTCCAAATCACCTATTCAGGTAAAGATAAGTCTGAGAGATGATTTAGAGAATGATCAAACATGCTCAAATCGCCAATCAGCCCTTCTTTATAGTTGTAGTCCTCGGGGGTCGAGCTATTTCATAGAGCTCGGAGATACGTCACGGGTGCGGAGAAATGCCGCGCGGATAATACCAAACACTCTTTTCTTCACTTTCATTCATTCTCGTTCGCTCTCGTCTCGCGTCCCCAACCCCACTCTCATTTGAACCTCTGTGAAATCCTACAGATACTGCTCAACAACTCAGCTCATCATGTCCGGCCATCATCATCACCACGGTGGTGACGGGCATGGTCACTGCCATGACGAGCACGATCATTCTAACGACATCACCCCGGCGCTCCAGTCGCTGCTCTACTCGCAGATCGACTTTGATTCGATTACTACCTTGAATGGTATGTAGGACGTTGCCCGATCTTTTGTCTTTATCTCTCATATCCTACACATTCAGAACTAACAACTCTGTCCAGAGGCGACTGCCAAGGGCGGCACCGCCATTGTCAAGAAGACCTGGGCCGAGCGGCTGAACGACCAGCCCGAGCTTGAGAGCGATGCTGACGAACAGCTCCTAATGCACATTCCGTAAGCTTCACTGTTGAATTGGCTGCCTCTTTGCTTATTTTGTTCCCTGTGCCAAAAATTGATGTACCCCGCGTTATGCCCCTCATCTTATCGCGGAAAGAGCAAAACTAACACGAAACCATCACCAGCTTCACTGGCCAGGTCAAACTTCACTCAATCCTCATCTACACTGCGCCCACCCCCGCTGCCCCGAAGACGCTCAAGCTATTCAAAAACCGCGACGACCTGGACTTCTCCACTGCCTCCGACCTTCCCCCAACCCAGACCATCGAGGTCCCACAGCCCGTGGCTGGCGAGGACGTGTTTGAACTACCATTGAACCGCGCCCATTGGAATACTACTACCTCTATTACCATCTTTATCGAGGATAATTGGAGCGACGGTGACGAGGATATTACCAGGGTTGGCTACATCGGCTTCAAGGGCCAGTTCATGGCACTGAACCGAGAGCCCATCAGCTTCTTGTACGAGGCTGCTGCGAACCCCAGTGATCACGTTGCGATTCCTGGGATCAGTGACACCGGGACTCGCACCATGCCTGGCCAGTAAGCTGTGTCTTTTTATCTTAGACCTTGAGATTGATCACGTTGGGAAGGATTGTGATACCAGAATGGAAAGGGACTTTCCAATGAATTAATGATTTCTACATGAAGCATAATGAGTCATGAATAAAACGCAGTACGAATATGCTCCCAGCGCCTCCCAATGCTTTCTGATCAAGTAATGCAAGTGATCGATCTTGTATGAAAATCCCCGGACAGCGTATCATCACGATGCCAGGACAGGCGTCCGGGCCTTGGTCTTGGTCTTGACCTCGGGCTGTTCTTGTGCAGGCTCTTCCAGCACTTCGTCACCACGCTCGGGGAGAGGAGCCTGGGGGACAGCAGGTAAGTCGACAGGCCCGACGACCTCTTGCCGTAGAGCCTCCAGTTCATCCTCAACATCCTCCTCATCCTGCATCGACAAACTGCCCTCCAGCATCTGACTCACCTCCTAAATTGGACCATTAGTCACTCGACCTTCAAGAAAAATAGAGTACTTGCTCTAAACTCACCTCTTGATAAGCGCGAGCCTCTGCCGTTTCCTCCATCAGCCGATCAACAGCCTCAATCCCACCAATCTCCTTATTGATAGCCTGTAACACCTGGGTACCTTGCTGCAATCCAAACAGCACATCCTTCTGTACCAGTGCAAACTCGACCTGGCCTGTCAATTGCTCCAGTTGTGCGAGTTGACTATCGGTCTTGGAGAGGAGTGATTCTTGGTATTTCTTGCGCCGAAGAGCGAGCAGAGCTCGCCGCCGATCACCGCGTGCCAGACATTCCTTTGCAATCGCGGTTTCCCGGTCGGTGAGGACGGTGATACGTTTCTGATACTGGTATATCTTATCGCGCTGGTTCTTGAGGTCGAGAATTGCTCTGCATCATGGAGAAACGACAAAAGTCAGCTAGGGAGTCATTGTAATTTGGCTAGTAGGGGCCCTCGAGAGGGTTCAAATCGGACTCGTGAGGGGCAACAATGCAAATATGACGCTGCCTGTAACAGATCTCCAAATATGTCTACTTCGAGACGATTTCAAACAGATGCATGACTTACCGATCCTGCGATGAAATTTTCTGCGAACTGCTGGAGTTCCCCATCGCGCATTTGCGGTGTTGACGAGACCGTAGTCTGGCGGGGGAGGTCAATCGGGGGATGACGTTGGCCGGCTACCGCCACGATACCGATAGATAACGATACGCGTATTTTTCACCGTCTTCCGCTTCCCCAAAATTTTTTTGCGGACTTGCGATATCGCACTCCGCAAGAGACACACATCATGGCGCCCAGATATCGTGGGGGTAGACCGACCCTCAGTCAAGGTTTAGACCGTGAGGTAAGAACTGTTGATCAATGGTGCAATCTGAATGCCACTCACCCCCCGCGCAGGTCTACCAGGTTGTGCGCAAAATTATCGACGACCAGCCCGACGGCGTAGACCGAGTTCGCCTTACGGTCCCGGTTATCTATGCGCGGATCCGGGGATCGAATTCGAGTTTGAACCGGAAACCGAAGAAATTGTTGGAGGATAGTCTAGAGCGGGTTTTGGAGGTGGTGAAGAGTGATCTCTTCGGCGATGAGGAGGAAGAATCCGTGGAGGGAGACTTTGAGGGCTTGGAGGAGCCCCCCGCTACGGTATGCAGGATAACCCGCCTAAGAAATTCAAGCAATGGTATACTAAATGTGATGGCCTCAATTCTAGGAGCCCAATGGCGTGAACCAGAGCATTGTCGGCGCATGGTCGACACCAGCAGCCGCGAAACCTACTTCCGCACCCAAAGCGGAGTCTACGAGCACATCCAAAACAACCTCCAAGCGGCGGACGCACGGCAGCGAGTCCGTATCCAAGCGACGCAAAGCCGAGGCTGCGGTTGACCGCTCACCACCCACGCACGTCAGTCTTGCAGACCTGGGTGGCTTGGATGATGTGGTCCAGGAATTGGGTGACATGGTTATTCTGCCCATGACCCGGCCACAGGTCTACCTCTCATCCAACGTGCAACCTCCGCGAGGTGTTTTGCTGCATGGCCCGCCTGGTTGCGGTAAAACCATGATTGCCAATGCGTTCGCGGCGGAACTGGGCGTGCCCTTCATTGCCATCTCTGCACCCTCTATTGTTTCGGGCATGTCTGGCGAGTCGGAGAAGGCTCTGCGTGAGCACTTTGAGGAAGCAAAGCGTCTTGCGCCCTGCCTGATCTTCATTGACGAAATCGATGCGATTACGCCCAAGCGTGAGAGTGCGCAGAGGGAAATGGAGAAGCGAATTGTTGCTCAGCTTTTGACCTGCATGGATGAGATTGCCCTCGAGAAGACAGATGGAAAGCCCGTTATTGTTCTTGCGGCTACCAACCGTCCAGACAGTCTGGATGCAGCACTTCGTCGTGGTGGACGGTTCGACAAGGAAATTAACATGACTGTGCCCTCAGAGCCGGTCAGAGAGCAGATCTTGCGAGCCCTTACGCGGAAGTTGCGGTTGGCAGACGATCTGGACTTTAAGACTCTGGCTAAGAGAACTCCTGGTTTCGTCGGAGCTGATCTTAATGACCTCGTCTCGACTGCAGGTGCTGCTGCTATCAAGCGGTATCTCGATATCCTCAAATCCAACAGCGGCGAGGAGATGGAAATGGAGATGGAGACCGAGGAAGGAGACGACGTTATCAGCCCTAAGGTTCGGGAATTGCGCCGTCTGATCACTCATGCCAAGGAGACTCCCATCGGCGACGAGACAGAAACCGTTCTTGTTTCCAACGCCGACTTTTTCACCGCGCTCCCCAAGATCCAGCCATCGTCCAAGCGTGAAGGCTTCGCCACTATACCCGACACAACCTGGGCAGACATTGGTGCCCTTGGTGGAATTCGCGAGGAACTTGCCACCGCTATTGTCGAACCCATCAAGAATCCCGAGATCTACGCTCAAGTCGGTATTACCGCGCCTACGGGTGTCCTCCTCTGGGGACCCCCCGGTTGCGGTAAGACACTCCTGGCCAAGGCCGTGGCCAACGAGTCCCGCGCCAACTTCATCAGCGTCAAGGGCCCAGAGCTGCTCAACAAATTCGTCGGTGAATCCGAACGCGCCGTGCGCCAGGTCTTCGTCCGTGCTCGCTCCTCCGTTCCTTGCGTTATCTTCTTCGACGAGCTGGATGCCCTCGTGCCCCGCCGTGACGATACACTCTCCGAAGCATCTGCTCGTGTTGTCAACACCCTCCTCACCGAGCTGGACGGTCTCGGCAGCAGCCGCCAGGGTATCTACGTTATCGCAGCTACCAACCGCCCCGACATCATCGACCCGGCTATGCTTCGCCCCGGTCGTCTCGAGACCCTATTATTCGTCAACCTGCCGTCCCCGCTCGAACGTGTGGATATTCTCCAGACGTTGTTGCGCAAGCTGCCCATCGAGTTCAACGAAGACATGCGCCGACTTGCAGAGGAGTGCGAGGGATACAGTGGTGCGGATTTGGGAAGTTTGTTGCGCCGGGCTGGTTACTCGGCTATCAAGCGTCGCGATAATATCCGCTTGGAGGACTTTGTTACTGCAAAGGCTTTCATCAGGCCTAGTGTTACAGATATGAAGAAGTATGAGCGGTTGAGAAGAGATTGGGGATCAGGTGCGGTTTGATACAGCCCAAAATAATGAGGGTGCTTATATAAAGTTTGAAAGCTTTTGGTTGGGATCATCATTGGACATAGATACTCTCCTGTCTCGCCGCTGTTTACATTTATAGAATAGGCGTTACGAAGGCGAATCAAACATATGATGAGATTCATGAGACAGACGTGGCCGCGCTAGAGTACCCTGGGGGAGCTGTCTAGGCATTGAATCTTCCAAACCTGTGTCTTGCCGCTCGCCATTATGAGACTTACCAGAGTCATATTCCTTTTTGAGGTATACCTCCAACGAGATGGCAAGTATGTCTCTATTCACATCTTTGGTTTTAATTTTCCGCATTGGGAATTGCCAGTACACCTGTTGTACACCCAAACCATAGACTTGAGCTACGAGGCCGAATTCATTGATCATATGTCGATTCGTATTAACAATGCCTAATCTGAATGTGTAAACACCTGCCCAATATACAAGAAAAATTGCTAAACCCCCGAAACTCCATTTCATGGTCATCTTGGGAAGACGTCGAGGTCTCAAGGCCCCGATCCCAACGCCGCAAACGCCATCAATGCAGCCCACGCTCCAACAAGAACAAAAGTCAAAATCCCAGCACCCGCCTTGTCTCCCGTGGTAACAGGCTTGAGGCTATCATCCTTATTACTGCTCTCCAGCCCTGCATTCGGATTGCTAGTGCTATTCCCACCAGAATTCGACGTAACCGGGGCCACGGCCTGAGCGTCAACGAACGGCAGCAAATTGGCACTGAACACTTGACTGACGCTGATCTGCTCTTCCATTCCCGTCCATCCATCCCACTTTGATTTATACCATTGCACACCGCAGGTGTTGTTGTTATTGCCCGTGCAGGACTTTGCGGCTGCAACGGCGGAGACTTGGAGTTTTGGCATGATCAGGTCATAGGTTTTTGGGACGACGAGGGCGACGTAGGAGAGCCATGTGGAGAGGAGGCCTTTGAAGAGGATTTCGTTGTTGTTGCAGATTTCTCGCGGTTCGCAGGTTATGTCTTCCATTACGTATCCGCTTTCCTTTTGGAAGAAGGTCTGGAGGGTTCTGTTGAGGAGTCCATTTGTTGCATCGAGCCATTTGGAATCTCCGGTCTGGTGGGAACTGGAGTTAGTACAACCACTCGATATAAGCTACGGGTATAACGGGTCGGAGACTCACATAGTTGTACATATAAGCTGCACCCATCAGATACGTGCCATAGTTGTACGTCCAAGGGATGTTAGCCCCATTCTTGCATCCCTCCGTTCCTTCGGTCGAGTCCTGTACAAGCCACGTCGTGCTGTTGACTAGTGGTGAACTGACGGACCAGTCCCACACCTTATTCGCCCAGGTCTCGTATTCCTTGTCCTCGGTGTACCGGGCAAGTCGTGCAGCAAGCTGGAAGAAGCCGCCGTTGGAGATGGCATTCTTCATAGTAGACCCGCTTCCCTGGTATGAGAACATTTGCCAGGTTAAACCCCCGCCGCACATTGTGGTGTCCCACCGACCCTTTTGCGAGTTGAAGACGCCTTGTGCGAGCGACAGCCACGAGAATCCGTTCGAGACGTCGGGGAATTTTAGCTCGGCTGCAGTCATCGCTGCAAGGCCCCAGAACATTTGGTCATCGTTGCCCTATGTGTGTAACATCGTTAGCCCATATGCGACTAGAACGATGAAAGAGAGGCTGAAGCGATCGCAACGGTCGTCTTACCAAAAAATGGCTGTAGTTACTGGGCAAATAATCCCCATTGGTGCCGGACTGCCATTGCAATCCAACACTCAGTTCATCATTGTAGGTCTCATCGCCCGTGAAATGCCAGTAATTGAGAAGCGCATAGAACAAGGCAGATCCCTCCCACCATTTTTCGGGAAAAGCGCCAGGGATTTGTCCGGTTTCGTTGCCGTGATACCAGACCATCATCCCGTGGGTAGCGATTTGAGCGGCATCTTTGATCGATTCTGTTCAAGGCTCGCGAACATGATTAGCCTTGAAGAACACAAAGAAGTGAGGTCAAGGCGTAGGTTGCAAAGGCGTTACTAACGTTCATTGTTGATATCGAGCTCGATAGCACGAGCTTGATTGCCCAGTGTCAGCGCATAAAGAATGACTGCACATATTGAACTTGTCCCGCTTATACGCATCGCCGGGGAAAAGTATCGGATCGAAGCTGATTGCTCAAGAGAAAGACGTAAAAGGGCCGCGGATATCCTTTTCGTCTGGTTTCAATCATTTGACTCGGGGATAGCTTGCCTGGAGTCTAGAAACCAGAGAAGAGTAGAATGTGTGGCCTGCTACCGACTTGAAAAGTTATGCGGAGCCTCGTTATGTCATAAGGGCCTCCCAGCCTTTAAGATGAACATCAGCACTGGGCTTGGAAAAGTGGGATTTGCGACAGTAATAATGTCGGTGGATTCGGCCACAGCCGCATCAGCAGGGTCTGAATCGACCCACGCAATATGTACAGAGTCATTGGTTGGAAGGAGGATGTACTTCCAGTGGTTGGTTACTTCATATATGGGGTAGGGTGGGGTATGCTGTAACAGGCTCCCCCTATCTAGCCGACTGACTTTCGGGGGCTGTTTATGATCACGTCAAACGGTTGGAACCTGGGATCGTCAGAAGCTTCTCAGCGATATGCCACGATATGGCATGTTCTAGTGTATCCGAGCTAACTATCCGTCTCTCATATTCATGGCCACGGGAGGGAAAACCGGCAGTATGAACGGGTGTCTAGCTTGTCAATCTACAATGTGTCCACCAGTCCAGAGTTTGTATTTGGCCAGCTCCAATAATGACATGCGCCTTCAAGTCGGGGCCATGCGCCCTGCGACCCTTGACTAACCTGATTGTGTCATTAAAAACCGCGAGGCTTGACGAAGCTCCACTAAAGAACATCCTTCCGGATTGTTCGACAAGTCAATGTCCAACGACGGGATTGGGGTCCATCTGAACAGGTTGACTATTTTTGTCTCGTCGATCACTTTCCGTATATATCGAGAACCCTGACACCATCGGGGACGGACCCTTGAATGCTGACTGGGTCCACTGGCGGGTCTGTCTTGGCGCTTGGCCTTGCGTACGTGTACATCCAGCGCTTATTATATAAGGGCTGCTTGTTAATTGGGAGGGGATCATTGAGAGGAGATCGGGATCTGGTTAAATCCGAAGCTACGGTTGGTCGTCCATTCAACGATGGAGCCTAATGAGCTGTCTATCTCTAGTAAGAATGCTTTAATGAATTAAGATCGACTCGTTTCGGACTGAAACGGACTTCGCACATCAAGTGTTAGGAGCTCAGTACTATTTATTGAACTAAAAACCATTCATGTCATTCAATAGCTTCCATGGATGGGTCTAAAGGCCTATGCCATGGTGATATCACGCTTTTACCTACATATGATTTCCCACCGCAATGATGTCTCATACGAAGTGGTCGGAGCAGAATTCAAGTTCTAGGCTTTACAATATGGAAATACAACTATAAAGATTCTAGCTTCGTGTTTATGTACGCTTAATTAACTGCCGCAGGCAAGAAAGAAAAATCACTACTACGTCGGGGTGCTTTTCGACTAGTCGAACCATAACCTTACTACATCCTATACTCGCTGACGTCCAGAGCCTACCACCGGAAAATGCTGATTATCCGGGGCAAGGTCAACATCTTACTCCACCAGGAGAGGACATTTGTTATAAGGTTTGAGGACGAGGCTGAAGTTCTGCATCAGAGAATCAGATCTTCAATCGACGCGAAAGGATCCCCGTTGGACCAGATCGAGAGCGAATTGCTTAATCCTTGGTGACATGGATGGCTTGAGCGTATGATATCCCGACTTGCTATTAGAGCTCTGAATTCAAGGCTGACTTCTTTCGCAATGCCAGTCCCCTCAATGTTCATTATCATCAAATTGCGGGATAACTAGAATTTTCAATGATGACATACATTTTCTAAACAATGTCTATAATAAGTCTAGTTTAAGGTGAAACGAGCTCTATCGATACGTACATCCTGGTTTGAAATGTTTAGAAACGACTTTTATAGGAGTATGGCTATACAGAAAATACTATGCACACACATATACGACAGAAACGCCTGAAAGAGTATCATGCAAAACAACGACCGAAAAATTTGATTACATCCACAAACGACACGTGCCATCAGCACCGGCACTGACACACCAAGCCTCCCGCGGGTGCCAATCGATATCGAGGACACCCAGCTCTCCGGTGACCTTGTGGCCCCTGAGGACCTTGAGGGGAACAATGCTGGCGTTGCTGAGCATGTCGCCCGTAACGCTGCCGTGGAAGATCTGCAGGGAACCGTCGTCACTGGCGTCGGCGAACAGCGGGTAGCGACCACCCGGGTGGAACTTGACAGCACGAATAGCCTTGCGGTGATAACGCAGCGTCTTGTAGGGACGCTGCGACAGGTCCAGATCGTGCCAGAGCAGGCGACGGTCGTAAGAACCGACGATGATGTTGTCACCGCCCGAGGCAGTAGATGAAGTCGGGTGAATATCGAAGGACGAGATCCAGCGGGCACCGGGCTGGACAATCTTGACCAACAATTGGCGGGAAAGATCGTAGCCACGGATGGAGCGCTGGTTGGCGACGAAGAGAATCGGTTTCGAGGGGTGGAAGTGGGCAGTCTGAGGGGGACCACCACCCTTGAGGCGTCGGCGGAATGGATACTGGGTAAGATGCTTGGAGACGGTGTGGATGGCAATGGCCACGGAGGCAGGGGTCGATGCACCCGAGCACACGGTGACGAAGTAGTCTCCGCGGCGGTGCCAGGAGATTGACTTGGGAACGTAACGAAGAGGAATAACCACGCACACACCGGCATCCGCGAGCTCGGAAGAAGGTCGGATCCATTGGGGAGGAGTGTTCTTCTTGTTGGCCTCCGCAGCACTCGGGGGAGGGTTGGAGGCGGCGTAACCCCAGCCGGCATCGATAATATCCAAGCTGGCCTTCTCGACCTCGGGATCGGCAATCATCATGGGGACGGTAAGGAAAAGGTCGTCACCCGCAGCAGCAGCAAGAATGACAGCATCCTTGCCCGGCCGCCAGCGGACCACATTGACAGCATCCTCGTCGCTGAGCTTAACACTCCAGAGTTGACGACCAGTGAGAATTTCCCAAACGCGAACGGTACCATCGTCACCACCAGTAGCAAGCCAGATTCCAGTGGGGTCCACATTGAGGGAACGGACACGACCCTTGTGGCCACGGAACACTGTAGCGCAAGTAGTAGGGAACGGCTTCAATTCCTCAGGGCTAGGCAGCTTGGGCAAGAGACTCTCAGGGTCGATGTTCAGCTTGCTGCGGCGCACCCGAGGAGCAAGGTACAGATCCAAGCAACGCTCGAACTTCTCCTTGACAAAGTTCTCATAACCAGGAACCCTACGAAGAGAACCAAAGTCTTTGGGCAAGAACTCCTTCTCGCGGTCCTCGGGGTCTGTTTGCTCCCACTCCTTGCGCTCCTTCGTATCGGGCAGGTACTCAGCAGGCGGGTGGTAACTCTCCTCGTAACCGGGCGGCGGCAGCTTGGGTGCAGGAATGTGCATAATGTGATCGGGTCGCTCGACCTCATCAGCCCATAGATCGTAGTTGATGAGTTCTTCCTCCTTCTCCTCACGCTCCTCTGGGGGACGGTAGGGGAGAATGCGGCCCTCACGGATCGCCTTCACGATCTTCATCACACGCTTGGCCTCATGCTTGGATGGAACGAACCGACGCTTCGGTTCGGGAGCAGCGCTGAGGGGCATGATCTCAAGCTGGCTGGAGAAGGACTCCACCAAGGGCTCGTAAGGGTTGTAGCCATCGACAGTGGACTCGTTCATCTGCACCTTCTTCAGCAGCTCCAACTCCTCCTGGCTTAGCTCCAATGGCTTGCCAGTCGAAGGATCGGTAAGACCAGTCCAGCCCTTGGGCACCTCGATACTGTCAAGCAGCGCATCCAGAGCCTCGCCCTTGGCCGGGCGCATGATCCTTTTACCATTGATGTCGTAACCGATGTGAGGATATTGATCGTAGAATGTCAGCGGGATATCGCCAATAGTGTTGGCGTTCTCCTCGACGTCCGAGTAGTCCGAGTTATCGTCCGGGTTGATCTCATCGTAGAGATAGCGCTCGTTTCCATTGGCATCTTTCACGATACGGAAGTTGGGTTCGTTGTCGGCAGGCGTAGACAATTGCGTCTTTTTGGGCGCCACGGGCTCGGTATCGGAAGGAATTTCATCGCTGTCCAGTTCATCCTCCTCATCTTCGTCGTCCTCGTCGCTGAAGTCGTCAATCAACTCGATTTCGGAGTCGCTATCTTCTTCCTCGCTCTCCGACAGATCGTTGTTGTTGTCGGAAAGAGCACCATCCAAATTTTCCGCGCTCAGCTCATCGCCGGAAAAGACACCAGCTTCCTCCTCCACATCACGAGTAACCGCCTTGCGCTTCTTAGAAGCCTTCCTAGCGTCCATTGTTGCTGGCTGTTGAACTTGGAACTCTTGTCGGTCTCCACGATTTTTTTTTCTTCTCCGTTCAATTGGGCTCACCGCTCACATGACTTACCGCCCGCAGTCCTTATCGCCTATCGATGACGGCCAGGGCGGCCCTCTATGTAGTGTCCAAGATAATAATCAATTACCCTCGCTTCGGTTGCACGGAATGAGAATTACGGGATGGCGGCAGTCATGGCACGGTCCGAAGGGGCCTCTTTAACAACCGAGATATCCTCTTCGATAGCGGAACCTAAAAGACACTCGGCATGCGATGAGTGTAGTGAGTTTTCCGTAAGATGAAGTTACGGCTGACCTATGCTGATCACTTATGATGCTTCCACAGGGAAACGAAAGCTCAAATGCTCGGGTGAGCTCAGTGGCTGCTCCCGATGTCTGAAGCAGTCAATTACATGCAACTATTCAGTACAAAAAACCATGGGCCGACCACCTAAGAAAAGGGCGCGCGCAGATGATGACGGAGGCGATATATCTTTGCAGGGTAACAACATCTGGCCCACTCCAGAAGATACACCGCCAGACTCTGTCACTATGGGACACGAGCCGGATGTGACAACAGACGCGCTGTATCTTTGTCCACAGTTTTTCGTCCATCATGGTGGCCCGTCGCAGTCATCAGAATCAGATCTGCTCGCCGTTGATGACGACCACAACCATAGCTGGCGCCCTGACCGTCTGAGAAATTCCAATCTACCAGTGCCCGAGTCTTCAAGCCCCTGGCCTGACTTTGCAACGGTATCCGAGTCAACATCGATGCTCGTTGCTCCCCCGACAAACTTACTTAATGCCCAATCCTTACCGTTAACCCCTCCAATGACCAATCTCGCCGACCCCGCTACTCCTCAGTGTACATGCTTGTCATATCTATATCTCTGCCTGAGTCACATCTCCTCTATCGCCTCATTTCCCGTCAACTCCCATACGCTTTGCTCCCTATACATCGCAGCCAGAACCGCGCAGGACGTGATTCGCTGCGAAGCATGCCCCAAAAACTTTGCAACGGGCATCCAGAATGTCATGTTCTGTGGAACTCTGCTCACAGTCATCGCGGACGCTTGGCTACGAGTTTATAACAGCGATGCATCCGAACTCGGGGTGCAGTCTGCGCCACCAGAATTTGCAAACAAAGTCATGCAATCTGCCAACCCCGCCGAAGGCTGGAAGTCTTGGCTCCGTCAGATCGTTCGTCGTGCTGTAGTCGGCGGATATCTGAGCCCAGAGGCCGGTACTCGCTGTTCTGGTCAGCGTGATCTTCTCTCTTTAATAAGAGAAGTTGAAAACCGTCAGCGACGCTGGCATACCCCTGGACAGCACCCAATGGAAGGACAGAATCTCATGCAGTCCATGAGCCTTGGGCATAACCAGAGTGATGGAGAAGAAGAAGGTACCGATGAGAAGAAGTTGCTGTGTTTGCGTGTGGTTGGTAGCGCGCGAGCTGTCCTCTCGAAATTCAATTTTGAGCCTCACGACTTTCCCGAAGGAGTCATACCTGATGACGTGAAACGAATGCCACGCCCATGATAAAAGCTATGAATAATGGATTGAAGTTTCCGGATATGGCTCTTGTGCTTCCATTAGGGATTTTATACCAGTTGATGAAGAGTTTTTACATCGCTATTCGAGAAGAGATAGTTTTTATACCCAAAACAAATATCTCTCAATTCTACGCTTTGAGTAGATCTCTCTTCACCTCTTAACTTTCTCTTTACCATTCTGCCGCAACGGAGCAGTTTTAGTGATAAACAAAACCTAATGCAGATGCAGGTAGCTGGATGAACGCTACAAATACCAGGATGGTTACTTGATTCGATCATCGATCATTTCATTACTTTTGCCAGAGAAAAATGTACTATGCCAGCCTGAGTTCAAGCGTTAAAGCAGAACCACTGCCCCACTGAAAATGCCAACCGTTATAAATGTGACGCCCAGGCCATGTTCAGACCGAATTGTCAAGGAAAGATTAAACAGGAAAAAAATTGAGAGATTGATGTTTGGTAGAGATCACTCATCCTCGTCATCATCATCAACCACATAGCGGTTCTTCTTCCGGGCTGGTGGCGTTCCATCTCCTCGGGGAGTCTCTTCTTTCCGGGCTGGCTTAGAAGGAGCGACTTCATCATCGACTTCACCCTCGGCATCCATGTCCTCATCCTCGAGCTCTTCCTCGTCATCGTCATCGTCACCTTCCTCCTCGAGCTCCTCGTCACTCCGTACCAAGAAACCATCGTCCTCGTCATACTCGTCTTCGCGGGTGCGGCCACCACGACCCCACTCCTCCTCTTCGTCCGTCATGATTTCTCCACGACGGTTGGGGCGGCGCGGTTTAGCGCGAGGGCGGGTGGTGCGTAGACCATCATCTTCCAATCCACCAACGGTAAGACCATTGGCCATCGTACGGGGTGCGGCGACGCGGCGAGTACGATCCGCCTCACGGTCTGCCAGCTGCTGACGGCGGCGCTCAGCGCGCATGGCCTCCCTCTCCATCAGCTCGGCCTTGCGGGCAGCGAGTTCGGGGTCTTCCCTCACGTTGATCATTGGCACACCACCGTCGGCAGTCTGCTTGTTGCCGCGAGCAGCAGCGGCCAGGGACTCTTGGAGTCGCTGGACCGCATCGTCCGATTCCAGGGCCGTGGGCAGAACGGTGAGGCCATGTGTGACGTGCGACGTCAGGCGGAAAAGCTCAGCCTGCTCCAGGCCAGCGCCGAGGTAAACGTGTGAGTCCAGCTTTGTGGTGTATTCGCCAGACTTGGAGAGAGGTGCAAGAGGTTTAGATGACGTGCGGTATTGCTCGAGAGGTGCGGAGGCGAGCTGGAGTGTGATAGAACCGTCTTCCCATTGGACTAGCCGCGCGTTCGACTGTAGTTTGTCTTCGTCGGCGGGATCTCTGCGCCAGCAAAGGGACGTCGCGGCCGTAGAATACGCAGGCGCAATGTAGGTCTCGGGGTTAAACTCTTCTGATTCGATGGAGAGGAAGTCGGGAACGCGCATTGTGTAGACCTGAAAATCTTTTGTCAGCATAGACTCGTTGGATTCAGTGTGATATTGTCGCATACCTCAGGGTCATTCGTAGCTGGCACTGGTGCGCGCGCAATGGTCATTTCGGCAATGGTGAGGCTCTCCGTCTCGCCGTCCGGCCCCTCGTCCATGCGGTCTTCGCGTCGGTCGTAGCGGCCATCATCATCTCCCGAGTCCAGTTGCTCGTCGTCCAAAGTACGGTGAGGTCGACTAGTCAGAATTAGTTTGTGCTTGATGTCTGGGTAGCTTCCCAAGTGAGAAATTACTCAATATCGTCAAATCCACCCTCTGAGCCGTCGGATCCGAAAAGATCAGCATCGTCGTCCATCAGATCATTACCAGCACCATGGTTCTCAGCACCAGAGTCATTGCCAGCATCACTCGGGTCAGGACTTTGGTTGGCGGCGTTGCGTCCGGGGCGGCGGACAGCCTCCTCGTCGGAGGAGGACATGAGGGTGAAAGTGGTTGAGGTGCGGGAGGAGAGTGTAGGAAGGTGTGAGAACCTCCAGAAGGAATTGAGAAAGTAGAAAGATCAATCGATCTGAACGAGTCGTCACTAGAGCTCCCTAAGACAAGCAATCTATCGAGCCAACCATCATGATCCACGGGCTTGAACATTCACATTCACGCGGCAATCCGGATTAACATGATGATCCGGCCCCGGTTCCCCCCAAAGGAGTTAAGTCAGCGGGCCAGACCAAAAGGGGATTCCCTGAACATCTTCACCGTCTCTCTCTTACTTCGTGGTTAATTGCTTTTTTGTCAAGGAATTGCTCTTTGTCTTCACAATGGCGACCTTCTTCCAGAGTGTGTAAGTCTGCTGTGCAATGGCGACCTCACGGAGCCCCTGTCCTTCACTGTTTACTCCCCCTCGACCCTTTACCTTTCCCCCCCCTCCATACTGCATCACTCGAGCAGTACCCGGCGCCACAAACGCAACGCAGCATTCCGGCTTCCTAAAGTCTATTAGTCGCTCTATTTTTTGCCCTGATCTGCCTCCTATCCCCTGTTTTCCATTTCAATTTCGTCTGCCTTATCCTGAAACACACCTTCTTACCCCTCAACTGCGATGTCTGGAGCTAACTCACCCGCCTACAACAGTCGCCAAGGGTTCGGCCGGGGAGGAAACAACAAGAACAACCCCCCCAAGAGTCCGGCGCAGGCTCCCCAAGCCCCCCAGGCTGGTGCCATGTCCAACTCTCCGTCGCTCACTAATAGCCTCACCATGGACAACCTCTCCGCGAACGATCCCGATGCCCCCAAGTACTTCTTCCAGGAGAAGTACGCCCCACTGAACGTGAGGGGCAACTTCTTGACCCTGTGTGCCTGTCCAAAGAATGTGGAACTGGGCGAGTGGCTGGCTCACCAGAGTAAGCTACCCCGAGGATGACGCGCCATTCGCGATAAAGAAGTCGGATCGCTGATGTGTCGGGGATTACAGTTGTTGAACAATATCGCTTGCTCCACGGCATGCTCCAAGTCATCCAGGAGACGAACAGCGTTACTGGTCTTCCAATTTGCAATGAGAGCACATGCCCGACTATGTCGGCTGGTCGGTACGTGAAATTGGCGGGGTACATACTGAGAAATCCGGGGTTGCAGGCTGACGAAGATTACTCTTAACAGGTTGACCTATACTTGGCTGGTGGACGGCCGCGCAGCTAAGATTTCTGCTCCGAAGTTCATCAACCGTGTCGAGAAGTGGATCGTCAGCAAGATTCATGACCCAGTCATGTTCCCCACCGAGAAGGTGAACGGCACTCCTGAAACCGCCTCCATGAGAGATGCCAACGGTACCTCTGCGGCTCCTTCCTCCGCCACCTCCACGGATCCCTCCACCCCCGCGAGCACGAGTGGCGCATCAGCAGACGAGTGGATTGGCCAGTCCAGTGGTTTCCCCCAAACATTCTACAAGGACTGCCAGGGTATCATGAAGCAGATGTTCCGTTGCTATGCCCACCTGTACCACGCGCACTGGCTCAACCCATTCTGGCACCTGAACAAGCACGACATCCTGAACATGTGCTTTGTGCACTTTGTCACCGTCGCCAAGTACTACCAGCTCGTCTCGGACAAGGAGATGGAGCCGATGCAACCGCTGATCGATCTGTTCATCAAGCAGCAGCGGGTGCCCCCAGAGGCCTTGAGCGGTGGCCACTGGGCTCAGCAGCCGGCAGCTAATTAAGCTGGCTAATCGATCATAACCATACCCAAATGACACTCCGCAGGCCCGGGAGTACAGCGACCCTCTCTTTTTCTTTTCACGCTTGACGACACATGACCTGTTCTTCAACCAGGCGTTGGGCCCTACAGCTGTCTTATGATCGTGTTTCTGCTTTTCACTGATGCCGGGAGGATGAATGGAATTCAATGTGCGACTGATAGCCGATCATACGACACACGTCCAAGGCTTTAAGCATTTAGCATGCGGTGTGAATATTCTTTTCTTTCATGTTCTTTGTCATGATCTTTGCATATCTTCTATCAGCTATTCATGGTGGCGTATCCTCGCAATGGAATCATATCCGTCTGGATGCAGATTGGAAGTTCATAGGTTGACGAGGTGGTAGAGTGTTCTTCGAAGAAGAACGTCAATGTCGGTAGAGGGGAGGCTGATTTCCATCTGGTAGGGCATGAACTCTTACTGTTTCGCCAACTGCCAGTGGAGACTTCATCTCGTAGTAGACCGTATTGTCTAGTCATGGAGGATGCGCTCTCTTTTGCCCAGCAGCCATACTCATCCGATAATCAATCAAATCCATGAATAGAGAATACAGGCAATATCCGACCAGGACCCAGCTCCGAAGCTCTAGAAATATTTCGTCGACTCATGTATTCGTAAATCGTAGCCAATTTTCAGCATCTCGCCCTTCACAGGTACACCCCACCATCAGCGTCTCGTCCACCCTCCTGCTGTTGCTCAGCAGCGTCATGACCAGTCCCATTCAGAACCGGAGCTTGCTCCTCCTCATCCTTCTTCCCAGGATCAATCCACACCTGCCCCCGCTTCTCCACCTCAGCCTTCAACAGCCCAATCCGCTCTTCCTTGCTCTTCACCACGCCCTCGTTCTCAACGATGACCTCGTCAAGAAACCTGACGCCTTCTTCTGTCTCCACAGCCTTTTCTGCCTCTAGGGCTATGTTGGACTCGAGGAGTTTGTTGATGTCGTTTTGGAGTTTTGCGGCTTCGGCATGGAGGGATCCGAGGGGAAGCTCTGTTATGGCTTCTGCGAAGGCCGTGAGGCTTATGGGTTGGCTTCCGGCGGACATTTTGGGTGTTGGGATGTGTGCAGTTAGATGATGATGTGCTTTGGTGTTGAGGTAGCGTGAGGAAGTAGGAGGTGTTTGGGGTGAGGTTTGGGAAAAGGTTGGAGAAAGTTGGAGATGCGCCGAGCTTGAGTTGGTTCCCCACACATCTGAGATAACGGGTCTAGGCTATCACGTGCGATGTATATCCTTTGGCTCTGGACAACCAACCAGTTCGTATAGCTTGATTGACATTTTTGACACCCGATGTATTTGTGTTCAGTGGAGATAGAATGCTGAATGTCTTACAGGATCCTTCAGATGAGTAGGCTGCCTCCGTGGATAATGCCAACCTCTGATCGATTTGCCTAGACTACTCCGTTCGGGCGCCTGACGTATCAGAATCTATTTCCCGGGTTATACTTTCGCCCACTAGACCATTAGCAGAGAGCGTTATGGTCCAGATATGACCCGCGCTACACCCAAAAGCAAGTCTTGTCTTATCACCCAAGATAAATGAATCTGACCTGACGGGCCTATACTCCGGAGGCAGCCATAGGAGTTTTTGTCCTTCAAAGCATATCCAGTCGTCAGACATCTCGATGGAATAACCGATGGACAGTGCTGAAGAGCGCATGTCCGCCAAGAACCGCATGTAAGTGGGAGGTAATTTATACTGCGCATCAAATACAGCAACCTCCTTCCGGAGGTTCCAGGATTTGGTACCAATCCACCTCATAATATCGGTCTTGATATTGAGCTCGCATAGTCTTCGCCCAGTAGTCGAGTCCCAAATTATGAAGGTGTGGTCAAACGACCATGACGCGAGCCGACGTCCATTCGTTGACCAGATGATTGGACACCACCGAGTTTCGTTTTCTTCAATGACTATGCTCTGGCCCGTCGCCATGCTCCATATGCGTGTCGTAGATGTTGATTTTGATGCCAGCAAATCTCCGAGCGGTGACCAGGCAAGGAACATGACCGAGGTGCTGTGACCCTCAAGAACTGTCTTCTGACCACTGCTCAAATCCCAGACTATGATTCTCTGATCTCTCGACCCTGATGCAAGCCGATTTCCGTCCGAAGACCAACTCATTGAGTGAACTACATCCCTGTGCCCATCAAGAATCGTGCTCTTTTCGGAATTCAAATCCCATATCGTAATCTCGGTCGAGGCTGATGCTAGCTGTGTTCCATTCGGAGACCAGGCAATGGAATAAAGATCGTTGCCGTGACTCTTTGAGACCGCGGTTTGTCCAGTGCTCGGCTCACAGACTTGCGGTTTTTCAGCTCTCCCACCTGATTTGAATCTACTCTCAATTTTCTCTTGGTTGAGGCTTGCGTAAGCATTGGCTAGATCCCAGATCTTGATCAAACCATCAGACGATCCCGATGCGAGCCTTCCATCTTGAGAGAAGGCTAGGGCTTTAATCTTAGCATTGTGTCCGTCGAGAACGCAGATACACTGGCCGTTGACCGAGTTCCAAATGCGGATGTTTCGATCGGTTGACCCAGATGCCAGCCTTTCGTCATGGGACCAAGCAACTGCGCTAACTTCATCATTGTGTCCTTTGAGGATGAACACGCACTGGCTTGTGGTTGGGTCCCACATTCGGAGTGTGCAATCATGGGACCCTGATGCAAGCCTGCCATGTGGTGACCAGGCCATGGCCGTCACTTCCTGACTGTGTCCCTTGAGAATCGATGCCGTTATCCATGAATCATTTGCCAGATCCCATACTTGAATCGCGTAATCATTGAACGCTATTGCTAGTTTTCCATCGTCCGAGTTGGCAGCGCAGGATGCCGATTTGCCCTGCCTCTTAAGGTTCGACGATGTCCATTGTCCGGTGACACAGTCCCCGATTCCAGCTATTAATCTCTTTGACAGGAATGCAAGTCTTCCATCTCGTAACCAAGAAATACAAGTCATGTATCCAGTCTTATGTTCCATGCGTAATTCACAAAGACGGTTGGAAAGGTCCCAAACATGAAGATTAGATCCTCCATCACCCGAAGCATCATCCGAGGCGAGTAAATCATCTTGCGAGAAGGCAATCAATCTGGCTCCATTGCCACAGCTTGATATGCGCTGTCCGGTAGCTGGATCCCAGATAACTGTGCGATCCAATGACGCCGATGCGAGCATTCCATTGCGTGACCAAGCAATACTTTCGACCCGAGCGAGATGCCTTTCAAGCGTGAGAAAGCAAGAATCCCAATCAGTAGATATCTTCGGCTCTTCCAGAATCCAAGCTGCCTTCACATAGTGGGCGTTCCTCGTTATGCTTTGAGTCGGGGTGAATATAAGCGAGGTGTATATCTGTAGAGGGTGGGTCTCGATCACAGCTCGGTAATATCTGAAGACTCGGCAGGCATCATAGACTCTCACCAATACTGTTTCAGGGCCCGCGTGTTCCTTCAACGTCACCTGGGTTAACAATTAAACGACTTTCTTTTCGAAGGTGACTACTTACCCGAACCAAGTTCTCAAGTTTGAGCATCGATGCGATGGCTTCCGTTGTGCTTCCGAGGAGACTAATGGCTTCGATCCAGTGGAGAAAGTCATCACTCAGGAATGAATCCAGTGACTTGTCTTCTTCGAATTCTTCCAACCCATTGGCAATGAATTGACAGTCCTCAAGGTGGTCTACCCAATAGGAACATGAGTACCAAATGCCAGCCAATGGATCTGGATTTGGTCGCGTGACGTCGGTAATAGAAGTCCCGGAATTCTTGAGCTTGTACATATCACATTTAAGTGATTTGAATGCTTGAAGGGAACGTGAGAAGATTTTGTGGTGCTCTTTCTCCTTGTTTACCTCAAAAGTCTCAGTTGACGGGTCAAGTAGGAAATCCTTGGCAGATTGGTGGACAAGGAAGATGAAATCGTTGTCGACTTTCAGAAAGGAGCCACATTCGGTTATTAGCTCTCGAATTGATTCGCTATCATCGCAGCCCTGATGGTCAAAATTGACCAGAACTCTCAGTACTTCAATAGTGATGGGTGTGTACACGCTGAGAACGACGGAAAGAATGCGCTTGCAGAGCTCCGAATCCTCGGACGTAACGATCCGCTCAAACATGCGGTTGTACAGCGGCTTTAGCTCCCGTGGGAATCTCTTCAACAAATCTTCCGTATGCCAGATTTTCACACGAAGACCTGCAAGCTGCTGGCACACTAATGCCACTCATAGAAAAGTACTTTGCGCATTGTCCAACAAGTACTGGAGAACAGTCTCCCGAAGTTGGTCACTGTACCTTTTGAGCCTAGTCAATTCGTCGACCCTTTGATGGATGAAGTGTTTAACGGCGGCTGATGTCGAGTCTTCGTTCAATTCGAGCACAAGGTTGACTATTCTCGTGGCATTGTTCAGACGTTCTTCGATCTCACGTCAATTCCGGCTCGAGACGAGCCATTTGACGTGAGTCGTTTCGGAAGATTGTCTGGCAACAAGGTCAACAAGAGGAGTCAAGTCTGTAGTGCATTCATCGAGCGCATCGATAATGACACAGGTTTTCTGATACAAGATCAGCGGGTCGTTAAGGATTCCACGAAAAACGTTTGCCAATGCTTGCCAGGCGTTCATGCCCTCGAAAGCTGTTCTGTTCTGGTCATACTCTCGGCGGACGTGGGTGATAAGCGATTTATGCTGAATCACGAGCATATAGATTAGGCTGCGGAGGACTGCATTGGCATTATTGATCTTCATCTCTGTCCCCTGACAGAAGAAATACGCCACGGTGGTAGGATTAGAGCAAGACTCGGTCAACTCATCAATGATGCCACACAAGAGCATAGTTTTCCCTTTTCCGGGGTCTCCACGGATCCATAGGAGCTGGCCCGAGTTCTGATCTCTCCATTGGACAAACTCTTCATTACTTAGCACCCAGCGGTATGAATCTCGAAGAAGGCCTCCTTTAAGCTGCTCGATACGTTCCTTATCGCGACGGGGATCGGTAACTTTCAAGTCATTAAGACAGGCAAGATCTTCAGAGGTGAAAATGTACTCCTCTTCTCTTGCTTTGAAAGTGTTATCTTGTAATAGGTTCAGCCATTGTACATATGTGTCTGTCTTGAATGGATCTAAGCTGCCGTACCGATCTGTTTAACCCATCTTTTGAGCTCTCCCAATACCATCACAAATCCATCATCTTCTGCGGTCACAAACTTGACCATGTCCCGATGATTGGCATGGATGCTAATGGCTGCATATCCCTCGAAGGAGGCAGACTCCTTTGAGACAACTTGCCCTGCTAGTCGCATGGGCAGCTCTTCGAAGAAACAGGTGATTTGCAGCCGACCCTTGTCATTCTCTCGCAGCCTCCGCGTCATCGTTAAGAAGTCCTCTTGAATAGACTCGAGAACTTCATTCTTGCTCTGTAAGACGTCGAGCAGTTTTGTATTGACGGACTTGACAAAACCTAGTGCGGAAGCAGGAATGCTCGCCCACTTAGCCAACCAGGCCCCTTTATGTGGTGTGCCCAAGAAGACTATCCCTCTAACAGAATCGAAAATGTCATGCAGATGATCCTCGGCGCTATTCTGTGATAAGAGAATAGCCTTTTTGCAGACAAGCCCTCCAAGGCTGTGGACGACGAACACGAGAGGGCGAGAAGTGGCATCGCACGACTCTCGATACGAAGTAAGTTTGTTCAAAAGGCTGGACGCATGGTCGCCTAGTCGATTGGACGAAGCCACAGAGCCTCGAACGACGTAGGCATCGTAGCCAAAGGTAAGAACGCGAGCTTGCTGGAGTCGTGACGGGAGCAATGCTTTCGGCCAGGGGTCTGTTTGACCATCTGCTGTCCAAGTTCTCTCACGGTCCCCAGTTAAACCATGAACGAAGCAGATATCGACAGCGGCGTTGACACAGTCATGTAAGACCTTTATGCCGTCTGGGAACGGGGTGTTCAAAGGAGGGCGCGCGGGGTTTTCAGCCTCACGTTGGTCAAGCGCCCCGCCATCACCTGCGGCTTCACCTTCTGGGCCGCGTCGTAGCGTGAAAGGCTTTGTCCACGGGCTCATATTTCCACATAAGGAATGATCCGACAAAGTGTGCCAAAGAGCAGGTTTTAGGAGTCAATTTGGAGAACACTGGGTTTTGGTTACGACCCTTCACCAGCTGAACGCCAACATAGCGACTGGCCATCTTAGCGCGGGGCCAGCGCATTCGAGTTGGACCAATACCACGGGGTAACGATGGGGCCAAAAAATACCTAACTTGCAGGGATTGCGAAGCCTCTGCGATGGCCTTTGTACCAATTAGTGGGTATTTTGAGTACGAGAGCGTTGAATACTTCGCTGCCACATCTTACCTCAACAGAGTCGGGGTCAAGACTTCCACTTTCATCGACGTGTATCAAGTCCTTTGTCTACACCTTTGGCGAGATAAAGCCATTGTGTCGACAGATTTAGCATTTCGTGGTCAAAACTTCCTGTTCGTGTCTTAATTCGAACCCGAATAACAGTCTTTGTTTACTTGTCCCTCTTTCACCATCGAGAACGAGGCATTATGGGTTTCCCCATACAAAGCCCATCTTATTAATAACTTCGGTCCCTTCTAATTGTCACAATGCGAATACATCAAGGGCTTAATACCGGATTTGTCGTAACAGTGTAGACAATGGCTTTGGTCTCGCCTTTGAAGGTTCTTCTCGACATGATGGAGTTTGCATACTATTTTCGGCCATTGAAGGGAGTTACCTGCAAAAAGAGATACATATCGTATCCGGGAGGAAGTTATAAGAGATGGAGGATTTCCCCTTTAGGGATGTTCGTTGTCTCGGTATAATCACTTGCCTCATCTGTTCTGAGTCTTGCTGGTTGAATACCTTTTTGCGTGAGTTGCATAGCATATACCTGCCTTGCTCTTTTTCTTGACCTGCTATTAACACAATTCGCATTCCATACAATTGGACCAGACCTGAGATGTGGAAGATGTCTTCTACTCTGGTACCCGACATCAATTGGAGCACATGGGTCGATCCTCTATACACTAGCCCCCATGACCCAAGCCCTTATCGCCGGTCCTGGTGTGAGGGGGATTCTAATGCCTTCAACGCATTCCGGAAAGCACGACACCCTTGGGATCTTGTGGATTATCACCTTTATCTTATTGCGACCGAAGTACAGTACCGGAACTGGGAGGTGCGGATATCAAATAGCCGGTTGATCGAAAGCGATGGGTCGCGGTGGGATAACTTTGGATACGCCATCGACTCGGACGACCATGATTGTCAGACAGGATGGAAAGACCCTCTCGTGATATTTGCTTCACTTCTCATTCCACATGCAACCGATTGCCCAGATCGCAGGATCGTGCTGGCCGTCAACCTTCGCACCCATCACCTTGTCGGCTATTTGTTTGAGTCTGCGCCTGAAAGCATCGCTGAGCTGGGATCGGTATGGGATCAGAGGGAGCTGATTATTGATCTGGAACTTAAGAGATTCGTCCAAATTGTCAAGTACAGTACCAATGAGAACCAAACTATTGTGACGAAAGGCATTTTCAACCACTTCTGCGAGAGCAACCGACATCTCCACGTTGGTATGGATGCGGTCATCGCCATCAAATACATCCAATTCCTCCGCGATGCAATCAGGGGTGCAAACCTCAGCACTCTCGGCAATAGGGATGAAGAATCATCCAATTTGTTCGATATGGAGGAGCATCTTCGCGACCTGCTATGCCGAGGATCGGCCAGAGGCTGGATGAGTTCTCACGGGGGGATAACAATGGAGGAGATCCGGAAATGCATACCGGCGAAAAATTCCACCTCTGATACCTTCAGCGATCAACTCATTCAACCTCATATTATTGACGATGAGAAGCGAGTACGGCGTAAGTCGTGGGCGCCGATGAAGCCGAATAAGTCGTTACTGATGCGGTACGAGGTAGATCTTCCTCAGTCAGGACTGACTGCGTTGAACAATATCAGGCAATCGACATCCGACATGGTTATTTTGTTGGAATTTTTCGGAATCGAGTGCTCGAGTCTTGCTAAGGACGAGGAGGATTGTGAGATTGCGCCGTTGGTCGAGAGGATGATCCAGAGACGATGCAGTGATACGCGGCGAGGTTTGCTCGATGGAAAACCGAAGTTGGATTATTGATTGGCGTTTTCTGCCAGAATACTTTTGTTATTTTGCATTGCCTATGGGGTTATTACATGCCATGGACATGATTGGGTTTGGCGTTTGTGTTGGAAATGGCCGGATTACAGAGACCTTAAGCGATTAAACATTGGTAAGGCTTACTTGCAACCTTTCCGTACATGAGGAATGTGCATCCATGCGATAGAATGGTACAAGGTAGATAAAATCAACCAAGGAAATCGGGCATGCCGAGAACTCGAGTATAAACCGTGGCCAATCAGGTCGTGGGTGTACAATCCTTACCTACATGTACACTATAGACACGCTGTACCTGAACAGCTTTGTGTCTAAATCAATTGAGCTAATTAAAGCTTGTGTCCCTTGAACCGGTTCAAGATAATCATAATGTTTAAATATCTGCCCTGGGCTGTTCGCTTTCTAAATGCTTGTCGATGCTGTCAATGGTATGATGTATCATATTCGATATCGATCGGCGATCGACGATCATTGCGCAAATAATTCACCGTTGCCCCCCCTATTTATCCTATTTATTCACAACGTACAGTATATCATACAACATGCAATGCGGTACACGTAGTCATGCATGACTATTCGCTCATCTCCGAAGACCTCTCCAATTATTTCAACATTCCTCCTACAGAAGCAACGCAAGGCCCTAACCATACTGCATGATCGGAGCTCACTCTAGCACCGCCACGCCGTGTATCCAATAGCAACGCCGCCGTAACCGGTTAGTGTGGCGCTACGTGGCTGTTGTCCTGCACGAGTTCCAATGATGGTTCCATTCTTCGCAATCAGCCCCAATTGTGTTCTCCTGATTGGCGTACCGTCCTTTCTCCCCCGCGGGCGGCGCATCTTGGCAGCGTCATGATCGTTTTACGATTGGCGTCGAAAGTCGCGAGTACCCAGCGGGTATCCGCTCTGAGCTCAGCGGAAGCTCCTAATTTCCCATTTCCAAGCTGTCCGAGGGCTGGGCAAAGGTACCCTGTACCTAAGGTCCTAAGAGAGCCGGATCTGTCTCGCTTGGCCTCAGCCCTGCAGCCCTACCACCCTGCGCTGCACTGTCTCATCTCATCTCTTTTGCAATTTTTCGAGTCTGCCTAATCCCTAATCTTCGTGGATTTTCTTTGGGTGGTTGCGCTTTCTCCCTGGCATCCCCTTTCTGGAGTTTCTCAATTGCGCTCCTTCCGAGAATCGCCCTTCCGCTCTCCCCCCCGTCCGACAGCTCGTTCACGCCCATTTTCATCTCTTCTCACTCCCCCCTTTTCTCCCTAATCCGACGCCTTCCGTGAGATCGCGTCGATTACCTGCTCACAATGGCTGACTCTAGTCTTCCGGTCAATGGTATGTGGACCATGGAAACTCCCCGGCGAATGCGATCGTACCAGCGGACGGATAGTTGTACGCACATGGTGCTGACCAGATATTGCTCCAACAGGGGTTCTCGCCAATGGCGAGACCACCGCGCCGGTGCTGCGCAACGCCAGCGATCGCTTTGAACTTATCTCCGGCCCGTTAATCAACTTGAAGAACATGCATTATGAGCCTTCCCCCGTTTGGCAAGGCAGTGTATTGATCGTTACAAAGCCGGGCCAGGACCAGCCTCAGCTCCACTTGCGCCAACTAGGTCCCGTTGCCGTCGAGGGACAGCCTCCTCAATTTCAAACAAACCAGACAGTCGAGGGCTTGAAGCTCTACGAAGATCTCAACAAGGCATTCTGGCGCTTCTCTCTGGCCGTGCCCGTCGAGACCTACGAGGCGCGCTGGGAGTACAACATACCGGGTTTGTACAATGAGTCCTCCGAATCAGTCAACGCGCCTTGGAACTTTGTGGTTCCCGCGCTGGATCAGTCTATGCGCATCATGTTCCACTCCTGCAATGGCTTCTCTGTCGGTACGGACATGGATGCTTGGGTTGGCCCCAATCTATGGAATGATGTCCTGCGAGTCCACGGCGAGAAGCCTTTCCATGTAATGGTTGGTGGTGGCGACCAGATCTACAACGATGGGATTCGTGTGGATGGGCCTTTGAAGGCCTGGACGTCCATTGGCAACCCCCACAAGCGCCGTGCCCATGACTTCAACAATCAGATGCGCGCCGACTGTGATGATTATTACTACGCCAACTATGTGCGGTGGTATAACACTGAGCCGTTCCGCGCTGCGAACGGTCGTATTCCGCAGGTCAACATTTGGGATGATCACGATATCATTGACGGCTTCGGGTCCTACACGGATCACTTCATGAAGTGCGCCGTCTTCCGCGGTATTGGTGGTGTCGCGTTCAAGTACTACTGTCTATTCCAGCATCACATCGCCCCTCCCAAGTCGACCTTCACTACCGATGCCCCCGAGACCATGCACGCGGTGAACGGAACCTCTGGCGTGGACCCGCGCCAGGTCGAGAACACCTACGTCCTCGAGAATCAGCCCGAGGACGACAGCTGGATCATTGGCAAGCGACCTGGCCCGTACGTTGAGGAGCGCAGTCGTAGTCTGTACATGCGCTTTGGCAAGCGTATCGGCTTCGTGGGTCTAGATGCTCGCACCGAGCGCACCCGCCACCAGGTTAATTACCCCGAGACGTACGACTTGATCTTCCAGCGGCTCCAGCACGAGATTGAAGCCGCGAATGGCGAACTCAAGCACCTCGTCGTGTTGCTCGGTGTCCCCATCGCCTACCCTCGTCTCGCCTGGCTCGAGAACATCCTCAGCTCGCCCATCATTGCGCCCATCCGGCTGTTGAACAAGCGCTTCGGCTTGGCGGGCGGTCTTTTCAACGAATTCGACGGGCAGGTCGATCTGTTGGATGATTTGGACGACCACTACACGGCGCGACAGCACAAGCGCGAGCGAAGGATGCTCGTGCAGCGGCTGCAGGAATTGGCGCGCGCCAACTCCATCCGCGTTACCATTCTCGGCGGTGATGTGCATCTTGCGGCCGTCGGCCGCTTTTATTCGCACCCGAAGCTGAATCTTGCTGGCGAGAATGACCACCGCTTTATTGTCAACGTGGTCAGCTCTGCCATTACGAACAAGCCCCCGCCCAAGGCCGTTGCAAACCTCCTCGCGCGGCGCAACAAGATCCACCACCTCGATCGCGAATGCGACGAGACACTCATGCCCTTCTTTGACAAGCAACCTGGCGGTGTGGAGAAGAGCGCGACCTGGAATAAGGTGACTATGCCATCGCGTAACTTTGCCACGCTGACCGAGGTCGTGGCTCCCGTTTCGAACGGCGACGGTGTCCAGCCGGTGACTGCGAAGCTCGATCGTCTGCCAAAGGATGGCCACGCGCCTCTGCACAAGGGCGAGGTCGATGCAGGATCGACGCACACTGCAGCGGATGGATATAGCGCACACAGTGGCATGTACGGTGGTCTGGACGTGGCTATTCGAGTGGAGATTGACCCCCACGATCGGCAGGGGACGACGGAGGGTTATGGATTTAGCAGTAAGTGTTATGCTTCCCCGAAGGTATTCAAAGCCTATATAGATGATATCGTGGCTAACCCTTATTTCTTGTTTAGTTCCTCCACTGTTGGCTACCGAAGGCCCGCCCGTGTCGTCTCGTCTGAGCATGCGGTCGCGCGTTTCGCGCCAGAACTCGGTTCAAGACCAGCCCGGTCGACCCTCGACTGCGCGTTAATCGTAATACATAATCTCTATTTTTCCACGTTCTCAGTACCCCATTGATTCGACGGCTTTTTTTGATACCTCCTTACGTCATGATTCTCCGTGTTTTGGTTTCCCCACTTTCTCCACTATGTACTTGACTTCAACCTTTATGCACTGCAATGATACTCCCGTGAGTGTTCAGGTTTTAGTTGTGTCGTATGGGATTCCCGATTTTAGATATGCCACTGCGATCGCGTTTAAATCATCTGATGGTCGTTCCGAGTAGTTTGTGCGGAGAGTTACCCTGCATTAGGGGTACTTGAATAATCTATGGCCACTCTGATTGGGTGTGGCGTGTAGCATGACCAGTAGACTTCTCGGAGATACCTTATCAAGTAGACTTTCTGGGCCCAGCTTCCCCTCGCCTGGATGTGATTACTCGTTGTGGTTTAGAATCGCTGCTTATCATGCCCGTCTGATTTGACTGGGCTTCTCCACTTAAGCTGTCCACACGAGCTCGGATTTGCAGATGAGATACTTGACTAGGAGTTCTTGACTAGGTGTTCCTATCCCGTCCTTAGGTAGTAATAGTCAACGGAGGCCGTGACCTTCTTGAGAATGCACTATCTACATTCCCATTTCACGATAAGAAGTCATCTACTCCCCCGAAGTCAACCGACTCGTGGAAAAAGCTAGGATTGACCAGATTCGTCCACTAGCTGACGAGTGAATAAATTAACTTACAGTATTCGAACCCCAGCAGCTGATCCGATAAGGTCCTGCCTCAAGCCAACCAATCAATAATCTCCTGGAAATAAACCGCGTTAACTTCCAAGCCCCCCTCTCCTAGCATTTAACTTAACCCCTCCATCCCCAATCTAGCAGGTCTTAAGCCCAATCCCCTAGATCAGCCCCAGATCAAGCTTGAAGTTCTGGCCATCCCAAATTAAGCAACTTTCTTGCCCATTCCCAATCCGTACACGGGATCCTGCATTGCTGCGGAGTATCTCCAAAGCTAAAGCTTCGCTTTTGCTCTCTCTTTCCCGCATGGCGCGTGGCTTTTCGCGTCCACTTTCTTATCTCCTGCATACTGATGCGAAGGTCGCTTATTGTCAAAGAGGCCTTTCTGGCTTGGGCGACCGGTAAAGTTTAAGATTTCATATCAGGCGGAGGTCGTATATAAGGAGGGAGATGGTCGGGCTGGCGGGGGTGATGATCTTATTCTTGTTATTGTGTACGACATTCTTCCTGTATGCTGCATGCACGGTGCTTTGGAACTGCATTCGCGTTTCCAATTCCATTTCTTATATAACAACTATTGACCGCTAGTATCAGCTTCCGATTCCACCTTGACTACTTGACGTACTCGTCGCTATACAATTTCCTCGGTTGAGAGTTGGCCTCTGTTCATCTCGCTGTCCCCATCACAGCCTTTAGTCGCATCAGACATTCCTCCTTTCCCTGAGACTACCGTCACGATGGGACTCGACACGTCCACCGAAAAAGATATACAAACGAGCAGCGGTTCGCCCAGTCATGACCACGAGGCCGGCGAAATCGCCAGCATCGGCGAGCGCGATGAGCTACACCATCTTGGCTATGAGCAGGAGCTGCACCGTAATCGATCGGTGCTCACTCTTCTCTTCCAATCGCTCGCTATCGCAGCCATTCCCTACGGCGAGGGCAGTGCCCTGCTCAGCGCCATCTACGGCGGCGGTCCCCTCTCCATCTTCGTCGGATGGATAGTCGTCTGCGTACTTGATCAATGCATCGCAATGTCCCTCGCCGAGCTAGCCTCACGCTATCCCACCTCCGCAGGCCCCTATTACTGGTCCTTCCAGATCGCACGCAGCAGTAAAACAACCGTCTCCTTCATCAATGCCTGGATCTGGCTCATAGGCAACTGGACCATCACCCTATCTGTCAACTTTGGCTTCGCATCTCTTCTCTCCGCCACAATCTCCATGTACCATCCCGACTGGAGCGCAAACTCCTGGCAACTCCTCCTCATCTTCTACGCCGTATGCCTAGGCAGTCTAGTCATCTGTACTTTTGCAAACAAGTACCTCCCTCAGGTGGACATTGCCTGCGCCACCTGGACCGCCCTAACAATCATCGTCATCCTAATCGCCGTCTCCGTCAAAGCTGATGCAGGCCGTCACTCCGCCTCCTACGCTCTATCTCACTACGATACCTCCTTCGCCGGCTGGGGCAGCTTTACCTTCTTCATCGGCCTCCTCCCAGCAGCATACACCTTCTCCGCCATCGGCATGGTCTCCTCCATGGCCGAAGAAGTCGCCCAACCAGCGATTAAAGTGCCCCGCGCAATCGCCCTCGCTATCCCAGTCGGCTTCATCGCAGGCCTCCTCTTCATCATCCCACTCTGCGTCACCCTCCCCCCTCTCGAAGAAATCATCAACTCCCCCGGCGGCCAGGCACTCCCCTACATCCTGCACCGAGTCATGGGCTCCCCAGGCGGCGGCTTAGGCCTCATCTTCCTAGTCCTCATAATCACCCTCTTTTGCAGCATAAGTATCACCGTCGCCGCAAGCAGAGCAACCTGGGCCGCAGCCCGCGACGACGCAATCCCCCTCGCAAAGCTCTGGGCCCGCGTACACCCCGGCCTCGGTGTCCCAGTCTGGTCCCTCATTCTTCTTACCCTAATCCAGATGCTGCTGGGTTTGATCAATCTCGGGTCAACCAGTGCGTTTACCGCGTTCGTGTCTGTCGGTGTTATCGCGCTTGCTGCGGCGTATGCGGTCCCCATCGCGTTGAGTCTGTATCATGGTCGTGAGGAGGTTTCCAAGGCGCCGTGGAACTGTGGGAAGGTTGTGGGTGTGACTGTGAATGTGCTTGCGTTGGCGTGGATTGCGTTTGAGTTGGTTCTGTTTAGTATGCCGACTGCTTTGCCGGTGACGCCCGTTTCGATGAATTATGCTTCGGTCGTGTTCGTTGGCTTTATGGCTATTTCGGCGGTTTGGTATGCTGTTTATGCTAGGAAGCGTAAGTTATTTCTCCCCCCTCCTTATTTTGTGAAACTCTTACAAGGCGTGGATGCTAACGGGATAATAGATTACAAGGGTCCACCCGAGTCGGATGCGTTGTAGCGGAGGTGGAATTTCGGTATAGTTATCTTGCACATGTATGTTTTGGGCCATAGCGGCATATATAGTCAATACAATATTTCAAACCTGCTTCGTTGGTTCTCACTATATTGTCATCCTTTCTTTGACCATTCAGTACAGCTACACTATCGCCGGGTATACTTTTGGTTCCGTTGACTGGACGAGACAATAAGCTTGTGGGGCGAGTGGAGCACTTACTTCACGTCAGACGCTACAAAGTCTAGTAGGTGTCAGAGCCTCAGAGGGATATAATAAGGGTGATATTAACGGCACGACAGGAAAGTTCATAGCACGACAAGGCTATTATATTGAGGAAGTCCCCCTACCCTTACCCCTTCAATACAAAATGCTACATTCGAGATTTGTATAGTACCTATCCAGTCCTTATATAGACATCATCCTATATCATAGTTAACGCTTCTCGTCAGTATTGTCAACGACTATCTACGCCAGTATCATAGGAACGTCATTTATCTATCTTCTTTGAGATCTATATGTATTAAGGTGAAGTTAATAGCTATTAAAGACCTCAGAAAAGACCTCAGAAAGAACCTTAGAAAAACCCTTGGAAAGGGTAAATATAGGAAGGGACGTAGAATAATAAATCAGTCTATTATAAGATTTAACAGATAGAGGTTGCGTATACGTTCGCTGACGATATTGGCGAGAAGCGATTATATATAGAATTTTATACATAAAGACCTACTTAGTAGGTATATTATAAATCTCGAATGTAGCATTTTGTATTGAAAAGGGGTGCTCCTTCTTAGGATTAATCTTGTCGTATCGCTTATGCCACCCTATAATAATTGTGAGAAATGAGCACGATACCCCCATGGGCCGATGACACGCTCGCTCTCTAATGGCCTAAATTAGAGCAGATTCGTTTGAATTCCGTCTAAGTATATGAACCTGGTTTTAGGAACTGCCGAGAGAGCTCTAAATAGCAATTCTTATGTTTCTGTAATGCCTTCAATCCCGAGGTAAGTATCATGACGGGATAACTTCTGCCAGAACTTCAATGGCTTTTGAATTGCTTCATCCGGTCTGCTAAATAAATCCTGGCAAATGCATCTCCTCAGCGAGGCTTTGCCCCCAAAAGCACTTATAGGCTTTTATAGGCTTGGGTAGACGCCCCAGGAATCCCAGTAGACTTAGGCTAAGCCGGGACCCTTGGCCCAAAGCTGCCCCTTGCCGTAGTCTGGTCATTCTTCTCGTAGGGTGTGATACCTGACCGTGTGAGTATACCTACTACGATCGGATCATATGGGCGCGGTAGTACTGTACAATCTCCCACCCTTTTCAGTCGTTTAAGATTCTAGTTCAGGACAAGAAAATAAGCAAAGCGCTTCCGTATAATTAAAGTTCTCTAATTGCCTTGCCTGATTTTAGGATATTGCTGTGCTCCAGTCTAATATACTGGTTGATTGATTTTTATTGCGGCTAAGAGATTATACATCAAAGGTTTCTGGCTTCCTATGGACGGAACTTGGAGCCTGTCCAGTAATACCACAACGGATGTGGGCATCGGCATTACCCAAAGTTCGGGATGAGAGTTTGTCACAACCCACTTGAATGCTAGTTATGTCACCTAGGACTTGATATTATTTACATAATATATCGGAAATCCATTCGTATCACCGGGTACTCGAGAGCACGGCGATTGATCACCTATGCCGACACTGACTCTATAATCTGATCCCGTGGGCAGCCAAGTTTCTCAATTGCCTTAAACAAGGCCTCTGACTCGGCCCAGTCCTCCGGGCAATAGACACCAGGGCGTGCTTCAGCCCCCTTCTCAAGCGCCAATAGTGTGAAGGCCGCACAGCATGCTCCGATTGAAGTTGCCATGCCTCCCCCTAGGAAGGAGTCTTCCTGAACAGCAGGAGTTCGTCGAATGACCACGACAGGATGTCCATTGCGGGTTCCCACACCACGCACAAGAACGCCGCCGCGAGGCTGTGCCTGTTTGCCGCGTGCGGAGTTGATCAAAAAACTGATAACCTCACCACTTGTGCATCCACCATTGCGTACCTGCTCGATCATACCCCAGAGAGCAAAGTTCCACGGTTTCAATGATGAAATACTGTGGGAAGCGAGCTCGTATAGTTGGTTGAGTGTAATCTCGCCGCCCCGAAGTTGCCCCACGACTGCTTTTAGCAAATCGCTCCAGCTCGCTGATGATTGGCATTGCATACTTTCTAGGAAGTCGACAGCGGCATCCATAGTCAGGGCACCAGAGTTGACTGCAGCACCAAGTCCACGCGCAAAACCGTTGAATGGAGCAGGATTGAGAGCACCAAGAACCCGAATTCGATTCACGTTTGGGAATTGACGTGGCAAGGTAACAGGCTCGGGGTGAACGCTCTCGTAAAAGATGTCGTGGAACCCCGGAGAAACGGGGGCATAGGAGGTCTCGATCCAGTTCTCATGGACTGCCGCCTTACCATCCGCCCAGGTCAAGCAAGGCCCAGCAGTTATGTGCATCAGATGCTCCAAAACCTCTCTGCCTAATTTGCCGCCCTCATCGCTGACGAGCCAGCAAATATCCAGAGACTCGACGGTATCAAGCTCCTGATTGATTTCAGCTGCAAGAATGTTTGTCATACCCGGAGAGATACCACAGTTTATATAGCATGGAACTCCTTCCTTTTTGGCCCGCTCGTGCAGGTCAATTGACTTAAGCGTGCTTTGCACAGTGTCGGAATAGTCAAGGTAGGGCACCTTTGCATCGATGCAGGCAGTGAGCACAGGTAGTGAAAACCGATCATATGGCTGTGCACCTTGAACGACTAGGGCGGCGTCGCTGATAGTGCTGCGCAACTCATCCGGATTGGAAAGGTTCACTGTCCGGATTTCGACATTTTTGCCAGGTAGCTTGGCTGCAAGCGAACGCAGGGCCTCTTCGTTGGCGTCTGCCAGGACAATGTGACCGTCTGTGGCGTTTGCATATATCCTGATGGCTTCGCCGCATATGGCGTCTGCGGCCCCGACGAAGATAACTGGCTTGCAATCGTTGCCCATGTTCAAGTTGTGACGGATGGGTCTCAGTTAGAAAATATGCTTTGCGATTTGGGAAATGGCGGAATGATTGATGATGTTTCGATTCGATCGCGTGGCTACCACGAGACCAAAATTATGCTTTGTTTACTCAGTTGAAACAAAGAATACGTGGGTTTCGGCATAATGTGCTTGTGTTTATAGCTTTATAACCATCAGGAGCTTGTGGTTTCAGCGACCGATGTCATTGAATCACACTTGAAAGACTGCGATTCGATGAGCGGTTCCGAGGTAAATCCCAAGCGAACGAGCGGATTAATGACTTTCAAACGGAATACTCGGCCACCCCCGGAGAGGATCCGTGCCTTCTGCGTATGCCTAGGGATCCGAGCCCACCAATCCACTACCTACCCCTAGGCATCAAGCCTTTTGCTACAATGCCAAGAACGCTATTACCTAACAAAGAACACGACAGTAATTTGTTATGCTGCCTTTATACGGTCATTTCATAACCTATTATGACATGTATTACTTAAAAAGGGTATTTCAGTGGTCCCTTTCCAGGACTACACGTTTTCATAGAACCTTTTTGTTTGCCATAAATCTGAGTGTGGGGATTAGGAGCCGCGGAGTTGTGGAGCCGCGAATTCGCGGACCATGTTTATCAGTCTCACAGTTCAAGGAGAGCTTAAGCCTCTCGGTAGATATGGTAGCCGCGGATCCGCGAAGGGGCGCTTGGCATGACTGACGATCTTTCATGATCCGTCAATGCCTTATCGTGAAGACGCAGTTCAGAGCCGATAACTATGTGGTACTGCAGAACCCCTGGGCCCTGGCTTGTGTTCGTCCGGGCGAAATTATATAATAGAAGACACGGCGCTTTCCCAAATCCATCCCAATCACCGATACTCAATATTTGGTCAAAGAACTTCACAATCAACCCTTTTTTCTCATACCAAGTGCAAGATGGCAGCCGAACTTCCCCAAGAGTTACTGGCTAAATTGGCCGGTCAAGTCGTCCAAGACCCCGGAGTTCCGGTATTCAATCCTACAGTCTCAGCCTGGCAGGAACCTGCGCACCCTCTCGCGGTCGTCCAGTCAGAGCAATTGCCACAGCTTATTGATGTCGCCATCATTGGCTCTGGTATCACCGGCTGCAGCGCTGCCAAGACTGTTCTTGAAAATCATCTGGGCCGTGACAGGAGTGTTACCATCTTCGAAGCTCGTTCCCTGACTACGGGAGCAACAAGCCGCAATGGAGGCTTCTTGCTAAGCCATGCCCCACAGTTCCATGGGCGTTTCGCCGATGCCTTCGGACCCGAGGCCGCCAACGAGATCTCCCGATTCTGTGAGCGGACGCTGGATGAGATTAGACGGGTTGCCAAGGCTGAGAACCTGGACAGCATCAGTGAGATTAGAGAAGTCACAACGGTTGCCACGTTCGAAGATGAGGAAGGCTTCGCTGAAGCGTGCCGTTCTATTCGTATGTTTGAAGAAGCAGTCCCGGGGAAGAAGGAAAAATATACCATAATTGATGGAGCAACAGCTGAGAAGGTATAGAGACTATCTGAAGCATCTTTTCGATGCAGTCTTTTTTGATAGGCATGCTGACTCTTCTTAAGCAATTTAATTTCAAGAAGTCCAAGGGCGCTCTGACCGTTGAGTCGCACGTATTCTGGCCCTATAAGCTCGTCACAAACCTTCTCCAGCGCCTTCTGGAGCGTTACCCAGATCGTTTCTCAGTTGAAACTCAGACACCTGTGACTTCAATCACTGTCTCTGTGGATTCCAACGCCTCATACCCATATGTCCTAAATACCCCTCGCGGGACTGTTAGAGCGGCAAAGGTATTCCACTGCGCCAATGCCTTCACTGGGCACCTTCTGCCTAAACTTAGAGGCCCTCTCTTCCCTTGCCGACTGACCATGTCCACGCAAAAGCCGGGTCCACAGTGGGGTAACCGCGCTAATTCATGGCTCTTCCACACGAAACAAGACTATGATCCCGAGACTACCTTAGTTGAGCAAGGTCTATACTGGATGCAGCAAAACGCCGAGACCGGTGATCTCTTTGTTGGAGGAGATCGCCAGAGGCTGGATGACTTTTTGTCTTCTGACGACTCCGTCATCAGTGCCGATTCTGTGGGCAACCTTATGAGCTTGCTCCCAAAGAGAATTTTCGACAAAGGTTGGACCAATCCGGTGACGAATGAGACATTGTCTGCAGGCACTTCACTTCATCGTATTTGGTCTGGAATTATCGGCATGACCGCCGATCAACTCCCGATTGTCGGTAGCGTACCGGTGAGCTTCAGCGATAGAAACATTGAAGGGGGTGAATGGATCGCGGCCGGCTTCAATGGGTACGGCATGTGTCAGGCCTGGTTATCCGGCGAGGCTATTGCTCGCATGGCTTTGGGTGAGCCAAAGCCGGAGTGGCTTCCGGATGTGTATTTGAGCTCGGAGAAGCGCCTGACAGACAAGACAATGGGCCCTGGCGCGGCTCTGGAATCCTTCTTTAACAGGTAATTTGGAATGGCGTTGAAAGCTCAAAGCCAAAGTATGTTTCTGCATACGGCTGGGACATAGCTCCTTGATTATGTAGTCTCCATTCATCTTTACCTATGCACACCTCGTACCCTCTACATCTTTCTATTAATGTACCGCACTTGATTTAGTATTAACGACCAGCATATTCAGTTTGGAGAATACTTGACTTCAAATAGAAATAGAGATCCATTTGCTGCCGAGGAGCACCATTCGTCGGCCCTCGAGACAAACGCTGGAAATTACCCCAGCAATTGTATGTAGCCTTTGGCAGAAGACCCACCGTTAATTTGATCGGTGTGTCATTCTGGTGTTTTTGGCCCGTGCCATATTTGCGCTTTCATACCGAGTTTGGTAGGCGATGGACCGTGGTAAACTGACGACGCGAGGTGGCAGATTTGTTCATCAATCCCTACGCGTGCAGGATGCGACGACCCATTTTGATCGACACCTAGCAGCCGCGGAGCCGGGAAGCAGCGGGGCGGTCCCGAGATAGTAATATCTGCACGTGTGGGAGTTGGTACGAGGAATAGCCGGTAGTATTTAACCAAACTTTACATGAAGCTGACTAATAGTTGAGGAAGCCATAAGTTGCAATTTGCGTAGACCGGAATTCGATAAGTTACGGCGAGGCTTAGTGTCTCTGGCGGGGTTGGAAGGAGCTTCTTGTCTGAGGCACTCTCAGGGTTGACAGCCTCCTGTGAGCCGTGACTTGTCTTTTCTAGCACAGCTTGCACTCCCAGCGGCCCGGGCGGTTTGTGTTCTTGCTGGCTCACGCCGATATGATACGTTTCATCGCTGAATACTAAGAAAACCATTGTTCATGCTTATCGTGTAGATAGGCCTACGCCTGTGGCTGTACCTGCGAAGAACAGTTGACTTATTCTTACTCATTGGCAGCGAGAATTACTTAGTTAAAGGCCAAGTCTAGTAAGGTTTCAGGCAGCCTAGAAGAATCCTGCTTGACTCCGGGCAACGTAAGAAAGCTCACGCAAAGGTACTTTGACATATCCCTCGCACGCACAACTCATTCAAATAGATGTTAAAACTGGTCCCCTGTGTTTCGGCCCAAGTGGTAAAACATGTGTATTCACTTGACATTTTCCTGATAGAATTATGGGCTCACTTTATAAAGCTTCCTCGAGCCATTCGATAAGTTTCCTACCCTGCCCTGTTTCCCCATTGTCCCCAATATAGAGATTATATACAGGTGCGACGTGGGCTTCCCGGTTTCCTATGAAAAATTCTACTTGAGAGTAGCCGGCCTGTTCAGTTAGTCTCGAGACATGCCCGTCTTCTAAATCGTCATGGCAGTTGAATAGGAGCATACCTTGAAGTTTGCCACAAAATCCTTGATATCAGGAAGCATGATTTCGTTTTGTCCAGCTAGAATTAGAACTTTTTTCACTGGAAAATCTCGAAACCAGGTAAAGGGCGCAGTAGATGGATCAGTGTAATAATCCCTCTTTGAGTGCCCCAAATATGCACGAGACCATGGGCCAGCAACATGTGGGGTGAGAATATCGCCTCTGCAGACCAAATTCTCCCGGGGCTGATAGTCGAGTGAGGTCCAGGGGGCAATGAGAGCGAGTCCACCTAAAGGTTCGGTGATTTCAAGCTTTGCGATAGCCGGGTTCCCATGAGTCAGATGGCTGAGCACTCCCAATGCCAAATTCCCGCCAGCAGAGTCCCCACCAACTATGACTTGGCCAGGGGGTCTATGTGCTTCTGTCAAAATATACCGAAGTGCCTCAACAGCTTGAGAGAGCTGCAACGGGTATCGCGCGTGTGGTGCAAGTGTGTATGTCAAGACGAAAATCGCAAGGTCGTTGTTGTGGGATCCTGCGACTAGGCTCTCCCAGAATTTAAAGTAGCCCATGTTTGCAGGAAGACAGAAACCCCCTCCTACACAACATCAAGTCAGTAACATTGGCTAGTTCAGTGGATAATATATCTTACCGTGATACCATATTAATACATTTTTGGCATGTCTATCTCCAATCCAGTGTCCTTTGCCGCCGTAGTCAAGTTCCACACTCTGCGGCAATCTTCTCACCGACCGCGCATATTTTTCATAAAGCTCGTCGGTCGATGGAGATAAGGATCTATATAGCGGCTTAGGTATTGTATCCCATTTCCTCGTTCAATCTCAGCAAGACAGACTTACTGAAACTGCGATATAGAGAGGCGCCTAGTAGCTTTGCGAAGGATTGCATATGCGACGTGCAAGAAGAAAGTTGGGGCGCCTTTTTCTCCTCGAACGATGCCAGAGAATAGGGCGAAAATTCCCGCTGAAAGTATTGAGAAGACAGCAGGGATGATATCGAGCTTTTCAGCTGTAGACAGCCGGGGCTGCATTCCAATAGTATTCGGGTGTTTCGGTGTCATATTTATCATCCGGCGATTGAATGAACACGGGTAAGGCTCAAAACACTCAGCAGGTAATGCGTTCAAGATTTGATGCTGAACATTAATACTTCGATGCTCTATAACTCTACTGGCTACTTTCAATTCTATTTCAGTTGAACACCAACGTAGTAGTATCAAAACTGTTTCAGTATCCTGAATCTTTGGGGTTCTCGGCAGGCCTGCGGGTCCGCGGGCGGGTCCGAGGTTAACCTATTCCATCACTGTCTCTAAAACTCTTTCATTCATTTTGGCAGTATCTTCGTCAAGGACGGCCTACGTGTGTTCATGCCTAGTTCATTTTCTGGGGTATAGGGTTGCGTTCAGGTAAACCTTTCGGAGGGAGTGTGGCGCAACACCTCGCAAGAGGATAGAAGATTGTTTAGTTATGAATGAAGCATAGTGATAGAATTTGAAGTGAATAGGATACCGCATGCCTTAAAACGAAACAGAGTTGAGATTGATCGAGCCATGCGTTCTCGATCGAACCCTGCGAAGTCAAAACGTGTCCCAAATGTACATAAATGTAACGAGGCTGCCTAATTTTGGCTCTGAGCTTCAAGAAAAATGGGCCTGCTTTCAAGAGGATGCTCGCTCACGAAAATGTCCGCTTAGCCTTCATCGCCATCTTTGTTTGGCTTCGGAGGTTGTTCGAACACTAGTCAGCAAATCCCTTTTCAAGGAGGTGAAGAAAGAAAAACAAGAAATTCTGGGCGTTGTGGGAAAAGAAGGAGAGATAGCAAACGAAGCTCCGATACCATCTTCGTAAGAAAGAGCCAGAATCTCACAAAAATTTACGACCTTGCTATACGGTCAGGCCACAGAACCTGCAAACGGCTCCACCATAAACGAAATCAAGGCGCCACCGCATCCCACTGAAATGGACTTTAATAATTTGCTTTCTTCTGGGACGACCATAATCTCAAAAGAAGACTTGTATGCGGAATAGGCGGTTTTGAGAGCCGTGTGCATTGACCTATTGCCAGTTTGATTGTGTCTGCGGCTCCGTCCGCGGACCCGGGAAATGTGAGTAGTGAACTGCCGGTTTAAAGTTTTCTCTTGAAAAATAAAGTTTCTGCGTAGGAAGCTTAACTTTCTGGCTTGCTGATAACGACCCAACGCGGGGATGATCTGGGGTACAAAGTATAAATGCTAGCCTGGGGTCGACAACGAGCTACGTTTAGGCGCGAGCAAACCCCTACATTTACTTCTCAGCCGAATTCTACAACTTTTCAACTGCATAAAATGTCACACCATCCTGAAAAGCCGTGGGACCAGGAAGCCTCCGCCGATGCAAACGGGCCAACACCAGAAGACGCATCCACAGAACTCGCTTTTCCAGATGGCGGATATAAAGCCTGGCTTACCGTGGCGGGTGGGTTTCTGGCACAAATCTCCAGCATCGGGTTTTTGAGCGCGTTCTCTGTGTTCCAGAGCTACTATGGCGAGATCATGCCTTCCCAGACTGCCAGCAATATCTCGTGGATTGGTAGCCTCCAAATTTTTGGTTGCTTCTTCCTCGGGTTGTGGTCGGGGAGATTATCCGACAAGCGTGGACCCAAGTTGCCCCTCGCCTTGGGGACATTCTTCATGGTATTTGGGACGATGATGGCGTCGATTTCAAAATCCTACTACCAATTCGTTCTCTCGCAAGGGCTCTGCTCCGCCATTGGTTTTGGACTGGTATTTACTCCCGCGCTGGCAGTTCAATCTCAATGGTTCCAGAGAAAACGGGGTTTTGTTGTTGGCTTGGTTATGTCGGGCCAAAATATTGGAGGTCAGTCAAAATTCCCTGCTCATATTCCTTTGCATTTACGAGAGAAAGCCATTACTTACTCTATCGTCCATTCCAATAGGCGTCATCTGGCCAGTCATCGTTGATCAACTCATTAACAACAGACAATTGTCGCTTGGCTGGACGCTGCGGACGATTGGGTTCTTACAGTTATTCCTTATGGTGATGGCCACCCTTCTAGTCAGCCCACGCTTCCCTCGGATTCCCCGAGAACCGATTCCCGTGAAGCAATTCCTGGCTGATAAAAGAACCACCCTGTTTACCTTATCCACATTGATCTTTTTCTTCGCAGTCTACATTCCTTATGTGCGTATCGAATCAAGTCCTGCATAAATTTGCTCGCACCCGGCACTAACTGGTCTATTCATCAAGTTCTACATATCCCCCTATGCCTTACAAGGCGGTGCTTCTCTGAACATGGCATTTTACCTCTCGTCCATTTTGAACGCCGGCGCCTTCTTTGGTTGTTATGTTTTTGGCATTGGCGCCGATCGCGGCCTTGGTGCTTTCAATGCACTTACAGTGGTCGCCTTCGGCTGCGCTGTGACGGCCTTTGGCTGGATTGGCAGACAAAATAACGCAGGTCTCATCGTGTGGACTGTCATTTACGGATTCCTGTCTGGTGCCGTTCAAGCTCTATTTTCGCCGTGCATCTCCCACTTGGCGCCAGAGCCGGGATTGATCGGTACATGGAATGGTATGAGTTTCCTGGACATCCTTCAACTCAACCGCATTAACAAAATTCAACTAGGTATTTGTATCACTGTGGTCTCTTTTGCTGTTCTTGGGACCGGACCAATTGCCGGACGGTTGTATGACAACGCGCTAGGCACCTACCTCTCCATGCAACTGTTCACTGGGGTGTTCTTGACTGTTGCCAGCGTTTTGTATTTGGCTACCCGCCTCACAGTTTCCAAAGCAGTCGTTGTGTGATGAAGTCATGAAGTTGATCACATAAGTCCGACTATGATATCTCAGAGATTCAGAGCCCATAGCAGCGAGAGCAATATATGGACGCATCCAAGAGAGCATTTGTTCCTCCCTCTGTGCATTTGAACGAAAAGCCTTGTAAATTATCTATCGATTTTTGTGGTCCTTGTCTTGGCATAGAATCTGGAATTAAAACCTAGCGAAAGACGTTGACTATATCGTTGGGCCACAGTCGTTCGCCCGTCGTGGCTTAGCATCTCCATCCGATTTGGGAATACTTAGTGATAAGTTTTACAACTTGATGCTGGAAAACTGGAGCAGATAGAGTCGATAGATTGATCATACTCAGACATGAAATTGTCAGTATTGAGACGTGACAATACAATATCGAGAGTCCGAGGCATCTCCAATACGTTTTAGGTTGAAGTGTGGCTTAAACCCATAAAATCTGAACTGAAACTAAACTATTAAATATTGTTGCAGCGCATGACCAGCTGACATTTACCTGATGATCATTCTTGAGCCAAGCGAGTGAAGAAATCTCGAGAAGCAAAATGGACGTGGACAGATCAGAGATTGTATATACTGACAACAGCGACGACCGACAACAACTGAAGAAAAAGCCGCTACGACTACATAGATGGAAGGAAACGAAGAGTCTAGAATCTGTTCAAGCTATCTCATGGGAGCAGGAGGAGCAGAGAGAAGCGGAACTGAATAACCTCCGGAGGAGTGCTGCCTCAGGCCGTACAGCCAAACCTCTCACAACCACATATTGCAGCTCCAGACACAATCTCTTCAATTGATTTCCCTTCTCTCGCTGTGATTTACAGTTTCGCATTTACAGAGCCGTCATCGATCAAATGAGCAAGCTCATCATGCGGCACTCCGATGCGGCCCAGGGCCTTGTAGAAAGCCTGCGGCTCAGCCCAGTCCTCGGGAGCAAAAACGCCGCTGAGTTTCTGGCCCTCTTCCAATGCCAAAGTCATGAACGCGGCGCAAGCACCTCCCGTTACAGCCGCCATATTCGAGAAAAGAACAGACCCCTCGCCGAACTTGGCCGTACGCTTGGTCGAAACAGCCGGGAATCCATTCCGAGTACCTGTGGCTCGTACCGTGAGGCCTCCACAGTATGGAGCGACCTTTCCGCGCGCAAAATCAATGAGAAAGCTCAACACTTCTCCCGTTGAGCATTCACCAGTTCGAATTGTGTCAATCATTCCATAAAATGCATGTCGCCATGGTCCCGCGGCATGACCGGCGTGGGAGATGAGCTGCCAGAGCTCTTTGAGTGTGATATCGCCGCCACGTAGGTAGCCATTGGGCTCTCCTAAAGTTGCCTCCCAACCTTCTATAGGCGAAGGATTATTGATGAGGTTCAGTAGAAAACTAACGGCTTCATCCTGCGAGATATCCTGCTTCCGAACAGCAACGCCGAGGCCACGGGCTATGCCGTTAAATGGTGCGGGGTGCAGGCCACCAAGGCAACGAATTCGACTGGCTTGAGGGAAAAGACGTGGAAGGGTGACTGGCTCTGGATGGGCAGTCTCATGCAAAAACGTTTCCCCTTGATCACCATACATCGGAGCATATCCTGTCTCAACCCAAGATTCGTTGAGTTTTGCTTTTCCGTCAGCCCATGTCAGGCAAGGGCCGGCGGCAATGTGTATAAGATGCTCTAGGACTGCCTTTCCAATCCCTGGTCGCTCATCACCGACCAGCCAACAGACATCAATTGAATCGATGGTATCGAGATCCTTGGTTGCATCGACGGCCAAGACATTCGTTAATCCAGGAGAGGCTCCGCAGCCAATAAAGCACGGAACGCCCTCCTTCTTTGCTCTTTCGTGCAAGGCAAGTGCTGCGGTCGTGCTTTCGACATCATCGTCAAAGTCGAGATAAGGAACTTTGTTTTCAAGACAGGCCTTGAGCACAGGCTGGCTTGTTTTTGTATATGGGCCGGCTCCGAGGACGACAAGGGCAGCGCCTTTAGTGGCGGTGAGCAGAGCAACACGATCGTTGAGATCCAGTTTCAAGGCAGTAGCCCGTCCAGCTGGGAGTCTAGCAACAAGAGGCTGGAGGGCGTCTGTATTGATGTCGGCCAGGACGAGCGAAATATCTGAAGCATTGGCAAACCGCTCGACGGCCAGGCGACACATTTCACCGGCAGCACCGATGAAGACGACCCGCTTGGGGCTTTGTAAGAAGCTAGCCATAATGAAGAGAACTTGCGATGGAGAAAATGCCAAGGTAAATTTTCAGAAGGAAAATCGCTGAGCGATGGCCCATCGGACGAGGCATCCGTCTGTACATTGCTTTATATCAGACCTCGCGTTTGACGCTTCAAAAATCTTAGGACACCCACTCTCAGCCGCTAGCACAACCTGTGGAGTCTCGCCTCCCATGTCAGAGGGATTGTTCGAACCCGCGGGTATGCCCTTCCCGTGCGGCTCGGGACCCCGGATCCTGGCTTTCGCACGACAACGATTCCGCGGATCCGCGACCGAGTAAGGTTTTGCTTGGGATACGGAGAGGGAAATCGCGCTTTGAATGAATGGTGTCCATTTCATGGCTTAGTCCGAGCTTTTCGTATCTTGAATTCCTTCCGCAGCCATGTGACCAGTTCGCCCTCTTGCTTAAATTTGGCTCCCTTCACAGCACTGTTTATATCTGCAACGATCTCAATGTTCTTTCCCGGTTAGTTGCTTTGTATAAGACATAGTTTCCGTCGACTGAAAGGGTCATTCGCTCTGGCATTTGGAAAGGGACTCATCATTGGAGAAAATATTCAAACTCTTGTGACGATGGATAGGAAGCAGGAGGGCCTGGATTACGATGTAATCATCATCGGTGCTGGAATCTCTGGCATCAACTTTGCGTACCGGCTGCAAGAGCGCAATCCGGAATTGAGCTATTGTATTGTGGAGGAACGCCATGAGATAGGAGGAACATGGAGCCTATTCCAATATCCCGGTAAGCCTTGTCTGTGCAGATATGATTGAAAGCTCAGCGCTGATCCAGAAGAGCTTAGGCATTCGATCAGACTCAGATCTGTTCACCTTTGGGTTTGCATGGCGCCCCTGGGCCGGGAAACACTCGATCGCGCATGGTTCATTGATCGCCAAGTACGTGCGAGATTGTGCAGAAGAAGAAGGAATTGACAAAAAGATCAAGTTTAGACACCGAGTCAACCAACTGTCCTGGTCCACTGAGTCAAGAGCCTGGACCCTGGACCTCGCGGTGAATGAGACATTGCCCAGCACCCTCCGAAGCCGCTTTGTGCTGCTTGGAACGGGCTACTACGACTATCATGAGCCACTCCAGGCCGATATTCCTGGTATTCAGAATTTCGCCGGTACCCTGGTCCACCCGCAGTTTTGGCCCAAGGACCTCGACCTGAAGGACAAAAAGGTCGTCATCATCGGGTCGGGGGCGACAGCCATCACATTGCTTCCGTCAATTGCAAAGACTGCAGTACATGTAACAATGCTGCAACGTTCCCCAAGCTATATTTTGTCGATCCCAAACGAAGACCTAGCGGAGAAAGTTATTCGGCTATTGTTCCCCAAAACGCTCGCTCGGAAACTTATCCGGTTCAAGTGGGTGGTCGTGCCATTGGTTATGGTGACATTCTGCCGACGGTTTCCTCGTCTGGCCAGGAAGCTGTTGTTGCTCTTAACCGCTAAAGAGTTACCCAAAGGTATGCCTCTGGATCCAAACTTTACACCCCGGTATAACCCGTGGGAACAAAGGTTATGCATGTGTCCAGAGGCGGATTTCTATGAATGTCTTCGGAGCGGAAAAGGGAGTGTCAAGACGGACGTGATTCAAACTGTCAATGAGACCTGCATTCAGTTGCAATCGGGCGACGAGCTGCAGCCCGACATCATTGTGACGGCTACTGGCCTGAAATTGCGAATCGCCGGCGGCATTGAAATCTTCGTCGATGGCGAACAATATCACATTGGCGATCATTTTCTTTGGAAGTATGCCATGATGGATGAACTTCCGAATGCCATTTTTGCATTCGGTTACGTTGACGCAAGCTGGACTCTTGGAGCCGATTCCACGGCCAAAATGGCATGCCGAATGCTCCAGAAGATGAAAAAGGACGGCACTACCATGGTAGTGCCCCGAATGGGAGACGAGGAGAGACTACACATCAAGAAAGTTCCATTCCTTGACTTGAAGTCTACATATGTCCAACAGGCACAGAATATGCTGCCAGGGGTCGGCGACCGTTCGGTGTGGCAGCGAAGATCATACTATTGGAGGGATCTGGCAGTCGCCGTGTACGGAAATCTCAAGAAGGGGACAGTGTGGACGAAATGAGAGTAGACCTTCTACATAATGACATTCCACATACTTACGCTCTTTTTTTACTGGGAAGATGCGGAACAGAGCCCGAGTTTGATTCTGTGGCAGAGCTTTCTGTTCCTTGTCAAGTTTGATCTCACATGTATATAGACTATTTGTTTTCTTTTCTTTTCTTCTTTCGTGAGGGTCCTGACTGTACTGTACGAATCCCACACAAGCCCCTTTTGTGAACCGAGAACAATAGCTCTCAGTGCGCTCCTCTCTTATTTAGTGTGACTTAAGATGGACCGATAGTCAAATGGAAAGGTAGGCAATTAGACAGTATAGGTGGATGTATTGTTTAATGATGATGTTTCCAGGAAAGGTCTGGAGGTTTTTCGACCGTCAACAATTCAAAGAGTGTCCAGTGGTCAAGAATACAATCAAAAGTAACGACTTCAAGAATGACAAGAAATATGTTACCACTATCATGGTTGTGGTTCAGCATTGCATCCTACATACGAGGGCGTGAGGTCAGTAGAGACCCGCCAGAAGTAGCAAGCACAGGAGAAACGTCTCGAGCAGCAGCAGCAGCCGACTCCATCGCGCCCTCAATTGCTCCAACATCGAGACCTGCAATGTCACTACCAGCAAAGCGGATGCGGCCATGTCCTTGACGAATCTGTGCTGCCCCATTAGTCAAATGCCCTGGCCGATGCATCATCCAGCCACCTTTCGAAAATTCGTCGTTGGCCCAGCTATGGCTGACTGTATCAACCACTTCAATGTCCGGATCAAATCGTCGCAGAGCAGCCTGGACAGCCTGCAAATCATCCGCGCGGATTGCAGCAGCATCAGAGCAAATACACATGATAAGAGTGTCGCCATCGTAGTAGCGCTCTGTTCAGGCCGCATTAATGGGGTGTTTTCCAACAGGCGCGAACGCAGCGAAACCCTCGATCTCCCCTCGCACCCGGGCCCAAATCTTGCTTGCCATGACTGGGTTCTTTTGCTCGATCATCTGGGCCACAGGGCGGGGCAGATTGGGCGTGATTTTGATGTCAATGAGGGTGTTGACCGGTACCGCAACGATTACGGAGCGCGCCAGGACCTTTTGGCCGGCTCGCGTCGTGATGGATACCTTTGAGCCGTGGTCCTGGATCGCAGCCACGGGGGTCGAGAGACGTAGCTCAGCAGTCGATTCGCCATTAATAGCGTCGATCAGGCGTTTGGTGCCACCTTCAATAGCCCAGAAGCTGGCCGTCTCGAAGAACGCCTTGTAGTCACCAAAGTACGTTGCGACACAGTGAAGTAGCTGCGCGATGCCGTGGTCCTTGTGCTTGTGGACCACACCCGCCAGAGCTCCATCCAGGACGTCCTGATGATAGGCAGATAAACCCAAGGATTGGATCCGGTCCTCAATGCCTTCGCGTTCAATGTCGCTATTATATACCGCATTGATCATGAAAGGCAACGGAAAGCGTTCGCGGGCGTCGGCAAAAAATTGTGTCATGACAGGACCGAGTGCCTCGTAATATTCCTCCTCTGTCCCGGAGTGCACGCTTCCGTCTGCCAGCCAATAAGCCTTGGTGGCCCTCAGAGGGGGAAGCAGCGAGATGCCATGCTTTAGTAATTCATGCCAAACATGCGGTTGTGTCCAGTGCACATATGCCCCGCCGAGCTCGATCTCATCCCCAAGGCCCTTTTCCAGGTATGTTCGGCCGCCAATCCTGTCCCGGGCTTCCAAGACAACCACTGAGAGGCCCTTCTTGCTGAGGTCTCGGGCAGCGGTGATTCCTGCCATTCCGGCTCCAATGACGGCGACGTCGAACTTCTCCATCATGTCTTCACCGTGGTTTTCTATGGAGGGCGATGCAGTGGAATTGACAGTCAGTGGGCAATTGCAATTCCGGTCGATTTATCGTGTTATCAGGTCGAACTCGCCATGACAGGTTCGTCGCGAGAGAAAGAAGACAGCAGATGAGTGGTCTTCACGTTCCATCGGCAGAGAACGTGTCCTTTTTGTGGCATCTGCGGCTTGATTCGTCTGCCAAGGTAACTCGCGGACGTGTATTACGGCTCTTCGTGAGTACGATCAGTAACGCTGGACGAGGCTCCGCGGTAGGCAACATGGACAGGCATGAAGGGAAAATATAATTCGGTACCAGCTCCTCAGATCCGTACTAAGGAACTTAACGAGGAGCTTTTGGCTGCACAGGGAAACCTTGGTCTAGCTATCTTGGACTTTCTTCTGGTCTCCATCCGATTACTATCGCCATGGGCCGTCGCCATCGCAACCCGCTTTTCAACCCTCTACAGGACCAGAGTATGAGCCTCTCCTGAGCTCATTTGCGCAAGTCTTCAAAGGTATGAATAATAAAACCAGGGGTCATTGCTCGACAATCTTTATTCCGTACAAAAACCACCACAGTTGCTGAGTAATCCAAAAATAAAGTAACTAACTAGTTAACTAACGTATTTCACCAGCGAGCGGGCCACACCGCCGAGCGGGCCACCCCATCGAAAATCGCGTCTTCCTACCAACACACCAACTTCAATAGCCTACCATGCCACCAATTCGCTCTGCAAACGCGCAGAAACTAGCCAATCAAGAGGGCAAGATCCTATTAGCCCTTTCTGATTTAGAAAATGGCCGTATCAATTCTCTTCGCGCGGCGGCAAAGCTATACGCTATACCTCGCTCTACTCTGCAAGCGCGCGCTGATGGCCGGCTGTCACGCGTTGATATACACCCAAATGGGCGTAAGCTTACTGAATTAGAAGAGGATTCGCTTGTTCAATGGATTATCTCTATGGATGAGCGTGGAGCAGCGCCTAGGAAGGCTACTGTACGCGAAATGGCTAATATCCTACTAAGCGCGCGCGGTAGCCACAGGAGCCACCCTCCGCCTACCGTTGGTGTTAATTGGTCATCAAAATTCATCGACCGTCGCCCTGAGCTTCGCATGCGATCATCAATACGGCATGACTACCAACGCGCACTAAATGAAGACCCTAAACTGCTACGAGAGTGGTTTTCTACCGTACAACGCACTATCGATGAGAACGGTATATAACCGGAGGATATCTACAACTTTGATGAGACAGGATTTGCAATGGGCCTTATATCTACGCAGAAGGTTGTTACGCGGGCAGAAATGTATGGCAACGGCCGTCGCCTTCTTCAACCAGGAAATCGCGAATGGGTTACTGCGATTGAGGCAATTGGCGCTGATGGCTATTCGCTTCCGCCATGCGTGATTTTCAAAGCTAAGGTTGCCATCGCTAGTTGGTTTGATAAACTACCAAAAGACTGGCGAATCGAGGTCTCTACCAATGGCTGGACTAGTGATGAGATTAGCCTACGTTGGCTACAAAAGCTCTTTATCCTATCGACGAATTCGCGCGTACGCGGTCGGTTTCGGCTATTGATTCTTGATGGCCATGGTAGCCACCTTACGCCCCAATTCGACCGAATCTGCGTAATAAACGATATTATACCTCTTTGTATGCCTTCGTATGCATCGCATCTACTCCAGCCACTAGATGTTGGCTGTTTTGCAGTGGTTAAACGCGCATACGGCCGCTTTATAACCGATCTTGCCCGCCGAGGATATAACCATATCGATAAGCTCGATTTCTTAGATGACTACCAACGCGCGCGGCTAGAGGCCTTCCAAAAGCCATTAACTATTCAAAACAGCTTCGCAGCTAGTGGTTTAGTGCCAATCGATGCAGAAAGGGTCCTTTCAGGGCTAAATATCTCTCTACGAACGCCTACACCACCAAGCAGCCGGCCAAGCAGTAGATCTAGCCAATTCACACCAAAAACGCCTAAAACCATCGCCCAGCTATATAAGCAATCTTCAATGCTTAAAGATCTAATTGACCGGCGGTCCCAAACGCCTACCCCCCTACTAACTCAGCTAGTAAAGGGGTGCGCGACGGTCATGCATAGCGCTGCTCTGCTTAGCCAGGAGAACGCCAATCTACGCGCAGCCAACGAGAAGAAGCGCCAGAAACGCCAGCGGTCAACTAGGCAGATACCCTGCGAAGAAGGTCTAACCGTTGAAGAGGGCCAAAGACTAGCTGAACAGCTAAATCAGCCAGTGGAAGCTGATGGGGTAGGATCGCATGGGCAGGGCGAATTGCCTAATCAGGCAATTAAACCACCTACCAGGGCCCCGCCTAGGTGTAGTGGGTGTAGAGAGATTGGCCACAGGATTAATGTATGTAAAAACCGCTATATTTAGTTGAATTAATGGGCGTTGGTTGAATTAATCGATTTTGAAAATTTCTAATGAGGGTGGGTGGCCCGCTCGGCGGTGTGGCCCGCTCGCTGGTGAAATACGTTAGTTAACGAGTCAACTTAGTTAACTAAATAGCTAAAATGTATCTTCATAGATGATGTAAATCCGGTAGCGTCACCAGCGCTCCCTGAAGCCCACGAAGCACCTGCAGACAGGAATCCTGTCCCGCTGTCATCTCACAAGCTCCCTCCATATCCAATCTAGCGACCATATTTTGAACCTCATCCGCAAAAGCTCTGGCCGCGGAGGCATGGGCTTGGGCTACCATTTTGGGGTACTTGGAACATGTATGTCAGCATATAGACCGTAATAATATAATACGGTAATACTCACCGGGTGTGCGGCAATATCCTGAATGTGGGCTTTCAAGCCATACTTTCCTTGAAAGCCAGGACTTGCAATTCCTTGCGATACCTTGGCAAAGGTAGCCAGCTGCTGCGCAGCAAGAAGCCGGATTTTTCCGCGGTACGACCTCGATGATCGCAGCGTTCTAGCGAGAGATTCTGTTTGCGGGGTCGATGGCTGTCCTTCCAGGTATGTTTCGAGTCTCTGTGCAGTTGCACAGAATGCCAAAATGGCTAGATCACCGTCATTCAAACAAAATCCAGCCAGCCGTCGTATATCAGAGGTCAAGCGTTCAAGGCAAAATACCGTCTTGTCGTCAAGTGTGCCAAACGACAATCTCCACAGTTCCACCAGCCTAAGAGCAATGGTATACTGTCGGCGAACCACTTCATAGTTTGGATTACCGTTCATGATATTTTCGATATCCAGGGTAAAGGAAGCCAGACATATCCACAAGAGGATCTCCACTGCACCCGACTGTCTGGCCGCCTGAAGCACAAGATCCTCCGAGCTATTCTTGCACAACAGTGGTATCAACGCACATTCACCTTCCTTTGCTCGTGAGGCAATCGAGTTTTCGATCTCATAGTTATGCAACAGGACTACTGACGAGAGATCAAAGCTTGAAGACCGATTCGACTCTTTCGCGAGTTCGGGGCTCTCGACAGCGGTATCACACATTTCCAGAGGCGGCAGGGGACAGGTCTTCCCGCCAGATAACACAACGGTCACAGAGTGGGTCATGATACTCAACCACTCAATAGCAGCAATGAGCTCCAGAATATTTTCTCGGACATCTTTGGGAAGCATCTGTACTAAGTAGGGTTTTGCTTTGGAGCAGCGAGAGGTTCCCTCTTTTTCATACGCGAGAACGCAAGCTCGTGCCTGAGAACACAGCATTTTAACGCGTCGGACACCTTCACAAAGAGCAAAGGTTGCATCTTCTTCGAATGTAGAGGATTCGTCGCCCGGGTTTGGGGCTGGGATAAGGCCGAAAAGAAGTAGAGATACTGCGAGTCGAAACGAGCGGACGGATGAAATGTTCCTGAACAAGAGCTCCTTAGCCTGACGCCAAGTATTTGTCGCGATATCTCGAGAATGCAAATGTGGGTCCCACTGCTCTGGCTGACTCGGGTCCTGGGTTTGATGGTTGGAAACTGCGAACTGTGCCCCAGTTGCGATTGTGACTAATTTGTAGGTCTCTGTAATTGACGCATTACGCGATGTGGATCCACGACCTGGTTGGATGCCATTGTACTGGAAGAGGGAGTCCAGCAAACTGACTGCGTGGAATAAATGTGGTGCTACCACCGTTGACGCCCATGAACTCGTTTGCTTTTCCCAACAGCTCCCAACCCACGTATTGGCATGGTCGAAATAGACGGACATGTGGCCGCTGTCGCTGAGGGGCCCTAATGCCGCGATTCCCAGATTATAGCGAGGGTGCATGCTTCCTTGCAACAGGCATTGGGAGAGTGGCATATCGATAACATCGACATACAAGCTAAATCTCTGTGAAAGCATATCACGCCCAACCAGCTGACGGGCGAGGTCATCTTCTCTAGATAATACGAATGCTCTACGGTCAACCGGGGGCGTATCTGCCTGTCCTTCTGAGCAAGCCACGATACAAGGCCCTACCACAGTATCCGTACTTTGAGCATAAGACGTAGTCCTGGGCCTCTTTCGGGTCTGTTGTTGGAACTTCCTGTTGACCAGCCATGCCACTGTGCATTCTAACCCGCGCACATCGCATGTTGTGCAAGGAGTTGTTGGCTTCTGCCCGTTGATAGATACGTTTTGCTGCAGGCTGCAAGCTCTTTTTGCAGTCCGACACTGGTCGCAGGAATGATTTTGCTTGCGAGGGTTTCGCTTTGTCGTCAGGTCATTACTGAGAAGGACACCAAGATCGGCGTTTTGGGAAGAGTGGACAGGGCGAGGACTCGATTGTCCAATACTCCTGCTGGGTGAGTCGTCAGAGGATTGTTCTGCGGCGGTAACGCAGAACAGACCACTGAGCTCGGCGTCGGTACCCTCGGCTAAGGGAGAGGCATAATGATGCAGGAGCTGGGCTGAGACGTCGTCCCATTCAGGCGCTCCATGGTATCCTTGATTTTGCACAGATTGGTTTGTGAGGAGTGTAATATAGGTAGATAATGGATCGTGTTCGGTGGCTTCCGAGTTAGGCATCTCGTTGAAGTCAAGTTGACTCAGCATTTGGGACTCAGGGTGGACGAAAGTAGATGATGGAGCGGACATTATGTTGGGGCTACAATCGTGGATAATACACTGCATGACCAAGCAAGCATTGCACGGTGTTTTTGCATGTTGTGCATACGGAAAGAGGAAAGGAGCAAAGGCATGAGATCTACGTCCGGGGGTAAGGAGATGATTGCGGTTGGGGGCGGAACCGGCAGAATCTTGATCATGCGGTGGCAACAACCTTAATTGTTCTATTCTATTCAACGCTATGGAAGAATATGCCTGGTTAGCCTTATCTATCGATATAGAGTACTAGAGAGAGGTGGATTGCTATGTCTGTGAATGCTCTAAAAAGCCCTAGCTATCCCTAGATATGGACATCTCGAGCGATCATGCACAATGACTCACCTACGGCGAGGGCCCTGATGATGAGCGGTCCAGAATTTTGGTCTTCCATGAATGTGGTTTCCCGGTGTATGTTTCACGACTTTCATTCTCGAGTGAATCTTAGTTTAGCTCGTCTCTCGAGTCAAACGATATACACCATGTCAAGTCAACTGTTCTTAGTCTGGGGCTCTCTGGTGCCACGCGTGCGGGGATAATTTCTAGGGGCCCCACTTTCCGCGGCTCCGCGGCTCCGAGGACGAGGACGAGGACGGTAGTTAGTGGCGTGGGGAAAGTGAAAGACGGATTCGCCGCCCAGCCAAGTCAGGTTGCCACTGGTACGACGGAATATAGGGAGGAGAAGGCCATAACCCTTAGTCCGCAATTTAAGAACCGGCAGAATTCCATTTTCAGGCATCGGCATCCCTTCCCTTAGATAATCTACGTATATCCTATATACCCTTTGTTAAGTACGATTTCCTATACCGAAACAATTGAAATCGATTCGGATAAATTACTAATGAGATTACAGGAACGAAAATGTAGATATAATCCGAAATCTGATATTAAATCCTATTACGGCTACACTTCTTTACCTAGCCCTATTAAGTATTACGATTGTAACTAAGATAGAGGGGTAATTTCTAAAATAGTGTCCCAGATAGTTTCCCAGATAGTTTCCCAGACAGTTTCCCAGACAGGTTTCTAGATAGTCTCCAAAACAGTTTTTAAAATAATTATCAAAATAGTTATCAAAATACTTTTCAAAATACTTTTCAAAATACTTTTCAAAATACTTTTCAAAATACTTTTCAAAATACTTTTCAAAATAGCTTCCTAGATACTTTCCTAGATATTTACCTAGATAGTTTCTCAGTTAATCTCTACGTCAATCTCCTCGTGATGTAGTAAGTATAAAATGTACTTAGGGCGAAAGAAAGCGTTGAAACGTCTTTATAGAAATTGAGGGTTATGGCCTTCTCCCCCCTATAGTCCGCCGTACACTGGCCACCCAGCCCACCTACACTAAAAATTTAAGTATAGTGCGGATCCGAACAAGGATTATTTATCGCGGCGAGATAAGAGGAAAGTCTTGGCAGAATATGTGAAAGGGACAAGCCTCGGCCTGGCGAATAGAATGTCTTAAACGCAAAATATAAACATACAACCAGGGAGTCAAGGACGTAAAGCCTATAGGCCTCAAGTTCTGGATTCTAGAAGTTTAAACCAACAATTATGTTGCTAAAACACCTGTATCGACAGCCGGACCTGGAATTTAGTCTTTGCAGAACATAGCATGTTGCCACCGTCTGCTCCAAAAATCAATTATTTGGCAGCAAATCATCACTATGCATTCGCTGTCGACTGCGATGGTCATCGTGGGTATACTTCGGATCCCGTTAGCGTGGTCTTGTTCTGACTGTCTCTAGGCTAGATCTTACTCGGGCTTTGTCTCTTATTAATTCTCGCTCGTCTCTACCTCCAAGTGCACCTTCAGCACAGAAAGCTGATCGCTAGCGACTATTTCACTTGCCTCGCTTTCATAAGCGGTATTTGCGCAGCAACACTAGGCGTCAAGTTGTTGAGGCTAAGGTGGTTGAATCCATCGGCTACTTGGTCAAAATTCAAGGCAGATGCAAATAGCAAGCAATCGACGCAAAAGGTGACAAGGCAAATCCCGGATCTAGATCATCGTACTGAAGTTTTAACAGTTCGTGTTCATTGGATGGTCTCCGCTTCTCACGGCAATGTACCTGAACAAAGCCGCTCTGCTCTCATTTCTTTTCTACGTATTCTCGTCAGCTTTGCGTTCGATTTTCTGTTTTTGTTCGTTTCTCGGCATAAATGAAAGCTGTTTGATGTGGTCGCCGCAGATTTGGCGTAGAGGTATAGAGCTGACTCCGGCGCAGCCGGCGAGCTTTATAGGGTTTGTCTGATTCGATTCGGCTACCAGGCGCGATATATTTCCTTGTCTTAGTTAGCGCCCTAACTTCCCTCGGGGCACAACCCCCCTGTTGGCGCCCGTGGCAAGGCTAGGAGACAAATATCGGCGACCTGGCGTTTTAAGGGTTTTCTGAGGCAAGGGAATACATTGATTCACCGCGCTACGTCTGACAATAAGTACGCAGTAACTCTCCGTACGTATTTTACTAAGGCGACATTGAAGCCAGCCTCGCCGTTCCTTTGGCCAATCCTGGACTAGGATTCAATAGATCTGCAAGTGCCAGGAGAGTATAACTCCAGCCTGATCAAGGTGATTCCCATCTGCTCTTACCTGGCTTCTCAGCCTGTCTATTGCGCATTCACACTTCAATCCCAGTCACACGGCGCTAGCGTGGTGTGGTTGAATACCTTCCATCGTTGATTATAGAGTTCATTGTAAGTTACATTTAAGCACATACGACCATAGGGTGTGGAGAACAGGGCTTCCGTCCGCTCAGCCGTACTTAAGCCCATTATAGTACGCAGTCAATTTTCAATGCGCCCTGAGCTCTAAAATGGTGCCGGATTTGATCTAAGGGTGAGTGAGGGGAATATAGGTGAGAACTTTGCAAACTGGGGTGACAGAGGGTAAGAGTGGATGAGGCTATGAGGAGGGGCCGTCTGATCTAAGACGTGGTGGTGGCGGTATCATCCCCCTAGACTTAAGCCATCCTCACTCCTCACTTAGCCAATAACTCAGACTGGAGAACCTATCCTGTTCTCTCCTCTCCTCAGCATCTTAAGAAGCACTCAAATAAGCTTAATTTACTGTTAGGATTGTTGCCATGCCCGGACTACGGCAGCGTCGGCTTTGCAAAACCGGTTCAATAATAGAGGCTGGGTTCTGGCCAGGTGGCATCCCATCATCCATTCAGCCACCCGTCGAGACGAGTCCATTTAAGGTGTGGGACTTTCCCCCCATTGTCAAGGGCTGGCACCGATTTGTTCGAGAGAACTGGGTGATTTCAAGCAGCGGCGACAATGATGAGTCCAGGGCTCGCCAGCGTCGAAATTTGATCACAACTTGAACTTCTGCCGCACTGGAATTTCGGGATGTTAGTGTGTGGATCCTCGAGTAGAGTCAAAGCAAGACTAATTGAAACCAGTCATATACAGATAAAGCCCCAGGCTCAGAACCAAGGTTCACCCCTGAGGTATGGAAGACGGAGAATATTCGCTCATATCTCTTCCATCATGATTCGAGTTTGCCTAACACCCTCTAGGAAATCTCCACTTTTGGGTGCTACAATGGTGTATGCGTATGCTATCTTATTACCGATGCCCCAAAACCGTCAGTACACTGGGCACTATGGTTGAAAATTATTGTTGATGCTATATGACTCCAACAATGATGCACACATCGCAGATGAAATATTCTTCATGTCGCCCAGAGATAGTGACACTGTCACTCTTGATAGCTTCAAGTGGTACCAGGCTACTGAAACTACCGATTTCAATATCGTGAAGTTCAACCGCGATGGTCAAATTCTGTTTGATCCTTATCACCAACATTCCATGCTTGTGGATGATTGTGCCTTAAGCACAGGACAGGTACTTATTGCGAGTTTTGGCCTTGATGGGTTTCCCACTGATGAGTATCGCGTTCGGTGTCTGGATCTCTTTGATCCGTACATGCGGATTTAAGGTCTGGGGAAAAGTGTCGAGGACCAGATCGAACATTTCAAGTCTAAACTGGGTCCCTATGATCCAGAACACCCTGTTCTAAAGAAGAAGCGTGAGCTCGCACCAGTGCACTATGAAAAGAAAGAGCATTTACTAATTTGAAATCGGTCAATAGAATTGATATGAAACAGCCACGTTTGGACATTCTTTGTATCTACAGGGATTTGACGGATACGCCCATTGACGATGACCGGGAGACGATAGAAGAAAGGCTAAATGAGCTCGCTCCAGGGTACTTGGAAGCAGAAAGAGAAGGGGATGGGCTGGCAAAAGACCTTGATCTATTTGACTCGGGCTTTGAAACTTGATATCCATGACTATAGCATGTACAAAGAGTTCGCCTAGTGACTATGTCGGTCTCGTCGCAAATGACGAATACGATGATTGTCTGAATGAGGCATTTCCACCGTCACTGTAGTCTGTGCTGTGATTCCTAGTGTATTCCGGCTTCGGCAACTTTTTAAACCCTAGGCCACTTTGCCACAATTGTCCAAATTTCAGCCCATTGCCTCCTACATTTCAGGGGCCAGCAAATGTTTGACCGCGTCGTGATAGAACCCTATATTAATAATAATTCGCTGAAAGATAGCACGTCTCCGAGCCAATCGAGATGAGAGCAGATGTCTGCATTCGGTGCTATCTGGCGAAGGAATCAAATCCAAGAAGAGTAGGGGAAGGAGGAAAGCTACGGAAACGCAGGTTTGATCCTTTGTAGGTGGCCGGCCTTGGGTACCTTATTGGCAAACTTATCCTGTTGGAAGCGCGCGAAGCATCAAAATAAATAATCCTAATCCGCCAGTTGGTTCCCCAGACGGACTCGAACACTCTTAATCGTAACAGCACGGAATGATATGTCTATGCTTCTACATAATATTACCCGACGCGCCTCATATCGCAAGAGAAATGGGGGAACTAGGTGTCTTCATTTGCTCTAACGTAGATCTATCTTCCAAGGTATATGTACTCGCTCTCTCTCCCGTATCGCTTCACATTTAGAGGACTCAGTGCAGTGAGCCTGTACCTCTTGTCGTCTTCGGGCATATAGTGCTGCACCTCGAGACGCTGCGAATGTAAGATCAACGGATTTGGACACGGTTGCAGATTTCGTATAACCTGGGATATTCGTTCGAAGATTCAACGGCGACATAGGCATTATTTCAGCCAGAGCATCTCTTAAGGTAGCTAGAAAGCGTGGGTACATTACACTCTCCCCAGCCACAAGAATATGAGTGAGAGAGAATGGGTATTCTCGGGGAAGGTCTGATAGTTGTGAACGCAGACTGGACCATAGTGCATCCTGGGAACCGTTTGTTTGCAGAAGATGATCTAGTCCGAGTTCAAAATCCAGAATCTGAGCTTCATCCCAATTGAATCGAGTTAGAGCCTCGCCAGAAATGGGAGCTATGATGCTGGTGTAGAGAGCATGCCGACTGTAGAAGATGAAGAAAACGTGAGTACCGGCCGGGCTATCAAACTCATCTGTGCATTCCCATAGATCCTGGTAATTTGAACATAGCCCGTAACCGTTTGCTGCATAAACAGCATCGGCCTCCGAAAAGCGTTCCGGGTACCAGACGCTGTCGCCGACCCAGGTGTGTAGATTTAAGTCACTAAGTGCGGCGTTGACTATTTGACTGATGGAACTGATATCAGGGGTTGCAACTGCAACCCTATCAACCGCCTGAGAGATTTCCTTTTCGGTAGCCATTTGGAGTTGTTGGAGCAATTCGCTGATGATTTCAACATCGCTATACGCTTTGATCGGGCGACCGAGCACTTTGTTAAGCCGACGCCACCAAGCGCCCCATGAAGTCGTGTCAGATAGAGAGAACCGAGAAAAAATGAGGTCATAAAGAGATTTCTTGGTTCTGTTCAAATGTGGCTGGGGGTCACCGGAAAGTCGCATCATAAGATCAAGGTATTCGGGATTTCCCTGGACATGAGCGACTTCAACGACAGTCCCATTTAGTACTGTACAGAGGCCGTCCTTATTTAGCATTAGATAAATCAGGTTGTAGAGAGGATGACAGCCTTCGCTCACCCATATGAAAGGGTCAGGTCAAAGCCAACCCCTGGGGCATCGTGAACCTGCGCCGAAAGGCAACTTTCACAGGACGGGCGAGGACAATCATAGAAAGCATCGATAACGGACATAAGTTGAAAGAGAAGAAAGCCTATCAAGCATCCATTCATTTTGAACAGGGACTTGGAATTAACTGCTCTTGTCGACGGCGGTGGTCGAAGTTATGTTCAAGTTCGGGTCCAGTTTATCCGCGGTCTGGAGGTCAAGTTTGACCATGCCCGATAAGCTTTTGGTTCCAAGGGCTCTCTCTGATCCTGTCTATTGTGCACTCCTGCATTGCAACCAGAATGTTCAGAGGCTATATTTCATCATCGGCTAGTGAACAGCACATACGACCATAGGGTGTGGAGAACAGGGCTTCCCGTCCGCTCAGCCGTACTTAAGCCACACGCCGGCCAGTTAGTAGTATGGTGGGTGACCACATGCGAATCCTGGCTGTTGTATGTTTTTTTTCATTTGCAATGATTGATCTTAGGGGGACATTTACTTTGACAGACGCAGAAGCTTATTCCCATCTCATGGCTCGACGTTTATCTACTGATCCGGCCTCGATTTCCCTTTCCACCTCCCTGATGGCAGACCAATACTGCCCGTTCTATGAGTATCAGTAACCTCACCTCCATCGCCATATTCAGATATTCTGCTGTTGTTCCGCCGTCTTCGAGTAGTGGACGTGCGAGAAACCAGTTTTGGTGGTCCGAAAGGTGGCAGCTGCATATACGCCCCTGCCTGGCCATGACCTGCGTTTTGATCGTGCATTTCCGGCTCAGCGCCTTTCCTATCATGGTTGTCGGATTCTGCGTCACTTAGAGACAGAGAAGTGGGCGACGGTCTCGAAGGGATTCGCTACGCACACCATTAGTATGCGCCTGGGAAGATTTTCCGGTCTGTTGTACTTACTGAAGGGGCTGACTGGGTTCTTCTTTTCCGCGAAATACGCCTCCTGTGTGATGAGACATCCTCGTTCTGCTGCAGCTTGATGACAGACATCTGGCTCCCAGGGCTGCTAGGGGGAGAGGATGAGGGGGTTGTAATGGGCGAGGGCTCGCTTGATATCGAGGTTGGCGGTGACCGCGAATCAGACATGGACTGGCTCTCAGCAGGCTGGTGGTTTTGCAGTAGAGGAGGAACCTCCTCTTTCAAAATCTGCATTATCTCTTCGGCAAACTTCTTGGCCTCGAGATGTTCACTCGACGAACTTTGTTGGTGTATCATGAGCTTCCTTTGTGCCCGTTGAGCTTGCTCAAGCTTGTCGAATTCGATACTCAGCATTTTCTTGAAAGATTCACTGCCAACAAATAGTCAGTACAGGCCTCCATGTCATCCATCAAACGGGGGAATATTTGAAAATTACATTTGTGCGCCGACTACATCCGATCCATTCCTTTGGTGGGTTTGGGAAATCAACTGAATATGCATCAGGGTTCCAATTGTTGTCATAGAACCCTCTAGTACCTCCATATCCTGAAAAAGAGAGGGAACAGTTTTCTTGCTCTCTTGAGACCATTCAAACTGTGCGATCCATCTTTCGACCGTACTGACAGGCTCACCATCTATGAGAGTGCGGAACTTGCCGGTAATTTGTTTCAACCTTCTAATGGTTCGTGTCGATTCCTCGTCAATACTTCCTATAAGCTCTTGATGTCGTTTGAAAGTGGGCGCTAGCTCTTGAATTCCCCTCGCAACTTTCATGGTGTCCCTGAAGAATTCGTACTTTCGGGCCACTGTTATCGTTCTATTTATCACTTTGAATAGATCGTTTTTCGCGTTTCGGATTTGCTTATACAGCCTTTTTAACTTCTTCGCAAACTTGACGAGGTCTTTAGCAATAGGGTAGACAAGGCCCGCCACTGCGAGAAAGTCCGCCATTTTTGCCAGCTGGAACTTGCGCGGTCCTCAAAACGATCAGAGGGAAATAGAGGTCGCTGGGATATTAGAAAAAAAAGATTCAGTTTCGCCCACGAGCGTCAGTCTACAGATTCAAAGAGAAGGCTACTCGTTTCGACCCTTATACTTGCAAATTCGGCTGAACCACCGCTGCTAAGCCCAACACTTTGTAAGGCATCGCCTCATCTCCACATTGCTCGTAAGTCCCAATTTTGCTCGACTGTCTAGTGAGGCTGATTGACAGCGAAATCCAGGGGTCAATCTGTGAGCCAAGCAAAATTTCTACCATCCTTGAGACTAGGTGATTGTTTACGTGGTAAGGTTAATAAGCAAAGTGTACCCCGCTTTTTCATCTACTGCTGTATCTGACCAAAAAAGCTTAGTACTTGCATCAACAGCCAATCTCTGTATGCCACGATAGACATCTTGGAGGGAAGAGCATGGATGTACTAGAGGCCAGTGTGCTGGAGGCAAGGCTGTGGCTTTGTTGGCAACTGGTTTGGTCTTCAAAATGCGGCTCAACGCAGCATGATGAACTTCTCTAGGTGTGAGCGCGGGAATCCATGCTGAGCCTGGATGTGACCTGGCCACTTGATATAATACTACGAGGCAGACATGCGCAGTCTAAGACGCCCTGCATCGACGACTCAGTTCATTCGATGGGTTCGCCCACGGAAGAGGAGCAATTGCCGCTGCCGTCTTCACTAAATGAACAAACTTTAGAATGCTTGCCCTCTGTTGCCCTATCCTGTCTATAAGATTATACCAGGGACAAGCGTAAATCAGGGTCTGGTCTGTATCTATTTGGCTTCTCTATCAACTATCCCAATGTGAGGGGATGGCGCTACCTTGGAGATAAGAAGAGCTCGTGACAAGTCAGTGATACGTTTAGCGTTCGCTTTACGATGCGCCCATGACTCGCGCATAGAGCCACCTGCTCGTCAGCAGCGCATGTCTCCTCTGTACTTGCATGCACAGATGGCATCACTCTCAGAGCGATGTCTTATTGAAAAGCTAGGCCAAATAAGGGAGCAGTAGACGACAAGGGAAGTATGGTGCTGTATACGCTTCTTCTTTCTCGGCAGACTGTAATGTCAGAATTATGGATAGTGATTATCTGTTGATTCCTCCACCTTCGGCTGCCTAAAGGCTGTTGTTCGCCTATAAACAATAAAATCCTGGTCGCCACAGAAGTTTACGATGAAATCATTTGTTACGATGTTCCCTAGGCTAAAAAGATCTCGTTTTAGAAGAAATCCCGTATTACTTTTTAAAATTCTCATTTTTTATTTTTTTTTATTAATTCTTTTTTTACATTTTAACACATTTCTTTTTTTTTCTTTAATTTTAATAGAGGTAACGTATAGGGAATGCATATCTCACAACTTAGGAGGAAAGTTGAGGCTTCCCAGCAGATCGTTTGAGAAAAGGCGTCGGGAACTTTGATATGTTTTTAGAGGTTCGTCTGGATTGGAGCGCTAGGACCACGAGTTCAAGGATTTCTTCCACGCTAGACTTAACCCGAATTCTCAATTTAAGACTCGCGCATCTAGCGCCGAGAAATTCCCAATGATCCGATCACAGATGCGATCATAGATGCGATCAATCTCATGCAAACAGATGCATCCAACCACACCATCCACCATCCCCCCCCCCAACGTTCGATAGCTCACACTTTCTAGTCCTCCGGGACGAACCCAATAGTTAGTTTAGTTAACCACGTACGTAATCGACCATTTCTCTCATTCATTATAACTCGTGGTAGGCAATAAATAGCCCCGCTTTCTGTCGATTCCTACGCGTTGTGTACTTCACCTCTTGACTTTCTTCACTCTGATCATCTACAACAGAATTACTGGGCTGCTTTTTATCTCGGACCCTCTAAAAAATTGAGCATTATGCCACAAGGAAAAGGTTATACTGTTACTAGCTCCGGCACTAACAGCCAGGTATGTATATCTTCGCTAGGGTTGCTACCCCGCGTCCTCATGAGTTCTTCCTGCTACATCATACTTCCAACAATATCTTGTAGTCTTTAGGTGATATCCATGAATTAACTTGGATGGAACAGGGCAACCACTACTGCTCTCGTGACTACGGTTCCAGTGCCTCCAACTCGAACAGTTATCACTACTCCAACACGTCAGACACCTCCTGTTTTTTGTGTTGATTTGAATCCTTGAAATTGGTATGCTGACTTGTTTACTAGTAACGGATCGTACTATTACTCCAACCCTAATGGAAGCACCTACTACAACAATGGAAATGGCAGCTCGAATTATACTCCTCTCTCGGGCTCTGGCAAGAAATAAGTGCCAAGTCACAGAGACATTCATTGCCATTTGATATGCAATCCAGAATGAATAAAGTTCATAGCTCTTGAAATCTAATTAGTCTTTGCGTGTTCGTAGTTACATGTATAGCTAGCGAAGCCAATCCCGAACAAGTACCTATCCTAGCAACTGTGCTGCTGTATATTACTTCCCATCAGCAAGTATACCGTTCTCAAAATCATTCTCGCTACACCCACGTCGCTGACGGGCTGCTCCTTTATTAGGAAAATGCCGTGGCGTGGGGAGAGGAGCTGCATCGCTCGGTCGCCGGCGACGAACGAGCTGGTACCCCCGATCCAATTCGATTTCAATTGCCTCACGGACCTTCAGGGCACTAATCGCGGGCCAGACACCTCGCTCGCCCTTCAGTGTCCATTCTGCTACCCGTGCACGGGTGGGTTGTTGGAAAAGTTTGGCCAAGTCGTTGATAGATAGGTCCGGGACGAGGGTGAGGTTGGGTCCTGGGATAGTTTCATCGATTAAGAGTCGGCTTACAAAGCCTGGGAGGAAACCGATGTAATCGAGTTGGCGGAGACGGTGGCGTAATTCGACCAAGGCGAGTCGCACCATTGAGCGGGATATATTGCTCCAGCCCGTTTGGTGGCGGTCGAGGAGGTTGAGTTCGGAGCGTAGGAATGGGATCAGGTAGGGACGGGCTTGGGAGACGATGAAGTGGTTGACGTTGAAGAGTTCCGCAATTCGGGAGAGGGGGGATTCGCCGTCGCTATAGATGACGTGTCGCCATGGTTGGAACACTGCTTCCTTTGTGTGTGGCCAGGGGACGATGGAGCCGGTTTCGTCTTTGCAGTAAATCGTGACTGGTGAAGAAAGTGTAGTGACAGACGAGGAGGCATTGGAAGCCGCCGCGGCAGACCATATCAGCTTTGGAAAATGTCAGACAATCCCAACAGCAAGATCAAAGGTAAATCCCAAGGAATGATGAACATACCACATTCGGTGCAGTTAGATAATTAAGCAGATTCGGCGTCCCAGTCTTACCAGCCGTGGCAATCGTAATATTCAAAATCCGTTTGGACCGCGCATATGCCTCTTCAAAGGTCAAATCCCCCACATTAGCCCGAACACACTCCTCCAACAACTCCATATCATACAAATGTCCCTTTCGGAGCAATCGCTTCATCCGCCGGACAAAAGTCCACACCCAACTCTCCTCCGCATGTTCTTTCCGCCGTTGATCGAAGGCTGATAAATCAATCGTTTCGCCTTCCAACAACGCAAGCAATTCACTTTCGGGATGAATGCCCACCAACGCTGCAATCATAGCCCCCGTCGCGGTACCCGTAATAATCCGCGGTAGAAGACCCTGTAAATGCAACGCCTTGACCACGCCGAGATGACATAGCCCAAAAGCCGACCCTCCCTGCAACAGTAGCGTCGTGCGTCCGAAGGCCTGGCGAGTATCGTGGAGTAGCTCCAATTTCGCCTGAGGGGTGAACCCGCTCGTCTGCATGGGCGCCGGTTGCAGCGAGGCCACGTACTGGATTGACAACGCGACTTGCGTGATATAGTCATCAATCAAGAGTTTCGTTCCGGCGTAGGCATGGGTGAATAATTTGGTGGTTGTGATATTGCCCAGGTTGCGCACGAGGCCGGAGCGAAGGAGATTGACCAGTGTGAGGATATCCTCGCCTTCGCGGGCACTCATTAGAGCTTCCAACCGCCCGAGGATGAGTCTGTAGTCATAGTGTCGACTGATTGGATTCTGGCGCCTGTGTTCCGATTAGTCAGAGCGCTTTCGCAGAGCTTACTTGCTAGAGTCATACCATAAGTCCTTGCTCAGGAGCTCATCCAGCTCAAACGCAGCTTCTTCCCATTCCTCATAGCTCTGGGCCGTGGCCAGGGTGTTGAACAGCCTGGTTTTGGGGGACTTTGATTTCCACCATGAGAATAATTTCTATACAATCGTCAGTCATTTTTCTCCCATTCTCCAGCCAGAACGTGGACTCCTCGTGGGCTTGGGACACCCTTTTTGGGTGTTGGGTGTTGGGAGTTGGGAGTTGGGAGTTGGCTCCCCCCAACCCACACGTCTATCTCCCCGCTAGGAGGACCAGCAGCTAGCTGGTCCCCCCAAAGGTAAAAGGCAACTCACCTGCTTCCAGAACTGGGCAACATCCAGCATCATACCGTAGACCGCGGAGAGAACACTCCACAGACCGAGTAGCCAGGACCCCATTTCGCGCGATTAGGGAAATTCCAGCTCGAAGGGGGGTGCGCGACCTGCCGGTGGAGCGGCGCTTTCACATGCTATTTATGGCGTCACTTCCGCGTTGGGCTTTGCGGATGCAAAAACAACGCCCGCGATAAGGATGGACCGAGTAGGGAGTACTATGCTAGTGGGAGCGATAAATATAGCGTCAATGGAAAGATCTCAGCTTGCATAGAGAGTAGGGGAGCTGGAAGTGGTTAGTGTTGGAGAGGTGTCAGCTCCGAGGGATCGACTGCCGAGAGTGAAAAGTTGTGGTGGTGCTCGGGAGTGGCCAGTTCAACTTCCCATGAAGTCTTAAAAAGTCCATCCACCTTGACTTATGCATGCGATGAAGTTAGGATTATTCTTACTAGTCTTTACAAAGATATACTCAGATCATCCCTAGGAGATCTAGTACAGTACTCGACTCGCTAGGGTCATCCAAGAAAGGTCATGAATAGTAGAAATAATCGACAGATACAATTGCACTTTCGTTACATGCCTCATTACAGAGCCTGACGCGTGAAGTGGAAAGGGAAATTGTGAATTTTGCAAGGTCGTTTGTTTTTTGTCATTTCGCTTTGCTTCCCTAATATGCAAGTAGGCGAAATTAAAAAAGAAAAGCTTCTCCCGGACACCCAAACCCAATTCAAGGAGACATTTCTTTACTCCTCAATGATGTTGGTCCGCTCCGACACGTACAGACCGTCCAAGAACTAGACAGAAGAGTTAGTCAAATGCGTCAGCAGAGAGGAAAAGCACTTGAATGCTCAATTTTCCTCTTGGCGATAGACTACCAAGGGGGAGGGATTGATTGATCCAAAAACTCACCTTACGAATATCCTTGTTCCGGACACGGCAGATCTGCTGGATGTCGGCGGCGCTCTGGGAGACGTCCTCCAGGGAGTTACCGGAGAGCTGGAGCTCATCCTTGACGTTGGGGGAGGTGATGATATCGACACCGGGGCGGGCAGAGACGCGGCGGACGTACTTCTCACCCAAGAAGTTGCGGATCTCAATATCGGTGCCACCGGTCTCGGCGTTCTTCTCGATGTTGACGTTGATGGGGAAATGGGCGTAGACGTAGCGCATCTTGTACAGGAAGCCGCGGGTAACACCGATGATCAGGTTGTTGATGATGGTGCGGACGGTGCGGAGGGTAGCGACACCCTTGCGAGCACCGTGGTGCAGCTCGATCGAGATGACGTCCTTCTCGGGGAGACCGAAGGTAACGGCGATGTGGGACAGGTCCTTAACGAGCTTGCCGCGGGGGCCCTCGACGGTCACAACCCGCGAACGAATGTGAACCTTCACTGTAAGGAGAAAAAAAAAATTGACAATCAGCCGGGTCTGTTCCTCAGAAAAAAAAATTATAACTCTTTGCGCTTGTGCATTTTTCTTTTCCATCTGGGAAGGATGCTCCAGATTCCCAGTTCCAGTAGGACAGAAGTCCAGGGAATTTTTTCCACCTCTTGCTGATGAGTGATAGCGGCATTGTCGCAGTCGATGTAGAGATTTTCGTTGCATTCTCTTTTCGCCTGTTTCCTCTCTGGTATTCATGGCTCACTGTCTAGCCATGTCCACGAAGAAAGAGGCGCAACTATCTCCCACCACGTCTTCCACACAACACCAACATCCCTGATCCCCAAAATGTGATTTCCTCCAAAAACAAGAAAAAGTCGATAGCTCACCATTGTCCGGAATGGGCAGCCGTTCCTCGGAGTGAATGTACCGCATCTTGACTGCGTGGGTGGAATTGGCCGAGGGGGTTGAATTGTCGATGTCGGGAGGATCAAAATTCGGGTTGGAGTTGATGGTGGAGCGAAATTGAACGTCACGGGATTGTGCGTCGCTTAGGGCCTGTTCGGGATTAGCCTAGGGTTGCTTATCGGATGATCTTTATCATCACGTGAATTGTGGTGGACCGGCTATCGCGGCCTGAGAGATATGGCAATCTGTTTGTCTGGTTTGGCTGAGATTATGGAATAGTCACGTGGTAAACTGTTACAGTGTTCGTGCTCAATACATTGATACAAATTATGTACACCCAAAAGACAGAAAAGACGCCGGTCCTTGTCCAGGACATGGTTATGGCAAAGATCAGTCCAACAAAATGCAGCCCCCTTCCACAAATTATACAGATTCCGGCGTCTTGTGCACGACCTCCGAAAGCCATTTCCCGCCCAATTCTCGTAGCTTCGATGCCAGCTCGTCGCTCTGATCCAGGGCAGCCACATCATCTCCACCTCCAATGCTCTTCCCATTCACCAGGACGTTGGGGACAGTACCCCGTCCTGTATTCTCCCTTAGAAGCTGTTGGAGAGCCGGTCCGATCGGGTGCTGGTCGAGCTCGACAACGAAAGGCGCCGGTGTAATATCGTAGTGGCCCAGCAAGATATTCTTAGCTCTCTTGCTGTGCGGACAATAGGATTTGGAGAAGATAATGACTATGCAAGCATAACGAGTTAGCGTTTGGTGTCTTCCATCTGGGGATGCGTAGCCATAAAGCCACAGCATAGCGCAAATCGTACCTGGAGCTCTCTTCAAAATCGAGTTCAGCTCGCTCTTCGCATCCAGCTGCTCGAATGTCTCTTCCTCTTTCACCTTTTCTTCAATCTTCTTCTCATCCGAGCCCCCGGTATTCAAAGAGGAATCCTGAGTACCCTTAACCTTCGGCACCGTCATCTTCGTCCGCCCCGCAATGGGAATCTCCTCCATCTCCTCATTCTTGCTCTCCGTGCCCTTCGCCATGGGTACGGCCGGTCGCTCGATATCGGCGCTACCAACCTGCGCACTTGCGGCACCAGCGCCGGGCTTGACAATGGTATCTTGGATCTTCTCCTTTAACTTCATATGCTTCGCCTCTTCCTTGGCCCGCATGGCCTCCAGCGTCGATCGGTAGAACTTTTGGTTCTGTATTCTGCTCGCTTCGCCCTGTATCGCAAGAAGCCGGTTAATATCATTCGGAAAAGGAAGCTCTGGGTATGGACAGAAAGTGGCCGAAGGCAAGCAACGACGCTTTCCCAAGTCGTACCGAGTAATAAAAGGTCAAGACTAGCATCGCGATAATCGCGACGACTAGCAGTCGCACACGCCGATGAGATGGCATTCTGATTCGGTGCGGTTGCCCCTTACAGCCCAGACTGGTTCTGGTGAGTGCCGTTGTTCAGGGGGGGCAAGAGGTGAGGTTCAGTTAACGAAAAGGGAATACAGTCTAGACTACGGCGACCGAGGCCGCGCCGAACCGACGTGACCCTAGGGGTCCAATCTGGTAGCGCAACGTAACAGGTTACCGGGCGCCAAGAAATAGGCCGATCAAGCTTCTACGCGCCGTCTTGGCCGGGGTTATGGACAGCGGTAAGAATTGATTTCGTGAAGGTGTACTGAGTAGGTTCTGGGATATCTTCCGAGACAATCTCTGTGTCGGTATTGATTTAGAATGGGGCTGGATTTGGTAGCGTCTCGTGTGAGACATCTCTGTTCTGGGGGAGGGAAGATGTGGGGGTGGTTTCTGATCCCCATTCCTAGGGGAACCACTGATGACTGGCCAGTCGTCATCCCTGAATGCGGGACGAGGACCGATCTGAACGCGATGCTCGGCATGGGTTAAGCTTGGCGCGAGTGGGATGAAAGAAACTCCTGCTAAGCTATGAGAATAATCTGTATTTGATGACCAAAAAGTAAGAGTATTTATTGAGCAAGATTCGATAAGACAATGAAATTAGCTAAGAAAGCTGACATGGGTATTATGCTAAATCACAAGGGTTTCGGTCCGGGCGCGACTCCACGTGAATCCATAGACGGGGCGTACATCGGCCACTATTAGGTTTATGTATGATGCTGGCGGGGTGTATATATTGTAAGTAGGGGGACGTGGGAAGCCACCAGTGAAGTCCACAGAGCCGGCTGTGGTACTTGGTGGTATGAAGACAGTGATGAGTAGGGGTGATTAGAGCGGAATAGAACCACCGGGGTGAGGTTGAAGGCAAGAGTCAACGTAACGCGTAGAAGTCAGGAGGAGGGGCGGGGATACAAGTGAGAATAAAAGAGGGAGTTGAAGGATGCTGTTTAGTGACGGGATCACGGAAGAACGATTTCCTCGTGATCAGGCTTGGAGAGAAAGACTCGGTCGTGCCGCCTGTTGAGCGGTCGCCCGGCGTCGGCCCTGGACGATGGTGGTCCAGTCTTCCCACTCCTTGGCGATTTCGGTCAAGACACTGCCCATTACGCTGGCAGAAGCCATGAGACCGTGGCCTTCGCCCTCGAGGATACGCACCTCGCAGCGCCGCATCGTCTTGCCCAGCCACTGGACGTTTTCGACGGGCACACGAGTATCCTTGCTACCGTGATGAATCACGGTGGCTCGTGTGATATCCACATAGCGGAATCCGATAGTCTGGCGGCGTTCCAAGCATGTCAAAAGATCCACTGCGGGGTTGGCATTAGCAGTGGCCAGCGCCCAGACCTTATGAGTGAGTCTGGTGTCGTAGTCCCGCTGTCTTTCCAGCTCTTCCTCTGGAGACTTATCGCGTGATCCAAGAGTCGCATCGCTATCTCTGTACGCTGCATGGGTGACATTTGATGGTTTGGAGGGTTCAACGGGCGAGAGAACTCCAGGCTGTGGAGACTTGGGCTCCACGCTTGACGCAGGGACTGGTAGGGCAGGCACTTCTTCTTTAGAGGCCTCTTTGGCGGTCTTCTTCTTTGCTCGCCGTGGAGACTTGGGTAAGCTAGTAGTGATGCTGGCACTAGTAGCACTCATGAAGCTGGTGTTTGCCACCTTGAGGAGAGACGTGGGAAGAGCACGGAGAATTCGTTGGGAGTAGGGGACGGCATTAGTCGGCACGGGCTCCTTCTGGGAGCCGATGCTGGAGAGTTGAGAAGGAGGGATCCAAGGAGCGAGGAGATGGATACGCCCGCGGATATGTTGAGGGATTCGAAGGGCCGTGGCAAGGGCATAGATGGCACCGGCCGAGTGCGCAAGGATGGAAAATTTCGTCACCCGCAAGTGATTACAAACAATGGCAACATCGTCTAGTCTTTAGTTAGTATAAAGGATTATCTGGCGGTGGGAGAAGGGGTTGCAGAAACGTACCAGGCCAACTCAGAGGATTGCTGGGTTCATCCAGTAGATGTGGTCCACTTTCACCAACACCAGGACGGTCGAGGGTGACCAGACGCAGGTTCAGAGTCCGAGCCAGCTCGTCGTAGAATGCCATGAGATATCGAGTGAGACCCATGCCGAGACAGCAGAGAACGACGTGGCCCTTGGGGTCGCCGACCTCGGAAAAGGCGATGGTGCGGCCCGTCGTTGGGTGCGGTACTCTCTGGGTGAGTTTCGGAGATAAGATATAATCATCCACAGCCAGGTCGATCGAGTCCGCACTGGATGGCCGTTCAGTGTTGATTGAGGCACGATTGACCAGTGTAGGACCGGACGGCGTGCGGCGATGGGACGGTGTGGGAGAGATGGGCTCCAAGGATCGTCTGAGCCGGTTTTTCTCATGGTCGAGCTTTTCAGATGATTGCCTTTGCATTTCTGGAGAGAAGTTGGTCGGCTTCGATGACAATGGTGCCCCGGGCTTTCCCATACGACTCTTGCCAGTCATAACTGAGGGTGATGGAGCGCTGTCATTCATGGCTGAACGTCCATAAGCAGAGCCGTTCTGCGTTTTGGAAATGCGGCTTTGGTCGACTTGGCTGGTGCTGCGTGACGGCTTCGAGGGTCTGACGGGTGCTGCTCCCGTAGACTTGCCGGGGCTGTCGTCAGCCTCCAGCTCAGTCTTGATTCTCTGTTGCTGGTCTTTCAACTCTTGGATTCTCTTAGTCACCTGCTCTGCGTCGTTGCTTGACCCTGGCAATCCATTCTCCGCGAGGGTCGAATCTCGGCTGGCAGTCGAAGAATATCGGCTGTGGCGGGCAGACCTTCGCTTTTTCGAGCCAGAGGACTGGCTGTGTCGGTGACGTAGAGAAGAGTCTCGAGTAGGAATAATCCGACCACTTCCAATACCACCGGGGTTCTGGTGTGCGTCCGGCGTGTTCTGAATTGACGGCTGTTCTCGGGTTGGCGGGGTGCTAGCAATCAAACCCTTACTCGGTTCCTCCATCAGACCATTTTCTGCCAACCCACTGGGCCCATGTTCCTCGGCGACATCTGCCATGGAGTACATGGAACGCAAACTTGCTCGACTCCGCGAAGTGTTATGCCGTAAACTATCGTTATGGCTGGTGGTCCGCCGAAGGCGATCGGCCTGAGTTTCTTTGTCGTTGTGGAATTCGCGCGACGACTTCTTTAACAGTCCAAAGTGGCCCTTGAGACTCTTCGTTCGTCCGGCGGAGCTGTTTGACGCAATGCTAGGAGCCTTTGACGGGCGAGGGGCGGGTTCTGCGCTGATCGTCCCGAAGGCACTATCTTCCGGCGCGGCCCTTACCGACGTATAAGAGTCTCTTGATTCCGGTCGCACGGATGAATCGGTTGTTTTGAACGGTTTGAATCGCGGCGAGCGAGGGGATTTTGGCGTTTTGGGGGATGGGGGCGCTCTGGCCATACGAATAACCGGTGACGAGGCGGCATCATCTGGATGCAAGAGATTATGCGGGGGCTCTTCAGCAGTTGCATATGTGCCAAAGCTCAAGCCGAATCCATTTTGCTTGGAAGGGGGGATAGTGAAGCACGGCGCGGTTTGCGGAACATCCGGGAGGCCAGGGTCGGAGGAATCTTTGGAATCGATGCGCGGCACGTTGTCGAAATGCGAGTTCAGGGGCACCGAGATGGCAGACAGGGATGAGATCAGTGATGAGATAACTTCGGGTGACGTTGGATCGGTAGAGGAATTAGGTCCCTGGCTGCGCATAGGGAGAGACTTGCGACGGCGACGGCGATTGAGCAGGGCGGACTCTGCCTGCTGGGGCGGTTCCGGGAAGGGCTCGTTAAGATGCATGGCGTTCAATAGTTCAGTCGTCTCAGGGATGGTACTACCCGCCCGCGAGTCTGGGGGGGGAAGGGGAGCAAGATCAACGAGAGATGCAGGCTTGGAGTCGAATGGCCGCGTGCATGTTCTACTTGCAGTCGATGGATAACTGCAGTGTCGGTCTCTTGTCTGACCAGCCGCAATTAATTGGAGGGGAGGGGCATGAACCTAGTTATCGGTTTGCGTTTTGGCCCTAGTGAAAACCCCCTTACTGAAGAGCCGTGACAGCGGGAGGAGGACTGATAAGGAAAGGTCAAGGAGTGAGAATATAGAAGACGACCAAAAAAGAAAGGAGTGGCTAAATCGAATGTTCAAGAGAACGAGAAAGTCGAGGGATAAAGAGTGAACCCTAACGACTGAGGACTTTGAAAGTAGAAAATTCCCGAGCAGATGATCTCTTCTTTTTTTTCTCAACATCAGATGGGGTGGAGGAGGATTTTAGCGTTCGCGTGGTCAGCTCCACCGGAGTCCAATTTCCCACTGGTTTGTGTACAATTCCCATTCCTACTGGGCAGTCGGTTTGAGGGAACTAAGTTAACTCAGCTAGTTTACTCCGTTCAGCTCAACCCCATTTAGGAAGCTTTAGCATCCGATCCATGGGGTTCCGTGTCATTTCTCCAATGCGCGCGATGATGGCATCGTTCACGGATATCTCTAAACAGTCATGAATAGTGTTTATTCTTTGAAGACATAATCTCATTTGATGTCCATGTGGCACCCTTTCATATCCTATCCCACCAAAAATGCCGGGTGTTCTAGAAGACCCCTCCGAGGCCAGAGCACATTCTGGAGACTTTCTCAGGCCAAGTGATCGGCGCAATCTCGGAAATGAGTGTGTTCGGCATTTTGAGAGGCGCAGAATTGGGACGAACTGCATGGGGTATGTTCAATGATCTGACATAGGCTTTAAAGCTAGGCACCGATGTGCGTCATGCTATATATTGTTAAAAAATGGGGTCAATGGCTCGTGAGAGCAATGCGTAACAAGGTATGCATGCAAGGTTATGCTTATTTATGGAAATATATTTCGAGTTCGGGGTCCCCGCAAATAAACAATCCCCTACTATGGCCGTGAAATATATATCACCACAGTTAGGGTGTCACTATTCTCAAGCAAGGCATGTACTTCCTCAACATATGCTGTTAATTACACACCTGTCAATAATCTACATTTTCACCCAATATATACCATGAATCATCCATGATCCATTTAACTAGTTAGATAAGCTAGGGGGTTGACACAAATAACAGCTCCCCCGACTCTGCCTGAAACGCGTCCCGCGGAGACACTGACCGCCTTGACACAACACGGCAGTATGTCTGGACCCAACCAGGAATCACGAACGTTGCTCTAGTAGTCAACAGCTGTCCTGAGAGCATCGTCCCTACTGTCAGATCTGACTCTTTCACCATTGAGCCACAGGAAAGTTTTTCTGTGTGAATCATCTTGATCTGCCGCTTCCAATAACCATTCCGGACCATCTTCGACCCTTCCGACCGGAGATGCGGTGACTGGTTGACGCCAACACCAGTTGTCCGCAATGGACGCCTATCCACAAGACTACGTCAACCACAATCTCCCTTTGGTCCTCCTCTCAGGACTAGAGGCAGATGCTGAAGATGATTCTAGAACTGTGGTAAACTACCCACTTCTTGCAGAAAAGGGCTCAAAGATCTTCTCCGATTTCCCACCTCTGAGCGGGGCTGTTGCGGAGGAGTTGCGGAGAGTGCTGCTGGAGGAGGATGGCTCCCAGATGCCCTGGAGAGCGGGAACCGCCTCAAATGGGAATTCACCATCAACGCATATCGTATATCGCATCAGGAGTTCTGGTCGGGTAAGCTCCTCCCTGATATAACTGTGAAACGAAACGCGCCGATGCGATCATGTCTTGTGCCGAGGATGCTAACTGGTGTTTCTCTGCACTGTAGTCATATCAGCTTCCTCCACGCAAAGCCAATCCTCCCCAGACCTCTGCACCGACCAGCCCTAGAACCGACACAGACGGAGCTCCTTCTGGTTCGACAACACCATACGTCCTCCACTCGCCCATCTCCCCATTGTCCCCGGGGTCCCCCACCTTCCCAGATGGCCTCCTCACGCCGCTGTGGGTGACCAAGCATCAGGAGTTGGTCCCCGCGGCGGTGATCAACTTCTTTCCTTTCTCGCTGGACCCGAACATGAATTCGCTACGCGACAACCAGCTCAAGATTGAGGTAAACAGCTTGAAGAAGGATTGGGCGAACTCCGGCTACAAAACCCGTTTCCTGGTTGTTCTGATCTCGGAAGATGGTGATGGTGGCTACGAGGGGGAGATTGACGATCGCGTGGCTGGCATTCGACGGGCAACGAACCTGGATCAGAAGTCGATCTTTGTGATCCCACCAGACGCGACTTCTTCAGAGTTGCAAGATTTTGTCAAGTCACTGTTCTCTCTGTTGCAACCATCGGTTGTAGAGTACTACCGGGATTTGTCGAAGCATGCCCGTCGCAAGCGAAATCGTAGCACTATTCCTCCCCCGACGGCACCACCCACGACTGGTACATCCCAAACACTGTCCTTGCAAGGATGGAACGTGCGCTATGAATTCAAACTCGGAATTTTCGCCGAGTTTCGCCAGGAGATGGACGCCGCCTGTCGAAATTACGAGAGTGCATATGAGACTCTCTTTGGGCAAGAGGTCTTTGAGAACATTGCAGGCTGGGATCCTCGATTCAACGATGCGCGCCTTCTGGGTGATACCCTCGCTATCCGAATCATACGCTGTTTGCTGTGGACAGGTCAGACAACCTCTGCGACCCGGTTCTGGGTTGACCATAGAATTCGCACAAAAGACATTGTCAACAGGCGAGGCAAGGGTAGCAAGAACTACGGATGGGAGGCTTGGGAAGCACGGTGGTCTCTAGTGATGGCTCAGCTCATTCGCCGCGCGGAAATATCCCCTTCATCCTCCGAAGCCTCGGGTGACCAAGCCATCATGTCTTCGACCTTTCACCTTCCCGAAAAGTCCATTCCTACAGGCGAACGCGTCAGCCCATGGGAGCACCTACATCACAAAGGTTATTGGCTCTATCGGTCTGCCAAGCATACCATGGTCCGGCGAGCGCTTGCTCTGCAAATTCCCAATGAAGACCGCATGTCTCCCGGGCAATCCCCTGCATCTCAGATTGCGAACAAATCCTATTTGTATGATACATACCTTGCACCGGAGACACATATAGAAGCCCCGCAGTCGGGCGAGGGAGGTTTTAATCACTCTGAATTGATCTTGAGCTCATTGAAGGCCGCCCTTGATGAGTTTTCGGAGCGACAGCAGGCGCGGCAAGTCGAAAGACTAAGTCTCGAGATTGCTGAAGAATACATGCGTATTGGCTCTTGGTCTGAGGCATATAGCATTCTTGAACCACTTTGGTCCACTCTTAGTTGGCGCAGATCAGGCTGGTGGTCTCTCATGGAAAGCTTTGGATGGGTGCTAAGGGAAAGTGCTGTTCGTATGGAAAAGAGTGAGACCGTATTACGCGTCGACTGGGAGTTGCTCAATAAGGGTAAGACGCTGTTCTCCATCCCGATGTCACTACTTGTTCTAATGTGATGATTATATAGTATTCCCACTGAGACCTGCGTGGCATTACGACATCCACAAGAGCCTCGACAATCTTCCGGTTGAGAAGCCCAAACCATCCGTGGTGCTCCGGGCAGAAGATGTCATGACGAGTTGTAAGCCTTTGATTTCCCGGAAGAGAAGTGAAGACTTTTCAAAACTGACATTAAAAATCAGTGACTGCCTCGATCGTGTTTGGAAAGTCCGAGGGCAATGTCGGCGAACCGCTACAAGCTCAGCTTGTCATTTCGTCTTGCGCTCAGAAAGGATCGGCGCCTATCCGACTATCGGAGGTGAAGCTTGTTTTCGAGGGTTGTCTGCGACCCGTGAAATTGCAATCCGACCAAAATGACGACGCTAATATCTCTTCCCCTTCTTGCATCTCTTCATTGTCTCTCCGCGAACAGAGCTCCGCCGGTGACATTCAATCCCCAACGGGTGGCTTAACTTCTCTCGTTGGAGTGGCAGACCTCACAATCGGACCCTCACAAACCAAAGTCTACAATCTTACCTGCATTCCTCGTGAGGCCGGAGAGGCTCAGGTCGCGTCAATCACGATGTTGGTGGACGAAGAGAAATTCGACCTTGCCTATGTGATAACCGACCATGACTTGCGAGATGCGTACTGGTGGCAACAAACCAAGAAAGGACCGTCACGGCGACGAGTGGGAAAGGACCGGGATACGGGAAGATGCAAGATCATGCCGAAGCCGCCTAAGATCCGCATTTCGACCCCAAATCTAAGGGAGACGTACTATACCAACGAGCGGGTGATTTTGAAGATCGGTATTCATAATGAAGAGGATGAGGGTGCCGATGTCTCGGCAGAGATCAGACTGTTCGGCAGTCCTGAATCTTCAGCAAAGCTGCAATGGCTTGATGGCAGCCCGAACGCATCAGAATCGGGGACGAGTTCCCCAACAGAGGGTGCTTCGCATTTCTTGAAACAGACCATCGGAGTTATGGAGCGCGCTTCTGATAGAGAGCTTACTGTTGTACTGGCCGACACCCAAGATGCTGCAAAGTATTCCTTGGAGATTTCTGCTGTATACCACATCGTGTCTGATATACAAACCCCCATAATGAAGGTTATCACCGTGGATCTCTCCTTCATTCGACCATTCGAGGCAAATTACGACTTTAAGCCTTCTATCCACCCCCTCCCTTGGCCGGACTTCTTCTCCGTCAGTGACGATCTTATCAGCAATGATCATGCCTCGACACCCGGTGGCCTGTCGCAGAGATGGCGCCTCAACTCGAAGGTGGTCTCCTTCGCCTTGGAACCTCTTGTCATTGATCAAATGTCTTTGAAACTCCTCACCCTAACCGGTGGCGCCGTATCAACAATCAACCCGGAAGTCCTCGTCAGCCCCGAAACATCATACATTGCTCCCGAAGAACTGCGCGAATCCAACTTCTTCCTCGACATCCAGAAGATCACGCTAGGCGACCGCCGACCCGCAGCACTCAACGTTGCCCTAGAAATAACCTGGCACCGACGCACCGACGAGAGCGCGAGTTCATCTGACCCCGAATCTACCACCAACAATATCACTACGAGTATCCTCGAGATCCCTCGCTTCTTGGTACCTTTAGGTGAACCGCGTGTTCTCGCCTCATCATCTCCATCCACCTCTTTCCCCGGCTTGCTCCACCTGGAGTACACCATCGAGAACCCATCAACCCACTTCTTAACTTTCAACCTGATGATGGAAGCCAGCGAACACTTTGCCTTTAGTGGGCCCAAGACAACGGTTGTTCAATTGGTTCCGTTGTCCCGGCATTCGGTACGGTATAACATCTTACCCGCAAAACGTGGGCTTTGGATCCAGCCGCAGCTTGTTGTCGTGGACACGTACTTTAATAAGACGCTACGGGTGCTCCCCACTGGTGAGATGCGTGCTGATAAGAAGGGGGTATTGGTGTGGGTTGATGCGGATGATTAGGTGCAGGTAATGGGTCTGTGGTTGGTATTGGCGTGCTGTCACTGCTTGCATGTGGCGGGCGGAGTTTCACCATCGGTCTCCGATGGCATTGTCATGAGATATGTATGTAATTAGTTTGCATCTGGCGAATACAGAATAATGTATGTTTTTGTGGGAGTGTCTTGTCGGGGCACTTCCCAGGTCAAATCTAGCGTGACGATTTCAGTCATAGAGAGTCGTCTTGTCGGGACTCATGGAAAACCAGTCACCGCTAATCACCGGATGCTTCAAGATCTACGTGTCTAACCTGAAAGCATAGAAAACAAAACACCAAATAAACCCACCCATTGATAATTAATCTCTCATTATGCACGTAAAATTGTTCATATGCATAAGTCCCCACAGTGCCGATATTCCCCCCCGGCGCGTTCAAATCTTCATAAACCTGATTTATCCATAAAATGCATGGTATAACTTGCTAGCCAGTGGCCACACGATGAAAGGAAAGGGGTGGGGTAGTACTAGCCTTGCATTGATTAGCCTTTGTGGAACCTTGTTTCGAGACAAAGTCCCTGCCAAGGCTGTCAGGATTGACTTATTATATGGTTATGGCGTAAATTTTCTGGGGGTCTGAAGATGCTTAAAACCACGATGAGTCTTGGAAATAGGGCTTGATTGGGCTTATGAAGCTTTTGAACTTATCGGCATATGCTTTGCTAAAGGGAAGGCTTCTGAAATGATATTAGACTAGGGCTAGAGCATTGTGGGACTCTAGCCTGTCACCTGTCACCTGTCGATGACGGGAATGTGCCGTGCAGAGTGCGGGGTTTTTCTATCTACATGAGTGAACACAAATGTATGTTATGCAGTCATTTTGAGGCATTATTGGGGTGGTCTCATGCGTCATGGACATGATCGGGGTGTGAACGGCTAGTAGATGGCGGGGATCTTGCTGTCGTTTGTTTTAAAGAAGAGTCTGGTTGCCCGTGTTGAAAGTAAAGAAAAACCTCCGTTCTCAAAGTTGATTTAAGAGCTATGGCTGTTATTCACAGCTTCTCGTCTGTAGATGGGGGACTTCCGAGTTTTGCTTCGACTCTATTCGTTGTCGGAGTGGTGCTGGTTAGTAATTTCTGTCTGTGTTTTTGAGACAAGCTAACAGTAGGTTTACCTCGGAAAGATACTCATTTATCCCCTCAGCATCTTCATATACAATGTTTATTTCCACCCCTTGGCCAAGTATCCGGGTCCAAAGCTCATGGCAGCTTCTCGTGTGCCCTACATGCGGATGATCATTAGTGGCCGGTTTTCCCAGAAGGTCAAGGCTCTACACGAAAGATATGGCACTGTCGTTCGCATTGCTCCGAATGAACTCTCGTTTACCGACGGTGACGCCTGGAAAGTCATCTATGGCACTCGTACCGGCCACGGACAAAAGCAAAAGGATCTTCGATTCTACCCTCCCACCCCAGGCGGCGCTCCGAGTATCATATACTCCGATGATGCGGACCATTCTCGTTTCCGCCGTCTTTTGTCGCATGCATTCTCGGATAGTTCGTTACGTGGGCAAGAGCCAATTATCAAGAGCTACGTCGATCTCCTCATGCAACGCTTAAATGAAAATATCGCCGCTGGAAAGAACGTGCTCGATTTGGTCTCGTGGTACAATTTCACTACATTCGACATCATTGGAGACCTTGCCTTCGGGGAACCCTTTGACTGCTTGAAAAACTCCAATTACCATCAATGGGTGCATATGCTCTTCAGTCATATGAAGATGAGCGCTTACGCAAATGTAGCCCGGCGCCTACCTGGTTCTGGTCAATTATTAAAACTGATCACCCCGAAACGGGTCACTGCCCAGAGAGATTGGCATTTTGAGATGACGAAGGAAAAAGTTCAGGCTCGATTGGACAAGTCCAATGAGAGACCGGATTTCTTTGGGAATATCTTGAAACATAATCATACCGAGAAAGGGTTTACTCTACCTGAGATGATTTCGAATGGGAGTACGCTTATTATTGCGGGCTCAGAAACTACTGCTACGCTGCTTTCTGGTGCAACGTATCTGCTGTTGAAGAATCCTCGTGTGCTTGCGAAGCTTAAGGAAGAGGTTCGGTCAACATTCACTCGCGAGGAAGAGATTAATCTGGACTCGTGCAACAAGTTGGAGTATAGTCTTGCTACTCTTACTGAAGCGCTGCGAATGTACCCTCCCGTTTCGCCTGGACTACCTCGAATTGTGGATCCTCAGGGTGATTTGATTGCCGGGAACTGGATTCCAGGAGGAGTAAGTCCCAATAGGATCTGTCTTTCCCAGATTTGTCGCTCTAATAGCCCCTGGTTACCTATAGACCATCGTCTCCGTCAGTCACTTGGCCGCTAGCCATTCACCCTCAAACTTCACCGATGCAGACCAATTCATCCCGGAGCGTCATCTTAATGACCCTCGCTATAAGAATGATGTCAGGCATGCAATGCAGCCATTCAGCTTCGGGCCGAGAAACTGCATTGGACGAAAGTATGTTCCCTTGAGATGGCAGCGTCAGAACGCAAGTGTACTTTTTGCTAATTGGGGTCTCCGTTTAGTTTGGCCTACGTCGAGATGAGGATTATTTTGGCTCGCATGATTTTCAATTTTGATATGGAATTGGTTGAGCCTGAAAAGGACTGGTTGGATCAAGATTCTTTTGTGCTGTGGGATAAACCTGCTTTGAATGTCAGGTTGACCCCTCGAAGCAAAGAGGAATGAACGGGAATGGTCGATGGCTGGTGTTGGAGAGAAGCACCACATCTTCGGAGGTGGTTTAGATTGATCAAACTGGCTGTCATGATTTATTCAATTGATTTTCACGTAACTGGTTGTTCATCCTGCACATATAATCTCGAGCACTCGGGAACATCAAGAGTCAAATGATATTCCCCCACCTTTCATAGACTAAGGGCTGGAGAGTCACGTGAACCTTATCACAATCAGTCCCGAAGCGGTTAGCAGCGATCGGCCGTCGCAGCTCTCTCCGCGAGCTTTCGTCACATCCTCGCTCGTTCTACTTTTTGCCTTGGACAATCCCCTTCAGACTCTCGTTTTTGACTGCTCCAGACTAGCATATTGTACCCTTATCTTTCACAACTCGAGCCAACCCGGGTCCTCCCCTCCAAGACCCCTCACAACGCGAACCCCAGACGTGTCTGAACCGACGCCTCAGTCGCAGACCCGTAACCATGGCGACCCAAGCAGCGCTGATTGCCGATACCATCGTTGGCATGAAGCGGGCATTACGCAGAGAGCGTGAGGGTAAGTCTAAGACCCCCGTCCGTTCTTGATTGTCGAAAAAGTTGCGTTTCTAACCTGCCATTCTCCGTTAGATTCGGGCCCGGACGACGCCATTACTCAGCCGACGAATCGCGGCAATAAGATGAAGGCAAACGCAAAGTATGTCCGCGAGGGTGCATTGGGATACATCAATGCGGAGGAATTCTACAAAGAGGTGCGTGGATGCTCTTTCAGACAGCAGAGGGGCGGGGGCGCTTGTCTCCACTGCGCCAATTTGAAAGACGTGCAAACTAACGCTTATGGCCTTGACTGCAAATAGAAAATCGATCATGCTGGTTACACACGTCATATCTTGCAGCGGAACCCCATTCGTTACGACTCCGAAGGCGAAGAACTCGATGAGGAAGATGAAGACTCTGAGGCCGACGCGGCGGCCGCAGAAGAGAATCCGTTTTCGGGGATCGCGTTGGAGAGTAGGTTATACAATCACCGATTCCGAGATGATTGCGAGTAACTGATTGATTCAATCTTCTCTTGTAGCGCTGCTCTGCCCACTCAAGCACCCCTCCGAACTACCCGTCCATCCTTCGTTATCCCATCCTTACACCACACAAGCATTGGAGCAAATGACGAAAGCCGTCGAGGAAAAACTGCGCCAGGAGAAAGCTCTGCTTTGGCGGGCAAGGAATCTGCATCGAAAGTTCCTTGGCGATGGCAGTTGGATGCCCTGCGGTCTTGTCGAAACGCCCGACGACCGTTACATCTTCGAACCTCGGATCGTGGAGGACAGTAGAAACCTCTCTGCTGGACAACAGAGGCAAAGTGCACTTGGAACACCATCTGCCATTGGTGATCTGAGTGGACCGCAAGACGTGCTCTCCACGACGGGCCCACAGAAAGACGGACAAGCTGCGATAGCGGGGGATGTGGAGATGACTGAAGTGCCTGCGGCGAGTAACGCCGACCTTCAAGAAGCGGTCACCGAGTTCAAATCAGAAGAAACCGATGCTATGGTCAAGGACCTTCCCCAGCATCCCGCGGAGGACCCTGACCAAGGGAGCGAGATGATGGCCCGGAACGGGCTTGCTGAAAAGCAGGAGGAGATGGCAAACACAACCGACAGAGCCAAGACAAATGGAGCGACCGCAGACCACAACGAGACCAACGAAGACGATGATGAACGAGATACGGAAATGCACGATGGCTCCTCGCCCGAACCGCCTCGCCGAATGACGACCCGAGCCCAAGCCAACGCGAACAACCCTTCCGATGGTAACCAGTCACCACTGTCTGCCGATGACGCCAGCTTCCTTCAAACCCCTCATCCGCTCTTCGTCATCCCAGAGAACGTCCGCCCTGACGCAAACTTCGGCCTTCCCCCGGGCGAAGCAGAGGAGACTCGTCGCCTGCTGTGGTCATATATTCAGAAGCAAGAGGAAACCGTGCGGGGCTTTGAGCATATGCTTGAGTCCCTGCTGCGGGCCTCCCACATGAAGGCTGACGTGCTCGAATGGTGCAAGGCCGAGGGTCACGTTGGCGAGTTGAGTGACGGCGAAGACTGGTACGACCGAGAGAAGTGGGGTCTCGCCGAGGGCGAGGATCTCAAGAAGGGTACTGATGAAGACGAAGTCGAGACTGTTGACGAGAGTCGAACGACGGCGAAGAGAGGTCGTGGCCGGCGGCAGTGATGGACTGCATCTGTCAAGTCTTCGCCGCTCCAGATCTAGCTTCTCAGATCTATGTCGGCCTCTCTCCTACTTTTGTCTTTGTTTCTCGTTCGCCCCCTTAACCTTCTTAGTCCCTCATAGCGTGGTGTTGGTGGTGTTCCGTCCTTGCGTGGGTGCTCATCTCCCCCCATATACCATATACTTTTGCCCTCGGCGGATTGCCCTGGACACGTGCGGTGTCAATATACCCTCTGGAGAATGGAAATAGTTTTATCTTTTCTAGCGCTTGCAAAATACAGATTTGGTTGCAATTGTAATTGATATTTCCTACCCATGGAACCTTTCATTCTTTCGAGATTACGGAGCGGTTTGTAGTTCCCTTGCCTTTGAGCGCCATGTCTACTCATTAATACTCATGTTCTTGCCCCCTGCTACAGGGTATTCAAGTTTGTTGAATACCGCAATGAATGGTTGTATGACTGTTTACGGTAAGAGACTACACACAGACGAGCGTTCGCATATCAACATAAGAATGAAACAGTATATTGTAGAATCTATTCAAAAAGAACAGGAAGAAAGAAAAATGTCAAGAAAGAAAGTCAATATATCACAGAACAAAAAAGTAAACCCAGAAGCTCAAATGACCATCGAAAGCGCAATCATTTTATGCTCAGAGCACTGCCATATACAAAGAATGTCGAAAATCTACTGATCTAAATGCCACCAGCATTGCAAATCTTCTCAGCCTCAGAAACACGCTCAGCATAGCGAGTAGGATAAGCAGAGCCCTGCACCTTCTGGCAAAGGGTTCCAACAGCCATAGACTTCCAGCCGCTAATGTTCTTCATCTTTTTGAAGAACTGAGCAGCAGACTTGGCAGCGTCCATATCAGCCGCAATGTCGGGGTAGTACATGGCGCGCTGCTGGAAGATACCAACGCTGTCGTGGTCCGAGCCCACAGCGTCGTGGGGGTAGTTGAGGGATTTGGGGACATCCTTGTTGGCGTAGATCAGGATGTTTGACTGGAGGAATTTGTTAGTGAATCATACTTGGAAGGAGATTGCTATCAAGGGGGGGAATGTTCATACCTCAACAAGGGCAGTCGCGATACCGGCAGAGCAACCGTGCAGACCCAGATCCTCGCGCTTGGCCTCGGCGATGATATCCCTGGCGTGCTTGGACTGAGTAGCACTTAGGCCGGGCAGGTTACCACCGCTGCTGCCACCGCCAGAGCTGCCGTCGCAGTGCTTGGTAACGTAGCTGCTGGAACCGGTCTTGACGTAGTAGTCGCTCACGTAGCAGCCGTCGGAGGTCTTATCCCAGAGCTTGTCGCCGTTGACGTCGGTGCCGGCGGCCTGGCAGGTGATGCTGAGGTCGGTTCCGCGCTTGTAGGACTTGACGATGCCGTAGCTGGTGCCAGGACCGGAGCGGCAGTGAAGATCGTCAGCGTTGACGGGATAGGCGCTGGCCAGGGGCAGGGCAATGGCTGCAGAGAGGGCGAAGAGCGAAAAGTGCATTGTGAATGTTGTTGATGGAATTGGAAAAGGTTGTTTTGAAAGGTTGTTTTGAAAGGTTGTTTTGAAAGGTTGTTTTGAAAGGTTGTTTTGAAAGGTTGTTTTGAAAGGTTGCTTTGAACAGTTCAAGAGACTATAAAAAGCTTGGAAGAAGGCTTGTTTGTCCTTGGATTTAGCAGGAAGCGAAGTGGAAGTTGTTGTAAGGCTGTTGATGATGAAAAAGAAGGTGTATATCGAGGGGAATCTAGGTCGACTTTATAGTTGTCGTCGCCATCGATTGATCATGAAGCTGAAAGTGTTTGATCAAGGTGATATCCATTTAGTTCACCCTTCATGCCGCACTGATACTAACTCGAATAGGCTTCATTTGGCTTGTTTAGAGGTCCCTTGCATGGATCGGAATGCCGATCACCATGAGGCTCGTATAAAGTCAAGTAACGATGAAGTCGCGAAGCTATTTTTGCTTCGTATCCGGAAGTTAGCACCTTATTCGTATTCAAACTCGAGTAGTTAGTTAGCGCAACGCTAGCCTGTAGGACACTTTTGGCCCCAAGGTGGGATTTTCAAAGACCCATCTCGTATGCGTGATGGTGATGCGCACGATGAAGAAATTTGGGGAACCATAGCAGGGATACAAAGATGTATACATTTTCTGCTAAACTACGACTAGCCGGACTAGGAGCAGGCGGGTTATCGACTATCTAGCGGAACGTGATAGAGGCAGGTAGTATAGTTTGATTAAAAAATCTACAGACAAACAAGACCATGTATATGATTTCGTGATAGTATTGATGGAACAGAATTGACGCCATGGTCCAGGCCATATTGGATCGAAGTGTCATGATGGAGCATTCAAAATCCTTCTCTTACCTAACCTTGGTAGAACACTCAGGTACGATCTGTTCCCACCAAAAGTATCAAGATCGTCCCCGTATTATCCCAAAATATTCGCATCCCGTCCAAACACCTGCCAATACCACCCCACGGCCCCTAAACGTGCCCCCAAAATCTCGTGTTCCTGGCATAATGGGCCCTCCTAAAAATAGACCTTTCCGAAAGGACCTAAACTCCCAACTTGCAGCGACCTGCAGATCCCCCGTATTGGGTGGACAGCCACGCCCGTTGAATGCGCCAATCACATCGATCGGGGCCTGACGAACCGAGCTTATCCCACACCCTAATTTCCGTACAGGGCTGAATTCTCCGAGATGTCAGGGCCGGTGAGTGGGATATACGGAGTGAAGGTGATGGATATAGTCGTGAAGATCGGGTATACTAAGAATAGGTGGCAGTTCGTGTTCATGTCGAGTTTCGAGTCTTTAGTTCGAAGCTAAGTAGACGAGAAAATTAGGGTCACAAACCTGGAGGAGCTGGAAGAAGATCCTTTGTCTTTTTAGGCTTATGACCTAATTGTGAACACGAGATACAGAAATAGAAGAGGCCTCGAGCAAGGAAATCAACAGCCATAGAATAACTAGGATGCGGACACACCGCCAGTTCGACCCCGGGAAGCAAGATTAGGAGAAAATATTATAGGTCGCAGTCCATTCCAGGCTCATATTTACAATCAACAAGGTGGCCAACGTGTAGCGTCTGTCTGCACTGGTATACTGGTCGCATTGGGTAAATAGGAAACTTTTTTTGTAGTCGCGTAGGGGAAATCACTAAATAAGGATGATGCACTCGTCCAGCAATGCGGCAATGGGTTGCAGGTCTCGCGCTCATTCGGCCGTCTGTACTCTCTGTTCCGTGGGTGAAGTGAGCTTATCGTCTACTCTTCCAGCATCGTTGAAGATTCGGATTCGGGTGCATCCGTGTGCTCGGCAAGTGTGTCATTTCCCGGCTCGAGAAAAGGGTGTATCCAAGCGGTGAATGGCATAGTCGCGAGGAGGTTGGCGTGTCTCTCGACCGTGGTCTTGGTCTGAAACTTATCAAGCGAGTTGAGGATGTTGAATGTCCCGCACAATCTCGCCATCACGTCGAGTAATTTACTGCTTCTTGCCGCCAGACTTCTTGGCGCGCTCACGCTCACGCTTGGCATAGATCTCGGCGGTGAAGGGGCTGAAGAGGTTGGTTAGCTTGGATCAGAGACTTGGGCTTGAAGATGAACACATACTCCTCCCACTTAAGAGCGAACCAATACAATACAAAGACCTGGGCAGTCAGAAGGAGACCGGCAACCTTGCCCTTGTACAGAGCAACGCCAAGGAAGTTCAGGGTGCTACCCCAGTACATAGGCGAGCCAGTGACGTTGAACGGAAAGCCGGTGACGGGGGCATCCATGAGAATACCAAAGTAGTCACCGAGATAGGTGCCGGTCACACCCAGAGCCCACATGCTGGACAGCACAAGGACCGAGCCGACGACGAACAGAATGCCGCCAACGAGGGGCTGGTGAACCGGCGCGTAGAAGGGTTGCTCATCGAGGGCGACCTGGTAAAAATGATCACGCAGAATACCAAGAGAGAAGATGGTAAAGGCCAGGAAGTAGCATCCCTTGTATGGCCCGCCGAAGATGCGCGTCAAGATGTGGTTGTTGTACTCTGCGATGCGTTGTTAGTCGAGTTGGCAAAAGTACGGTTTGTTGGTCTCGGGTACTAGGACTCGACGAACCTGCACGGGCAACGATACTATTCAGAAGATGAGAGGTTAGCTCCTCCTAAGCTCGGACTGAAAAAAATTCATCACAGGCCAACTCACTTCCAGAAAATCGGATTGAACGCGATCGTCGCGGCGGACACTGCTGGAGGGTTAGCCCCAATCACATGCAAAGTGCGGAGGAAGAACCAAGGTCGAAGGTAGATTGAAGCTCAACTTACACGCCAGGGACCGGGGAGAGAAGTCGACGAAATCAGTCAGGCTGGCCATGACGCAGAAACCGTTGGTGTGAGAGAATGAGGAAGTAGAGAAGCGAAGAGGGGGGAAGTCTAGTCTTGGCCAAGGTGGTTGATCGAAACAGCTTAAGTAAACAAATGACGTTCGGCAGTGGACCCTCTTTGTAGTCACGGGATCTGTATGCGGGTTGTCGCAAGTCCGTTGGACTCGCGGAATCTACTGCTCGCCGGCCGACAGCTCCTCGGCATCGGTAGTGCTCTGTGTTTTCTTGACCGCTTCTTTGAGTTACATTTCTCAAAGTGACTTGATCTTCCACCTGCCGCTCTGTCTCGAAAGCCCGTGTCATTGCGCCGTGAATCGCAACTGCCGGGAAGCTCTTCGCTCCTGAGCTTCACCAGGTGATCGACATGAAACTGGGAGCTTTGAAACCTGTCAGGGGAGAATGGTCCTTCAACGTCGTGATCTGGTACTAGCGGGTGTCGGCAGCTTCATCGCCTGGGGCCTGGTAGTACGCTGGTTGCCGATCCTTCGATATCTTGGATATGCCTTGGCCTTGGGAGCCGCGTTAGCTTCGACTGGTTTCCTCGGCTTGATTATTTTGACAACTCGAACTAGGAGTGAGAAAGCGAAGAACGTGAAGAATGTCTCGGTCGCTTTCATCACCCCACGTCACTGGCGGAAAGAGGTGTTGAATGCTCGCAAAATCGCTCGATATCGTCCCAGACCGCTATACCCGCAATCCTTCGTCGTATCCGAGGCAATCGATGAACTCTTGTCACTTGTGAATCGCCAATTCGTTACCTCATGGTACCATAATATCACTCCAAATCCTACTTTCGCCAACGATATTGATCGAGTTACGCGCGTGGCCTTGGACAAACTACGAGAGAGACTGCTGGCAGAAGACTTTATTTCGCTGATTGTGTCGCGCATCTTCCCGATCCTCACAGCGCATATACGAGAGTTTGATATTGCAGAGCGCTCGGTGCGTGGGAAGAATCTCAATCGCAATGTGACGGAATCAGAGGAGCTCGATCTGGCTATTGCCAATAAGTTCCGCGAGGGTCGGCTTCACCCTGCGGTGGGGCTTTCAGCTTCTGACCAGAAGATCGTGCAGCAGGAGTACCTGCGCAAGATCGCTGTGGGGATGCTTCCTCAGCTGTTTCCGGAGAGTGTGCTCAAAAGCAGGATTGTATCCGTTTTGATTCGAGAAATCATAGCATGTGCTGTTCTGCTTCCAATCGTGAATGCACTCTCAGACCCCGATACATGGAATCAATTGACGGAAGCATACGGGCGGACGGCTCTGCAGGATCGGAAAACCGTGCGCAAGTTGCGAGCTGCTCTCGACGAGCACGCTTCTCCGGCACCAAAATTTAAACGAGCACAATCGTTCCCAAAACTTTCGCCCCAAGATAGTGAGCGCGCTTTTGAGCGCTTTGTCCGAGCCATCCGACGCTGCAATAATCTCTCCGATGCTCGCCGGTTCCGTGCTCTGGTCACTAGCCAGTTAAAGCGGGAGAGCATGGTCGAAGGACAGGACCAGGTCTATTTGAGGCGGCTGGAAACGGGGAAACGAGTCTTGGACCAGAAGGTTGCCAAGCTTTCCTTACATGGAGAGGCTTCCTCTCCAGTACCTCCTGCACCAGTACAACCTCGCCGTGACAGCGTCCCTGCTTCTCAGGAAACATCGCTCGTGGAAGTCTTGCACAATGCGTCTGGTCTATCATACTTTATGGAGTTTATGGACCGTCAAGGTCTCATGTCTCTCGTGCAGTACTGGATCGTTGTGGATGGTTTGCGGAACCCGCTAGAGGATGATTTCGGCGATGAAACGTCATCTGGTACGGTGACTTGGACTGCTGCCGACAGAAATGACCTTGCGCTTTTGAGCGAAACGTATCTCACGAAATCCGAGTTGAAGGTTTCGCAAGATTCTCGCCGAACGGTCAAGAACTTCCTGAGTGCTGGAAAGCGTGCAACTCCCGAGCAATACCGTAAAGCTCGAACGGTCGTATTGACTACTCAATCAGCCGTGTTGGAGGAGCTCGAGAGCACTTATTATCCAAAGTTCAAAGAGTCGGATCTTTACTGGAAATATCTGGCATCGGACGAGGCTTCTGGCGCCCAGCTACCGGCTCCTCGTCAGCCATCCCCCACTGTGACCTTTGACGCCCCCGAGAGACGCCCCTTACCGCCGCTTATCGTGCGAACAACCTCACAGCCCGGTACTAAGCCACCAAGGGATCTTCGGCGAGCTGCAGTGTCATCCAGCGATGTGCGCAGCATGGGAAAACTATTTGACGATGATGACTCTCCGAGGCGATCCATAGACTCTGAACGATCTGCACCTTTGTTTGACGATGATTACGACATAGATAACCTTGCCATGTCCACAGCTAGCCTAGGCCAAGACTCACAGAATGGTGAGAATGATGTCACCCAGAGCAGGGTTCTGGAGACCATGGGAGCAGCTCTGAATGATATTATTACGAACGAACCGAAGAACAGCAAGGCGGAGGATATACGAAGCAGCGACCTGAGAAGTAGCGATGGTGCATCCTCGTCGTCTCTGTTTGGCCCAGACCGCTCCGAGATGGCATTGCCTGCCTCTTCCGAGGGCCTACGCCTGGATAGCCGTATTACGGAAAAAACTAAGAAAAGCATCGCCTCGCTTGGTCTAGTTGACCACGGATCGCGTCTTGGTGTCTTTGAAGATGACCTCTTTCCAGACCAACAAAAGTTCATCGAGGACGAGTACGAGGAACCCGTCGGCGACGATGAAAAGGACCCTGCAGACGAGGTTCACGAAGCTGCGCCCGGTGACCTCGGCTTGACGGAAGCGATTGAAGTTCTCACTACCGACATTGACAAGCTCACCGCGCAAGACTCGGTGGTCGAAGCGCTTACCCGTAAAGCTGAGTTGACCAACAACACTGCCGAGCTGCGCATCTTGCGCAAGTCCAAGGCCAGCATCCAGCGTGAGATTCACCGCAAAGAGATGCAACGGCAGCAGTACATTATCCAAGAGAGTGATAACAGTCTGCATGGTCGCTCCACCGTGCGTATCAAGTCTATTGTCGTGGGCAAGGAAGAGGATGATGGCCGCGAGTTTGCAATGTGTAAGAGATCCACCGACTCCCAATATCAATCTCAATCCGCTAACGATTCTTCACAGATGTTGTTGAAGTTCAACGTAACGCCGGCGAACAAATGCCCGCCGCTTCTTGGGCAGTCGCCCGTCGATACAGCGAATTTCACGAGCTGCACCAGAAGCTACGCATGAGCTATCCATCCGTACGACACCTAGAATTTCCACGCCGGCGCATGGTCATGAAGCTGCAGAAAGAGTTCCTCCAGAAGCGACGCCTCGCCCTGGAATCATACCTGCAAAAACTCCTCTTACTCCCCGAAGTCTGCCGCAGCCGTGATCTACGAGCATTCCTCTCTGAGCGTGCGATAATGCCCCGCGAAGAAATCAATACCCGCGACACCGAAGGCGAAACCAGAGACCTCGTCACACGGATCTACAATTCCGTCGCCGACGGCATGGACGATTTCCTCGGCAACTTCGGCGTCCTCGATCAACTTTCCACCGCAGGACAAAACCTCATCTCGGCCGCAACGGCCCAAGCAAGCACCAGCACCGCACACGATCCCGCCCTCGCCACCGAAGACGCAGTCACCACCGCCGAAGCCGAAGCCGAACTAAATGCCTTTGAAGACCGCGAACTAGAACCCTTCATCAAACCCATCTGTGACCTCTTCCTCGAAGCCTTCGAACTAAATCGCGGAAATAATTGGCTCCGCGGCCGCGCTGTCGTCGTAGTCCTCCACCAACTCCTCGGCGGCACCATTGAGCGCAAAGTCCGCGACAGCGCTCGCACACTCTTCCAGGATGACTCTTTGCTACGCTATCTCGCCCTCGCCCGGGATAATCTCTTCCCCGACGGTGTCTTGCGTAAATTCGAACCCCGTTCTACGCAGGAACGCCTCAAGAGTCGCGCAGAAGCGACCGTCGTCCTTGCAACGCTTATCCCGGATTTGGCGGGGAACGTGGTTGGACGGGCGAATGCGCAGGCTGCAGCGAGACGTATCTTTGCGACACTCAATAATCGACCGTTGAATACGCATCTTGCTTTTACCGTGCTGGATGAGATTGTCCTGGTTTTGTTTGGGAGTCGGGAGACTGGTCGCTCCCGATGAGGAGCTCCCCTTGCCTTCTCCAGTTTGCCCATTCGACATGTGTTTCCTTTTTTCCTTTTTCTTTGTTCTGTGGCACACCTAATGACCGTTGTGTATTCTTTTGCCTTGAAGCGTTGCTAGCATAGCATTTTGCCAATCGGGTACCCTTGCGTTGTTTTTCTTTTTACTCTTTTCTTTGGTTTTTGTTTTCGCGGTTGGACTTAGGGCCGTTGATGTATATATTCATAATGTCTGCACATGATACTTTACATGATTAGTCTAGTCCTATTCGAGACTCGGATCAGTATGCACAGTAAGTCATGCACTTTGTCCCGAGAAGTAATCTGCGCTTTGTCCAGTGTCACTGTCTGTGGGAATCGCTTAAGGAGCCGTCGAGGCTAATGCGCGGGTTGTGGGCCCTTGTGGGTACAGCTCCTTAGCGCGACGCCCATTCCGACGTCTAGTTGATAGACTCAAATTACAAATTCCTACACTTCTACTAGAATCTACATTGAAAATCCAGCTACGAGTAGAGAAACACATTCTTCCCCTTGGAAATTAATAGATTGGATATTTCCCTCGTGAGAAAAAGGATTGAAACGGAGACCGAACACGCCGTGTCCTAGATAACCGGGTTCTGCTCACACCGAGACGGGCAAAGCACTGGCTTCTTCTCCTTGCCTCTTCTGATAGGATAGAGATCCCACCGAAAGAGGGGATGGGGGATAAGTTAGTGATGCCGGACAGCCCACTGGGAATTGATAAAGGACAGATAAAAAATAAAAAGCAGGAGATACATGACGATCGAGGGGAAAAAAAGATAAGAGATAAAATATTCACCCTGCGCCCTCTCTTAAATCGATGTTTCTATGTCCCGGATCCGAAACAGAAACGCGCGATGGGAAGAATGGAAGATGAAGAACAGCCGGGGCTGGTTCTACTTCCCGAGGGAAGGAACTGGCAAGGAACAAGACAAGTAGA